TCCTGAGGACTCAGGTGTTATTCATCCGTACCCAGTAAATTTGCTGTAATAGCAAACTATCACCCTCATATAAATACGTCAGTATTTAATATTATTTTCCAGGGGGGAGAAGGCTTAAAATAGGTGCATATGTATTCTGAGACATGTACTTGTGAAGCTTCCCTCGTATACTTGGTTGAGCAAGAGACAACTCTAGAGTGGACAATAGACAATTCTGGAGTGAGCAATAGACAATTCTGGAGTGGGGAATAGACAATTCTGGACTGAGTAATATACAATTCTGGTGTGGGTTTTAGATAATTTTGCTTATTGAATTTAAACAATTTAATCTATTAACAATTTAGACATTTATGTACATAAAAAGCATTGTGCGAACCAAAGTAAATTAGGCTAGTAGGTAGGTAAGTTGTTCGCAAACTTTTTACAAGTTACTCTTGACCCGCTCGCTGGCCAGTGATTGTGAAACTGTTTATTTTATGTTGGACGTATCTAATTTTGTGTAAATACGATAACAAAGCTGTTTGCGGGAGAAGGAAGGTAATACAGGTAATGGGGATTAACGGCCCCGTAAATAGCAATATACCCTACTTTGCGGTCCTCCCCCCTGAAAATCTTCGTGGTTAATTTCTGATGAATTCGTTACGTCGGTCAAGTGATCTGATTTCGTCTTCATCAACGATCACTCACTGGTGTAATATATATTATGTTCTTTATATTATATTCTTTATTGCACTTGTAAATTACATTGTTAATGCATTTATAAATATTGTGAGCAAGGGTGGTGTTATCTCTGACAGAGATCACTTCCAGTCAACCCAGTTAGAAAGCATGTCGTTAGCGGGCAGCTGAAGTGCTACAACTATTAGTATTTAGAATACATAAACAAATATACAGTTAAATAAAATATTAAGATACATAATAAAATATTACATAAATACATATACTATGAATAAATATAATACCTACATACTTATACAATGGATGTTAAAATAAATGAAAATTTTTAGAACTGGCTACTTGAAAGCAGAATATTAAAAAAAATGTTAATATTTTGAAAATTGAACTTTTTACGAATAATATTGAGTATATAATTTATTCGTTTGTCATTTGTTTTACGGTTTGGCGGCAAATTGAAAATAGTCTGTGTAACGTTTTCACAAACTTAACACGAGAAAATTTTTATGCGATGATTTTTTATGACTTTCGATGTCATCTAAGTCAACAAGAAAGTAATGATAGACTACGATTGGCCTTTCACAATGAAGCTCCGTCTCGTGCCACTGTTTACAACTGGTTTAATGAGTTTAAACGTGGTCGCACTAATCTCATCGATGATGTGCGTGAGGGACGGCCTTCTACGGCGACGACTGAAGATAACGTTATTGTTGTGCGGCGTATGATAGACTGACAAAAGAGTGGCCTATCAGCAGATCCGGGCAAGCTTAGGGATTGGTATGAGTTAAGTGTACAAAATTCTCCATGAACATTTGGCGGTCAGGAAGCTTTGTGCCCGGTGGATACCTTATAATTTGACCGAGGCTCAAAAACTCCGTCGTGTTGATTGGTGCCGTGAAATGCATGAAAGATATAACCGAGGTGACTCACATTCTGTGTTTGACATAGTTACGGGAGACGAAAAATGGATTTGCTGTTATGATCCCGAAACTAAAAGACAGTCAGCTCAGTGGGTGTTTCCTTCCGAGGAGTTGCCAACTAAAGTGAAGAGAGGTCGAAGCGTGGGATAAAAGATAGTGGCCTTGTTCTTTGGAAGGATAGGTCATTACGCGACAATTGTTTTAGAGTATCGAAAAACAGTTACTGCAGAGTGGTACAGTAACAATTGTTTGCCACGATTTTTGGAAAAAGTGCCTAAGAAACGACCTCGCTGTAGGATCCTCCTTCACCACGACAATGCTTCGTCGCACACCGCCATGCAAACGATCGATTATTTGGCGACCTCAGACGTAGAACTACTGGGTCATCCGACTTTTATTTATTCCGAAAAATAAAAGAAACTTCGAGGAAAACGTTTTATTGACGCCGACGAAGCTGTGGCTAACGTAGCCAGAAGGCCGTCGAAGAGATCCCTAAGGACGAGTGGGCGAAGTGCTTTTCTCAGTGGTTCTATCGGATGCAGCGATGTATTGACGTTAATTGATGACTATTTTGAAAATATAAAATAAAGGTAAAAACTTGCTAATTTAATCAGTTTTTGATTTTCTAAGGATTTTCAGTTTGACGCTCGTATCATGTGTATAAAACACCTTGTTTTAAAATTAGAACACTGCGAACATTAGTTATAATTACATATTCATTTTGTAACGGTTGAAGTTGCTGTTATTTGCGAAACAAAATTGACTTGTGACAACTATGCAATCTACTTAATACTAATATAATAGCAATACATTTTACTTCCTTATTGGCATTGGTCTGATATTATTGTTGGTCTGTAAAATCTTATACCTATGATTAATCTTTTTTTTAATGGATGGTAATGGAATGATTACTCCGCCTGCGCTATCGGTATACACTGGCGGGACACCAGTGAGGAATGATAGGTGAAGATGAAGCAGGTCAGTTTGCCTATCGTGACAAATTCACTAATGTATCAATCACGTTAGTTTCCAGGGGAAACCGCGAGGAGGTCGACCTGGTATGGTATATTGCTAGTAACAGGGTTGCTAATCCCATTATTAACGATTCCTTTTCCCCCCATGAATAGTCTTTGCCACGATTTCGTCCGTGTGACCGGGATATATTGCTTGGCCAGGATAAAAAGTAGCCTAGGTCCTGATGAGCCGTTAAAGCGGCAAGAAGTGATAAAGAAACGCATTTTCAGATTTTGTATCAAAATCTTAATCCTTCTTTGCATAATGATGGAAATTTCCATCATAACATTAAATGCTCAAAAATTGTATAAAAAAACAAGTTCACTTTAAGTTGATCGTGTCTGGATACCTTTTTAATGTCCAATTCAGAAAAAAAAACATAGCTGTCGTATTATTTTTTTTTTCTTTAATTTTCTTTAACTTTGAATATGTATTATATCACTTTGGTTTATTTTACCAATAAAAAAAATCATGCAAAGAAAAGTTAAAATTGATAATTATCATTAGCATAGGTCCCATGCATATGATGCGCTTACATACATTCTGTAATTGATTTTTATTTAAATATATAGATTTCACACTTGCAGTTTACAATATAATTGCAAATTGATATAGAGATTTTTTATGGGTGATAATGAAATAGTAACCCCACCCGCGCTATTGGTATACACCAGCGGGGCACCAATCAGCCGGGTCAGCTAGTAAGTAAATAAATTAATGAGTGATCGGTTAAGCCGTTAAGGCGCTATAAGGTAACAGAAAAACAAACTCACTTTTACATTTATAATATTAGTAATGACGTAAATCACATTGCAAAAAAACCCGTAAATAACGGTCATGAGTTTTTCGTCGACTTCTAACGTCGACTGTACCGGGTTTTCGAGGTTTTACGAAGGTCATCGGTTGTACAGATTTAGCTATAACCCAAACAATCATCTAACGAGTCTATGCTAATTTTTTTAAGAAAACAAACTAATATGATAAAATTACAAAACTAGTTTTTTGCAGAGAAAAATAATCTAGGTTGTATGTATTTATTTATTATATAAAAAGATTATTAAAATATCGTATAATTCCCAGAAGCATAATCAGAAAACGGTTGGACGAATTTACCTCATAATTTGTATTTATATGTGTAAGTATATTTGTTATTTATATATATTTATTCGTTTATATATGTAATTTTAGTATGTATGTATATCAATAATTACTAATACCGCAATCGAGTATTCTGACACTTCCCTATGGTTGACTGAGAGAGAATGCTTTTAGCATTAAGTCCGCCATGTACCTACACATATTTGTACTAATGAATAAATAAATAAATAAAGTTACGAATAGTTTACTTTTTTAATGGGTGATAATGGTATGATCCTTTTTAATTAGTGATAATGAAATGGTAACTCCACCTATGCTATCGCTGGCAGGTACCAGTGAGAAATGACAGGTGCGGATGAAAGCAGGTCAGTTGACTCATAGTGACAAATTCGGAAAGAATTAACCAAAATGGTTTCCAGGGAAGAGCGCGTGGAGGTCGACACGATAGGATATATTGGTAGCAATGGGGGCCGCTAGTCTCCATTACTTTCCCCTGTTGTTATTGTAATAATCTTTATTATAATTAATTTATATTGAATACTTAAAAAATATTTATTTACATATACGGACTTATCTCACAGAGGGACCTCTTACAGTCAACCCTTGAGAAGCTGGAAGAAAACTATATAATATTCAAGGGTAAAAACTGTACATTTCATGTAATTTTTTTGTGATTATGTTATACGATTACGCCGCTATGTTGTAATTACGTATTTTTTGCAATCGTCGCTCGATTTGTTCGGTCATTTATTAGTTTGTTTATAATTTTATTGAGTTCTTTGGAAGCAGACTATACGAAGCAGTATATGTGTTCAAAAAAAAATCCCTTACTTCTTACTTAAGACGACTACGATTTAACAACTTATCAGTTCTTAATTTGACTTTGTTAAAATTTCTATGGGACCAATTTTAAGTATAGCTTTTTAGATAAAAAAAGAATTTTCCAAATCAGTTTTTCAACTAGCAAAGTTATGTTGTAACAAACATAGAAAATAAAAGCGAATTGAAAACGTCCTTCTTTTTGAAGTCGGTACAAAAAAACGGACTTCAGTTGTGTTCAATCGACTTCAGTAAAACTTGGTGTTTTAATTTAAAAAAAAATAAACTACTGAACCGATTTTGATAATATTTCTATGGGACCAATCCGTAAATATATGCTTTATAGATAAAAAAATATTTTCCAAATCGGTTTACAACTAACGGAGTTATAAAGGTAAACAAACAACCGAATTGAGAATGTTCTTTTTGAAGTCGGTTGACAAAAGAGCGTTTTCTCGTAGTGTTGCCTTAAGGGGTTATATACAGTTAATGGGTCGAAAAAAAGCGAATTTTTAGGAATTTTTTTTGAGAAGCCGTTAAAATTTATTGATTCCAAAAGTTTACATACTTATTATGGTATTATTCAACAACATTTTAGTGCTTATTATTAGTAAAAATATTTCTCTGGAGAAGAGCTACAGCCGATCTCCAGGAGGTCCTCTAAAAAAAGACGTCTTGCGGTGACCACTCTATCTCTGAACTGGATCATCTGAAATTAAAAAAATAAAAAGATTTAGTTAAAGTAATGTTAAATTCAATTATTAATCGATGGAATAAGCAAAAAAAAATTTTTTGTCAAAATGGCGCCTTCTCAAAAAAAAAAGTCGATTTTTCACCAAAATTTCAACTTTAAATTGTTTATAAAAAATCGAAGTTTTTATTGGAAAAATAAAAGCTTCGATTAATAACTGAAAAATATATTTAAGAAGCTTGTATCAAAATTTTAGACGAATCGGAGAAACCGTTTTCGAGTTACAGTGGTCACCGACTTTGAAAACACCATTTCGAGAAAAACGCGTTTAAAGTTTTGAGTGCACTTTACATGGGATAAAAAATTTTTTTTTTCAACTTACATGGTGTCATCTATTCCAGGCCCATATAAGAGACCTTCTGCTGATTCATTAGCTTCCAATAACTCGAGCTGATGTTGTCTGCGAGCCATTCTTCCATCTCGGGTGCTATCGCGCGCTCTGCGGTCGGAGATGTTCACGCGCTGCTCATCTTCTTTTTCGGCATATAAATGTGCGTTGGGTCCAAGTGTAATTCCTATTGCATTCATATAATATAATAATGAAGCCATTCCTTCATTAAAGACGCCAGCAGCTATGTATGCAGCGGTTTCTACAGTTTTCGAGCCTGCCGGAACAATTTTGGGAGAGATTTTCCAAATCAGTTGATTATAACTCTCGTTGTTGTTTTGGTTAAAACCACCGACACATCTTTCCAATAAACTTTTATTGCTGAGGTCTATAAAAATCGGACGTATAGCTTCAGCAACATCATCAGGTAGTGGCTCATAATCATGTTCGAAAGTAGATACTTCATTGGCAGCAGCAGCCCTCTGCCAGCTGCACCATGAGTCTGGTCCACTCGGACAGTTGTCGTGCTGAGGTTTTTGGTCAGATGAACAATAGTGATAATATGTGGCCCAGATAGCATTATACATTTTCTCAATGGAATCACAATTTCTACGTATTGCTAAGCCATAGTAAACTGTTAACTTATCGATCATCTTTCCAGTGAGTTTTCCTTTTCCACCGAGAGTTTTCTTTTGTATTTTTTTTCCTTTCGCATTCTCAACAGTCTCAACATTTTTTTTTACACAATCTCGAAGTCTCGTACCCATTCGTTTCTGTACATGTCCAATACATTCTTTCTTTACAACTTCCTCATCACCATAAGGTTTAACTTTTAAAATTCCCGAGTACGTTTTGGAATCACCGTCTCCGATATAATTTTTATAGATGACTCCGAGTTTTTCCAATGAACGTTTGAACATTTCAACGACTGAATCAACTTCCATTTTCCCTGAGGAACCAGCATGATTTGCAGTGCAAGTATTTTTATGTTCTTCGTACCATTCATTATACTCTTCTGTATCAAGTTTCTTCTTCCAAGTTTCACACAGTTTACAGTAGGCACTTTTAACAACTATATCTATTATTTTACCTGAATAATATCCAATCAAAGAGGTCACACCGTACAAGGAAGTATACCCTCGCTTTTTCCATGTGCCATCACCAGATACAGTTAATTCTGTTGAATGTTCGTTACCTTGATTATCGGAAGTCAAATTTTTCTCTTCGGTACAAGCCTGTGCAAAAAGTTTTTCAGTGGCTATTTTTACACTGGAGTGAATGTTATTTATTATCAAATCATAAGTTGGCTGTGATATAAAAGCTCGCATGTCCATTAATCCACAAAATTTTGCTGCACCTTTCAATCCTAATCCGAGAACTCTCATGACAAATAAAAATCGTCGATTTATTTCATAAGAATGCGTGACGAACGGACTAGAATTTACGCTACGGTCGGCACACTTATCACACAGCACAACTATTTGAAAACCAAGTCCTCGTTCAGAAGTTGTTTGAAACTTGACATCTCCGTCACAGACTTTACACTTTACATATTCAGCAATTGCTGTAAAAACAGTAATGAAGTTTAGTATGCGATACTCAACAGACGGATCACGTGTGACGGAGATTTCCTCTTGCTCTTTAAATTTTTTCGCCGAGGCACTGAAACTCCTTTCATCTGTTTCAGCTGTTTTTGGGTTGAAAACATTTTTACGTTTTTTTACTCTCGACTTACGTACATTATGAGATTTTCTCATTATTCGGGAAGACTTCATTTTCACTGGAAATTACACACAAAAAAATAAACGATCTCACAAGTTTACAGCTTGGCTTGGCTCCGTATACTGACTACCACTCTTAAATATGTTCCACTTTAGGGTCGAAAAAATATAAACTCACTTTTCAGGTATAAAATAAAATAATCACACTGTTGATTTACACATCTAAACACTTTAGAAGGGGAATGCTTACAATAGACAGATGCATGAAAGGGACAGCGCTCAGGTAGTCGATGCCGCTCCGGCCTTATACTCGTACTCCCAAGCGCTCCGAGACGTCGTTACAAATATGCGTGTAACTTCGAAAATATTTGCCGGATCGATTTGAAATTTCTTGTGTGTATTCTTGAATATATGTAGAATCAGAAAATAAAATAAAAAAAAAATCGATTTTTTGAAAAAATTAACTGTATATAACCCCTTAAAAGTGTCAGGGGCAGGAAACAAAGATCCATTTGCCAGCTGCCCTCGCGAACGGGAAATGGGGGCAATTCGTACAAGTAGTGCCGTTTCTGCCACGTGTAATTTATTACCTACTTTACGCAAGTTCACTGTATGTATTGTTAATACAGATGCACGTAATACCGTTTTTTAACGACGGTTCTTAATTGAAAGGTTAATCCTTTGCATAATGGTGGAACCTTCCATCAGAACATTGAACGCCCAAAAATTATATAAAAGACCAAGTTCACTTTAAGTTGATCGTGTCTGGATACCTTTTTACGATACATAACATAGCTGTCAAATTGTATTTTTTTTAACCATTTTTCCTTTAATTTTAAACATGAGTTATATCACCTTCATTTATTTCACCAATAAAAAAAAAACATGCAAAGAAGGGTTAAGTGGACACAGGTGTTATCAACAAATAATAGCAATTACGCCGTCTAGTGCCGGTATAGAATGGGCCATCCCATGGGTGTCGTAAGAGGCGATTTAGGGATCTATCTTAATGGTCGAGGGATGAGCAGCAGCGTCCCTCTTCATAAAACATCACCAAAATCACATTATTGTACGCATACATATATCTTTATGTATTTAAATAACGAACACAGTTTCGTGCCTCCAGTCAAACTTTTTATTACTCTTTTCCATCCAAAGGTTGCCTGGAAGAGACCGCTCTTAGCGATAAGGCCGTCCATTGTTTTCTCAGTGTAATATTTCGTTGCAATTGTTCGTATTTATAATAAGTGTATTGTAATCTTATGGAGGAAATAAAGAGTTTACCAATCTATCTATCACCAATAATCTAACAGCGGTTGCCAACCCGCCTGCTAAGCGTGGCATCTACTGGCAATAATTCCTTTATGGAAAAGGCATATGTTCAGCAGTGGACAGTTAACGGCTGATCTAATAATAATAACAAGATCAACATTTTAACCATATTTGCAAGCATTTTTAACTTGTAGGTATAAAAGTTAATACTTCGCTAAGAGGAAAGGAATTGTTAGTAATAGTGTTAGTTAGTTGTTAGTAAGAGAGAGAAACCATTTCATTTTCACCCATAAAAAAAACAAATATGTTGTCATCTTTACCTATCATATCTCACCTGCACCTACTGGATTGCCAGCGTTAATTGATAACGCGAACAGAGTTACCTTTACATTTTCACGTATTATAAAAAAAAAAACCTATGAATTACTTTGCAACTTTTTATACAGGGTAAAAGTGTAATCATTAGGAATATGTAAAACTAAGTATCTAGCCATGGTCCCATGTTATAGCACCAGATCATGGGAAGATGTTATATGGCATATGTTCTATAGAAGACGTCGGGACAGAAATGACGTTACCAATTCAAAATTTTAAATCAACAAAGGATTTTGAAGCTTCAATATTGATTGAACGACTAATATAATAAAATTAATATAAATATATAGATATTACATTGAATTTCAATAAGCCCAAACAAATCGCATAGAATTGATATCGCATCAATCATCCATTTCGGTCGTTTGTCTCGGTACAACTGTCCCAAACCCAACAAAAAGATAAATGCGCGGACGGGCCCAATTTCGGCACTAGAACAGTTGGGGTTGACAGTTTCGAGGAAACAGGAAAAAAGGAATATATATTATTGTTATATTTAAAAAATGATTTCACTTATTACAAGATATTTCGTCTCATCATTATATTTTCGTTTTTTTTATTTATTTTTGGAGGTTTAGTTATTATGTCCATTTTTGATAAATTCATACACGCAAGTACAAGCACACATGCTCATATTATACACACACACAGAGCAGCACGCACGCACGCACGTACCCACGCACGTACGCACGCACGGACAAACACAAAGGGAGACATACACACGCAAACACGCACTCACACAGACATTGACCGTCCCTAATAAAGTTACTGTAGCAATTTACATTTCCGTCTGGTTCTTTGACAATAGTAAACAGTCACTATAGTAGTGAATTTGTTGATTTTTTCCATGGTACCCGAATAAAAACTATGTCACGGTTGTGGCATAGATAAAACAATAATTCTTTGGTAGCTTTTACTCGTGACATTGTTCGCGTGACCGGGATAGAAGGTAGCCTATGTCCTTTTCCATCCCATACGTACTATATGTGTATAGCAAATTTTATATTAATTTGTTAATCTGTTACGGAGCTGAGAGCAAACAAACTCACTTTTACATTTGTAATATTACTAAGGATGCTATGATTACTCATTCCAAATTATTCATCAAACGAAAAATAAAAATGGGCCTTTGTTTTATCGGCTAAAAGTGTTTCTAAATCACAATCGAAGGAAGCTGTCAACCCGTCGCACCGCGCGGCATTAATCAGCCCTTCGCAGAAATCTTCGGCAAGTCTTGGAATATAGAATGATTTCGGCGCCGTGCCCCCTCCCATTTGGACTTCAATTACTGTTGTTTGAGGAAAAATGGATGGTTATGATAACGGTATTATTAAAATTGTTATTTTCACTCTCATTTTCAATGTTTATAAATGATTTGAGAGTCGTTCACAGACTTTGTCTTCGTGATCGGATGTTAAAAAAGGATATATGCTTGGTTGTATGTCATTATATTTTTTTTTATAAAAAGCAAGTTTTTTTTAAGCAAAACCTTCCTTTCTACTAATATTAGAAATGTGAAAAGTGAGTTTGTTTTTTTACCTTTCAGCGCCTTAATTAACGGCTTAACCAATAACTATGACATTAAGAATTGTTAGTAATGCGGACTTCCAGTCCTATTGCTAGAAATATACTCTGTCAGGTTGACCTCCACAAGGTCCCCACTGGAAACCATCGTGCTGAATCCCAGGTATATTCATCATGGTGGGCTAACTGACCAGCCTTGTCATTCTCACCTGTCATCCCTTACAGTGTATACCGTTAGCGTAGGTGGGGTTGACGTTCCATTGTTATTCATTAAAAAAATGTCCTAATACAAAATTATCTTTTCAGGAAACTTACACAGAGGTGCCGGTGTCTCCGACGCCAGAGGCCGAGCACTGCCACTGGAAGCCGCAGTCGGAGCCTCCCAGCGCGATACCCCAGCTGTTGATAGCTCTAGTCCTGTGCGGATTCTTTATGGTCAGTTCTTACGTCATAGCTTAGCATTAAGTTATATATAAGATATTAGTAAAGAAGGTACCTCTATTATTAGGTATTAGGTACCTCTGTCCCATTCGTGTTTCTACCTTGAAGCAATTGTGTTTGCATGGCTGTGTTTCGGTTTGAAGGGTGGGATATGGCGTGAATTTACTGGGTACGGAGGAATAACATCTGAGTCTTCGGGAATGGCAACGCATGGGGGGTATCATGGCCGAAACAGTGTACTCTGTTATGACCATGGTACTGCTCATGTCTATAGGCGACGGTTACCACTTTCCATCAGGTGGGCCGTCAGCTTGTTTGCCATTCTAAGTTGTATAAAAAAAAATACGAGTAGGTACTGCTCTATCGACTAAAACTCCACGATGTACCGTCTCTTCGCTGTAGTGCCGGGGCTAAAAATTGCTTTTTATGCTTTTGTATTCTACCGCTATCCCGGCACATTTAGGACTCTAGCTTTGTTTTTTTTTAGCTAGACTCTAGCTCTAGATCAGGGGTTAAAAAATTTTTAAGGTAACGGAATGCCCATCAATTAACTTTTATTTTATGGAATTCCATATCAAACGATTACAAATCAAAAACACTAATTTCAATAAAAAAAAAAGCTTTTATTAGAAATATTTTAATAGTTTAATACTATAGTTTCCTTTAATTTTTAATGTGAAGAATGAGATTGTTTCACTGTATAAATAATTTCGCAGAGCCCTGGTGACTTTTTTACGGAGCACTAAGGTTCTGCGGAACCCATTTTTAGGAATCGCTGCTATAGATCGTAGCTTATTAGTAAGGAGGACCTATCAGCTTCATTGCTAGCAATATACCCTATCAGGTTGACCTCCTTGTGGTTCCTCCTAAAACCATCATGGATAAATTTGCCACAATGGACCAATTCATCCTCATGGTATTGACAGATATGCGAGCTGATCGGCGGGTATCTGGCGGGCAGTTTGTCGGTGATGTGCGACGCGGCGCATATGCTCAGCGACTGTGGTGGGTTCGCACTGGCGCTGCTCGCTTTCCACTGCGCGAAGCGGCCACCCGATGTCTACATGTCGTATGGATACAAACGGGCCGGTTAGTATGTTTTTTCCTTTATATTTGACAGGAAATAGCACATAGCACATACATCTGGCTCGGAGACAAAGTGAGAGGAGCCATCTCTCTAGGCAACAGAGGGCAAGGGACTTCAAAAAGCCAAATGCGAAATTTACAGCAAATTTTTAAGGTGTCTTGTGAAGGATGTGTGGGGGGAGGCAGTGTATCCCGAAAATGGAATATTTCCGAACCGATACGACAACATAACCTTCAAGAAAAGAGCATATTCCTTTTTAAAAGGCCGGCAGCATACCTGCAATGCCGTTGGTGTTGTGGGTGATCATGGGCGGCGGTAGTCACTTACCATCAGGCGAGCCGCATGCTCGTTTGTCCACTGTGTTGTAAAAAAAAAATGGAAGTAGAATTTACTCGAAGTCAAAATGTCGACGGAAGGGCTTGAAGATACAATCTCGCTTTACTCTAGGGCTGAGGAAAGCGCTGGATTGCCTAACTACGGTTGCGAATTCGCCTGCCAAGCATGGCAACTACTGGCAGAAACCCCCTGAAAGGAGGCCTATGTTCAGCAGTGGACAGTTAATGGCTGATATGATGGGTGATGATGATGAATAATTCTATGCAAAGATAATCAATGTTACAAGGTTACAGTATTTAATCGTGTGAATACGATGCAGACGAATTCAAATGTTCACGCCTGGCTGACTGCAGATGTCAGGTAGGCTTATTGTCTGTCGCATAATGGCTCCACGTGGAAGAGAATATGGAAATTGTTTTCTCAAACTTTATGATTCTGATAAGTGTTTTATAAGATAATGTTATAGGTACTTATATGTATAATAGTTATTCTATGTTTATATATATTTATTTATATATGTATCAATATGTATATGTATATATTTATAATTTTGTTTATCTATACTCTGTTACTAACAATATAGCTGCTCATAATATAATTTATTATTTATTATACTATTTTTGCACCATATATGTTATGCTTTATATACAAATCCTATAGACAGTTTCTGCTTTAGAGTTCTCAAGGTTGTCTGGTGGAAATATCTTTAAAGGATAAGTCCGCCTGTGTACATTTTTGTTATAACTTAATATCTATATATGTACAAAACATATTAATATATAAATAAAAATAAATAATGCTATTTGGTACATTTTCGACTATTTGCAATTGAATTATGTATTGTTAAATATACAAATATTATTAACAAGTTTCTTGTCCGTTACTTCGTACGCTTGAATTTCAGAAGTAGGTATGGGTATTATGAATACCGATCCAATATCTATATATTGGGTCCTTTCGGACATTGATGGCAAATGAAAGGTTATCACCCATTCCGATACCGCCCATATCGGTCGGATATCTATTTTCGAATATGTTAAAAGTCTGTTATCTAATTATATTTTTTGGATAACAGACTTTTAACGTATTCGTTATTAGACCAGTATATAGATATTGTAACTAAAATATATAAATATTGCTATATATTACCTATCCCTGTTCAGATGTAGGGAGGTTCACCAGAGGGAGACTTTGTACAAAAGTTGATTGCTTGGGTACCTCTGTCCCATTCGTGTTTCTACCGTGAAGCAGTTGTGTTTGCATGGCTGTGTTTCGGTTTGAAGGGTAGGATATGGCAATGAATTTACAGGGTACAGAGGAATAACACCTGAGTCCTCAGGAATGTCAACGCATGGCTGTATCATGGGCGAAACAGTATACTCTGTTATGTACATAGTACTGCTCATGTCTATAGGCGACGGTTATCACTTTCCATCAGGTGGACCGTCAGCTTGTTTGCCATTCTAAGTTGTATAAAAAAGTTAAAGTAGGAAAACCAATGGTGTAGATCTTTTCTAGATAATGTATTAAAAAAACATAAAATACCATTGGGAAAACCGTTGTTTTTGTATGATGCCAAAACAGACAAACATACAGGCAAAGCAGACAAAATTTATATATTCGACAACAGATATTCTACCGATATGTGAGAAATCGAAATGTATGATGACCTTTGGTTTTGTCACAATTAAAATCGTTTTTTTTTAAACACAATTTTAAATTGTATAAAATAACGAATAAAATTAAAAAAAAAATGTATTTATTGGAACTATAAAAAATTACAAAAGTAGGGTAGTGTACAATAACAGCCACATTAGTTAAAAATAACTGTGTCGTGGCTGTCAACGCCCACCTCCTCAAGGCAGAGGCGCTAGCGTTCCAGTAGAATTAATAAAACTGTTAATTAAACAAAGAAAAAGCATGTACCTACATGTAGCACATATATATGTGCCCAACATACATATAAATATTTAGACGTTTAGTTTACATTATATTATTATATTAATAATTTTATATGATTAGTTTAAATGGCTAATATCAAGTCTGTTAGTTTGTGAAATAAATTATTATATCCTTTTTCCTTCAGAGGTGCTGGGTGCGATGGTGTCAGTTCTTCTGATCTGGATTCTGACTGGTGTGTTCGTGTACGTGGCGGCCGTCCGACTACACACGGACGAGTACGACATCGAGCCGAACATAATGATGATCGTGTCCGGCTGCGGGGTCGCCTTCAACGTCATACTGGCGCTCGTGTTGCATGGCTGCGCGTCAGACATAGGTCAGTTTCTCTCAGTTTTATTTTTTTGAGTATTCGGCTTGAAGGACCAAAAATATGAATATACATATATATATATATAGTTTTTTATTACAGATGAGAATAGAAACGAATAGGAGGCTGCGTGTCTGATTTGTATCGATTTAAATGTTATTGGGTTATTATAAGGCGGTTTCTATTCGTTATACTATTTTTTGTTTTTCCTAATTGGGTACATTTAGTCAAACTAGGTGTCCTAAATTTACAAAATTTAGGTTGATAAGGTTCTTTCAAAAATGGACCTATGTAGTATCCGGCTTGAAGGACTAAAAGGATTTGATTACGCTCATGTTTGTATTGAACGACTGCTCAACTTCATATCTGTCAGAGGTCTTTATATTTAACGAAACTATTAACATCAGAGGGCGATTCTCTTGAACGAATAGCAATTTAATAAGTAACTGATATTCAGGGTATTTGTAAGAGATAGATACACAGAGATAGATACACATAGTCATACATTATTAAGTAATATAAAGTTTTCCTTCTTCACCAGCTCACCACCATACACACGGCGGCGCAGCGTGTCCACACACGCACACACATAACCACGACGCGGACACGCCACGCGTCGGGTTCCGTCTGTTTAGAAGATCCCGCGAACACAAACAGACGAACGGTGCTCTAGTAAATGGTGATTACAGCATGAAGGATCTGTCCAACGCTGAGGCGAATGTCGTCGGGTCCCAGGCCAGGTATATTGCCTTCTTACAGCTAGTGTTTTGTGGTATACAATTTTAGAGATGAAAAAAAAAAAATAGATTTATGCCTGGAAACCAATGAAATCAACCGTTTCTGAAATAAAATACCGATGTAAAATCTATTTTTATTGTCTCTTCCCTGTTTCCATATATTTTTTTCACTCGGCGTTATTCCAAAAATGTAATTCTCGCATAAATACTTTTTTCCCGACCGACAGCCTTATTACTTTTTTTTCATCCGTCCGTTTCTTTCCCACTTTTTTTCGGCCCTGACACCTTGTTTTCTTTATGTTACTATTTTTTTTTATTCATGACATTTCTTGATGACGTATCAAGATAAAATGCGCACCGGATTTCCAGTCCATGTACGCGTAGAATGAAAAAATGCCTGGACATTTTTTCTGTTAAAATATTTATGTCATTTACAAATTGATTTCGTTAAATCAATTTACTCTCTCTGTTTAGCGTAACAGTTGACTGGTAGAGAATGCCATCAGGCATTTTAATGTATAGAAAAGTATAAAAAAAAAGTTTTTGTTTTTCAATTTTACTATTCAAACAATGTTTTTCGGATTACAAGGAATATTGGAAAAAAATTGCCGAATTTTTTTTTAATCGTTCCCGAGTTTTTTATTTAAAATAAATAAACATATAAATAACATCGCTTTACCCGCTGAAATTGTTGCTCCTTTTAACTTTGGGTTTGTTGGAAGAGATCTCTTTTAGAGTTAAGCTCGCACTTGTACATTTGATATTTTTATGTACTATCATTGTGTACAAGAAAGTATAAATAAATAAAATAACTAATGGCGATTCATTTTCATTTAAAAACATAATTAAAATAATTATGTAAATCAAATTCCAATAATTATTAAGCGATTGAAAAATATCCCGAAATGGGCGGAATTTTGAATCCGCATCTTCTACGCTCTGCAGGGACTAGTTGAGCTACTGAACGCCTGTTTAAAATTAACATTTAAAATTTTTGTATTACCTATATGTCTGGGACGTTTGCATACATTGTCGTATATTTGAATCGTCAAGTTAGTTATGTATCCAGAGCTAACTAGATAAGTGCTTTAAATATATTTTTTATATTCTAGGAATATCAACCTGCGCGCGGCTCTCATACACGTGATAGGCGATTTGATACAGAGTTGCGGTGTGTTGCTCGCCTCTGTGATCATCAAGTTTTACGTAAGTCATTCTCCTTGTATTCCTTTGTCTAAATAGATAGTCACAAACCATTCTCGTTTGTTAATGGGTTGCCTTTTTTTTAATTTTGTTGTATACGTTCTTTATTTAAAAAGTTGAAGATAATTTTTTTTTCAACATTCTAAATTTAAAATTTATGAAGGAATTCGATATTTAGTCAGAGTTCAAGCGAAAGAGAAAGATTTTATTTAGTTTAGCCTTATTATAACAAAAAAACCACAAAAGAACATCTATTTAAATCTTTAAGTATGTGTGTTAGTGTTATTGCAGTAATGAAGAGAGAAAATGCTAGTGATGGGGTCTAGTGGTCTTACTATTAATAATAAATCTTGTAAGATCGATTTTAACGTGTTTTCTTATTGGAAACGATTGTAATCGATTCTTAGTGTATTCGCTACGATCGACTAATTGATCTAACTTCATAGTCACCTATCGTCATTCACCGGTACCTCGCCAGCGTATACTTAAAGCGCAATTAAGGTTACCATATCATTATATTCCGTATAATATCGAAATGAAATACTTAATCAAAATAAATATGAATATCTGACTGGTATAGGCGATCCCAGAGGGAGACTTTGTACAAAAGTCGATTGCTTGGGTACCTCTGTCTTATTCGTGGTTCAACCGTGAAGCAGCTGTGTTTGCATGGCTGTGTTTCGGTTTGAAGGGTGGGATATGGCGTAAATTTACTGGGTACAGAGGAATAACACCCGAGTCCTCAGGAATGGCAACGCATGGGTGGTATCACGGGCGAAACAGTATACTCTGTTATGTCCATGGCACTGCTCATGTCTATAGGCGACGGTTACCACTTTCCATCAGGTGGGCCGTCAGCTTGCTTGCCATTCTATGTTGTATATAAAAAAAAATAGTAACGTCCTTCTTTTCCATCATCAATGTCCAAAGAAGCCCAATATCTATTGGGCTTCTATTATATATATATTGGGTGGGTTGTAATATTGGCACCGCTGACGCGTGCCTAGTACTGAGTATAGGACGAGCGGCACTGTGTGCGGCGGTGTGTGCGTGTGCAGCCGGCGGCGAAGCTGGTGGACCCGGTGTGCACGTTCGCGTTCAGCGTGGTGGTGCTGGCGACGTCGGCGCGCGTGGTGCGCGACGCGCTGCGCATGGTGCTGCAGGCGGTGCCGCCGCGCTTCCCGTACCGCGAGCTGGCCGCCGCGCTGGCCGCGCTGCCCGGCGTGCGCCACGTGCACTCGCTGCACGTCTGGGCGCTCTCCACGCACCACCTCGTGCTCACCGCGCACCTCGCGCTCGGTCTGTACTACACGTTTCTCACTTGCGTGCCTCTTCGTACATACGTTCATTTATTTATTTGCCACAACATGATGTTTTTACAGATATTGATTTATTATGAAGTTCCCAAACTTATTTTGTCTACTGCCCACTTTGAGAATAAATTCTTTTTTAGCGTCCCCATTTTTTCACCTACTTAAAAACTATTATTACTTCAAATTACAAATTACCCCCCAAGCCCTCTACACGACGCCCCCATTTTTTTTCTGGGTCTCTTACTGGTACTCATTCTTGATCTCATCCATTCTTGTCACATCGTCACAATTCGTCTTTCATACATCACTTTTACGCGCCAGTATACTGTACTTCATCTATTTTATGTTAATTTCTGTGCTTTATTGGTATCGCATACTCCGTCAGATCTAATTACATGCGGTCGCTCCTGGAAAACATCTTAATTACGTTGAATTCGTCACGGTGGGTCAACTAACTTGGTATGCGGGGGAAAAGGGATTGTTAGTAATGGAGACTGAGAATCCCATTGCTAGCAATATATCCAACCAGGTCGACCTCCTCGCGGTTCCCCCTGGAACCTATCATGGTTAATTCCTGACGAATTCATTATGATGGGCTAACTGGCCTGTTTTCATTCTCATCTATCACCCTTCACTGGTGCTCCGTCGGCGTATCCCGTTAGCGCGGGCGGGGTTACCATACCATTTTCATCCATCAAAAAAAAACTTGGTATGCGACACCAATGAGTGATAAAAGGCGAAGATAATAAATTTTACCTATTGTTACTCACTGACTGGGATACCGTACCATTTTGATCCTTTAAAAAAAGCTCACACGAAAGATCGAATTTTTTTTTTATTATTTATTTATTCTTTATAAAAAAATGTCTGATACAAAAGGCGTACTTAATACTATATAGCATTCTCTCCCAGTCAAACTTTGGCAAAGCAGAAATTTAATTATGCAAGGAAAAAAATTTAATATTGTTACAAATAAATATTTACACGTACGTATCGATATACTTACAAATCACGACACATGCACATGGAGAACTACTGTACATGTTATGATTATATAAATGTACATACATGAATACATTAACACGTTGAGCGCCACGCGTATTTCTACAGCAATCCCGTTCAGGCCACGCGCGCCGCTTCGAAGCGCTGGTACTGCACGAGCTGGTGTTTCCTATCGTAGTAGAAGGTAGTTTACGTTTGGAACGTGATTCCTATAGGCATTCATTGAACACGTTACGCACCAAGTCTGTTTTTTTTTCTGTAATTCCGTAAAATAGTGTAAAATTTTATAGTTCTCATGTTACACGCTGTCAGACACCGATGGCTGACGCGGCCTAAACGGAAAGTCTAGTGTCAGCCACCGATGGCTGACATGGCGCTCAACGTGTTAAACAAATATTACATAAATATACAAATATATATCATAAAAACATACATACAAATATAAATATACATGCATATGTATATTTATGTGTACAATGACGTGTGACTTGTGTTGGCAGACGAGCTGGCGGAGGCGGAGAGCGTGTTGCGCGCGTGCCAGCAGGTGGCGCGCGTGCAGTTCCCGGTGCAGGCGGCCACGTTCCAGCTGGAGCGCTACTCGGCCGCCATGGCCTCGTGCCGCACCTGCTGCCAGCAGCCCGCGCTCGTGCCCTGACACCTCACCACGCTCTCGCACTAGCTGCCGCCTCGAATACGCTCTGTACGCTTTTATTTTATGCAATTTAGAATGGCAAGCTGACTGCCCATCTGATGGAAAGTGGTAACCGTCGCCTATAGACATGAGCAGTACCATGGACATAACAGTATACTGTTTCGCCCATGATACTCTCCATGCGTTGCCATTCTTGAGGACTAAGGTGCTATTCCTCTGTATCCTGTAAATTCATTGCCATATCCCACCCTTTAAACCGAAACACAGTCATGCAAACACAACTGCTTCACAATTGAAACATGAATGGTGCGGAGGTACCCAACAACCTTAGCAAACGACTTTTATACAAAGTCTCCCTCTGGTAAACGCACTCTTACTGTCTGCGTAGACGGTGGACATATTGTTCGCTAACTAAAAGCCCCATTATGTTTGTGCCTCATCTTACCAAGTTTACAAAGCCAACGAGATAATTTTAGTTCTTAATAAACCCACTAAAATTGTGTGCAACAAAACACATGTGTTGTAAAACAATATAGGTTAAGAAAGGAAAATTTAATCCGCGATTAAAATATTCCTGCGCCTGCGCAGACCTCTGAGCTTTTACATGCAATTGTCGTACTATTTCTCGTAACCTAAATAAATAAATAAAGTTTGGTATCAATGTTTATAATATCCTTAATGTGTTGCCCTTAGATGCTATGTTAGTATATGTATATATACATTCAGGCGTAAAAGAATTTTTCAAATCCTGTTCGTCGTATAAAGTAATTTAATGTTTCGCAAAATATCACTAGATGATGTTGTTAAAAATCTTCATCGAGCTATGATTTATCCTTCATTGTTTCTTGTATTTTATATTTTTTTTGTTCTAGGAGTTCAATTTACACTCGAATATATCCTAATTTTGTTATCACATTCGGTGTTTGATTTCTTGGCCTTTGGAAGTACAAATCCGTTTATAAATGACCGAGTTATGAAGTGACAAACATAAAAAATATAATTGAATTGAAAACCTTTTTTGAAGTCGGTTAATAAATTAATTTTCTTTACAGGGTGTGAAAGAGGTGTAATATTTCAAGTCTCGTGAACGCAGCTTTTGTGAGGTGAGTTCTATGTCATATGACTGATATTATAAAAGAAAGAGAAAAAGGAGACGTGGAAAAAGCTAGACTGAGCTGACTGTCCCACCGTGGAAGTGTTAAAAGGGCATAGACTAAGAATCGTTACATTCGTGGCTTAAGATTATATAAAAAAAAAATATTGGCTTATTTTTTATGTAACCTTCATCTATGGATAGCTTCAGAAATGCATAATGAATATATATACAATTAAACATACAACGTTGTTCAAATTTAGAATACCGTAATTTATATTTTTTGTGAGCTCCCGATCTTTATTTATTTATTTAACTGAATTAAGTATATTTCTAAATATTAATTATATTTTTATTTTTAATAAAATATATAATATAAAATTTGTATTAAAAAACGAAAAAATTGTAACCTGCATAATATCACAGTGGAAGGAATAACCAGTGGTTAAACGCCTTTAACACGTTCCGAATGATAATATAGCAGCTCGGGACACTTTGCAGTGCTGCAGAGTCTATACGTTTGACCACTGGTTGCTAAGAGTAATAACTTGTTTATACTGTGACCATATGTTATAAAAAAAGTACAGTATTCCAGAACATTCCATTAAATTATTTGTATATACATAATGTAATATTAAATTAATAGTATTTTAAATGTGCCAATTTTTTATTAGCAACTGTTCCATACATTTTTTAACATTGTTATTAAATAAATGTATTTAGAATTGACATGTATTGGACAAATAATTATTTAGAGAGCACATACTGTAAGATTGACTCCATCTGTATTAATTCTTAATTTAGAAAATAAACAAAGTAAATCTCTTGATTTAGTACAAAGACGAGCTGTGAGAATAGACGACGATTCCAAGCTCACAGGCGGTATCGAGCCCTAAGGCTAAAAGTCTAAGGCCTCTTTGTGCGTTCTACCATTTATATAACGGATTGTGTTCTTAGGAATTGTTCGAAATAATGTCCACAGCTACCTTTTATCATCTCACCGCTTGCTATTGTCAGGGAATTCATTCTCACACGCTTGGACTTAAACTCAAAAACTTAAACTTAAAAAGCTCAGCCATTTATAAATAGATTTGATTTTTTTTTATTTGAACAGATATACTTTCAGATTACTACCATATAAATTTCATCAGAATCGGTTCAGTAGTTTGAATCTTAAATAAAAATAACTGGTTTTTCCACAATTGAAGTCAGTGATTTGTTTTTTTTGTGAAACAAAATCGACTTTTTCAATTTATTGCCCTATAAAAATTGTTTTTTTAATTTACATAGTTTGGAATTGGGTAATGTCGTTTGTATACGAAGACAGTTAATACAGGTGTTGCCAGTCTTAAAGTATAAATTCTCCTAAATGTGTAATTAGATTTAAGGAAAAGGTAAGAGGCGCCAAAATGAAGTTTGATAACAAAAATGATATTTACATGACTGAAATGCACAATATAAATAATAAGTATTCTATACAGAGGGTTTTTGTAAATGCATGAATATGGAATGGTAACCCTGGGTTATTAATTTACGCCGTAATTTACGTGGGGTGTCAGTGATGAAGTTAATATGTAGATAGATTAATTAGTCCATAATATATTTTATATTCTGTAGCTGTTAAAATAAAAAAAAAGTGTATTATATCTTTTTTTTTTTTATATAAACCAGTTTGAATTTCTGTTTTGTTCCTCACTAGCTAATTGTAATTGTCGAATGTTTAACTTGATTAGTTATTAATAAAGTTATTAGAATTTTCCCATAAGATGTGATCATGTGGTCAGTTATTATTCTGTCTATTTATTCAGCCCACATCCACCCACTGCTGGGATTATTACAGCATTTACTTTAAATCCATATTAAAAAATAATAAATAGGTCATTTTACTAAAGTTGGTGACCCTGTCACCAACTGTAGGAATTTTGCAGGGTCACCAACTGTACGAATTTTTCTAGAACTTTTTGTTTCTGTCCGGATTTTAGATAATTGTAAGATTGACCGAATATTTTTCTATTTTATTACAAAAATATTGAAGGGATATAAAATTTTCGAATTAAAAACGTAATTTCACTGGCGTCGATTCTGAGGCGTCATTTCTCTATAGCGACTTCTAAAATTAACATTTCAATTTGACATCACAGCCAATTCTTTATTGTGAGGATCTATATGAAATAATTTTTGACTAGGTTGAAGTTAAAATAATACTATATTAATTTATATAATAATAATAAATTATTAGATTAAATTGCCTCAGAATTGGCTCCATTGTGTAACTGTTTAATTTCCGGTTTTTTAGATATTTTCAATTTCTGTATTATTATTGTAGACCTTGTGAGATCTGACCACATATTTCAGAAAACGTTAATCCTTACAAAATATGGAAATAGTGAAAATAATAATACATAATATAAATAGAATAAAAAATGTATTATTAATAGTGAATAATTAAAATAAGGTTATGTTATAATTTAAACAGGGTTTGAAGCTGTTGTCCAAGTCAATTGCGACTACAAGATATAATATGTAAGATAAAATTATGATTAGTAATAATAGGTCTCGCTATATAGTAAATGCTTTCGACATTACATCACTCAGATTGAAAGTTCCGGTAGTGTGGCAACGTCGCAGTTATGTACCAATTTTTTTTCTAATAATTAAACAATTTATATTATAACGTTTCTGAAATGATGTTGGGACTCCCGCGCTTTTGTTGCGCATCAGAAATTTTCGCTCAAGTATGTATTGATGGTTTCCATGCCATCATTCGTCAGAATGGCGCGTTCATAGTGAGAAGAATGCGTGGAAGTGGCAACACCATCTTTAAAATGTCAGTTGAAAATGTCCATGCACCTGTGATGATAGGATGTGCATTTCGTCAGGATGATGACTAAAACACAAAATAAGTATTCCCTCGTTAGTTTAACCTTCTTTACTAATATAATTTTAAGTTTGTTGCCAGCATGAAATTTTGTTGTTTGATTATAAATAAATTTGGAATTGTTTCTAATTGATTATTTAAAAAGTGCTCTGATAGCGAACCAAAATATATGTAATGTAAATCATTAAATAAGTTGTGATACCTACCACTAAAAGTGTTGCACTCACTTCGTATTTTGCTTCGAATATATTCAAATATATATATTTTTGCTATCAAAATGCGTATTCTCAGATATAACTTTATAAGAAACTTGTTGAAATAATATTTTAGTTCGCTAACAATCAGTAAAAAATTTATGAAATATTATTATTGAAATTATTTTTCAAAATTGACAGATTTAATTTCATTCGATGGAACCGAAAGATGTAATATATATAGTTGTTTTAACCATAAGATAGTTTGCTGATGTCAATAGTTAGTACAAATAAAAAATCGATCAGTCAATTGAATGTTTCGACTTATTATCGATTTAATTTAAAAACTGTTTCTGTGATAATTTTAACAAAATTTCACGAAATAAAATACAAAAATTTATTATATTTTCATTACGTTCTATTGAAATAAATTATGTACTTATTTATTTATTTACACTTTATTGCACCATATATAAAAATAATAAATACAGTTAATTATTAATTATAATACCAACGTTGCCATACTTCAGTAAGTTTCGATATGAACGCCCTAAACTTTTATTTTTCCAGTGTTTTAAAATAATGCAATTGGCTTTAATCGCGTAACATTCTATTTAGTAATTTACGCTTATCCTTAAACAAATGTTTTAAGTATATAAATAAATGTATAAAATATATAGTTATAAAATAGTTATTATTATTAATACTGAATACTCAGACCAACAATTAAACGTACAGATGGAAAATTGTAGTTTGTATGTTGGGAAGGAATGGTTCGATGAAATAATTTTGAGGTTAAATCTTATTAATGGCAACACCTTTGTATTCGAAAAAAAAAATTGACATGTGATGAACATATGTAATTTTGATACGAATTTGTAAGTACGTTTAATAGATTAAGGATCATACTTGCGGTCCTTAATAGATATGATTATGCAATGACTGTAATTGTTAAAACGAGACACCATTATAAGCAAAACACGGATGTTTGGGCAAAATAGGATATTTTTTGTCTTGCCCTGTATACGATTTTATTTTTGGGTGACTCAACTTATTTGCGACATCAAAAGATTTATGTTTATATTACCCGTTTAAATTAAATAGCTATGTAATTATTATACGTCGCAAATAAGAAGGTACTTTTTCTATTTGTTCGTTTGCCCAATGACATCAGTCTGTTGCTATTTCATATTGCATACGCTCACAATATTATATAGGTTTTTGAGATATCATAATGATATCGCGTAATGATCCGTCTGTACAGGGTGAAATAGAAAATAGAGGTTCCAATATGAAATTGATAGCTGGATTTTGAAGCTAAAATTTGAAGTCTATCATTACAAACAGCACTGTGAGTTAGTATGAAAGACTTTAATTTGTTGTGGTTTTCCTACTTATATTTTTTTAGGAAAAGTCCAGTTTCTCTGAGCGTATAGACTTAATGGATTCTAATGATTTCGTTTTAACCCCGTCATTGATTTGTTGGTCTGAGTTTAGGTAATGAAACAGAAACGAGATGAAATATAATATATAATATCCACTGGATTATTACAAATGTATAGCTTAAATTAAGATTATAACGAAATTGTTCCAAAAATATATTCGTAGTGTAGCTAATGATTGTTATTTTTTTTTTTTTGTAATTAGTTTTAGTGTCTGTTTACATGTTGTTGTAATTTATTAACTTTTTAGAAATATGTATGTAGAAAAAATTGTTTTGAATTAAATTTGTTGAATAAAAACGAAGAAAGGTTTGTACCGTGATTTGGATTAGTTTATTTGACCTTTGACTTTGTAAGTAGGGTTACTATCGATTTTAAAATCAAATCAAACAATACATAATTTTATTTTAATTTTTTTTTATTTTGTAATAACATACATCATTTAGACAATTCGATATAAAAAAAATACGAGCTATAAATATATTTGATTACATAATACCTATTCACCCATTTAATACATAATATCATTTCTAAATCTGTAATTAGAGCCGTGAAGAATAAGTCCGGATAATCGAATATTCGGATAATGAAGATTCTATTGTATTACTTAATTTAGCTTCTCTAAATAATTTTAATAGTAATTTATATTTATTAATTAATTCAATATCTTGGTGTAACTTCTATGAACAGATCAGCATGTATTGATTTTCACTTAAAATTTATTTTTCTATATATATATATATATATTTTATTATTAGATGTAGTTAATGGATTTTGTGCTCAAATAGTGAATTTAATGTGATAGCTTTTTAGATAGTACTTGTAAATGATGTCATGTTAGTTAAATCTGACATTTCTGCGGTATATATCCTCTTTATATACCTATATATTATATACAAATCTTGTAAGTAAATAACAAAAAAAAATTGTAATGGATTATTATAATATAGTCGAATTAAACATTCTCATTTTTGAAGTTGGCTAAGAAATGTAATTATGTAAGAATTATACTCTGTACGTTATAGCACAGTGCGAATGACAGGTTATTAAAATCACGAAAAAATACGGATTCACTTTAACATTTGACTTTGAGAAGTACCAATTGTTATTTTTTTTTTTTATGTTTTGGAGGCGAAGTTGTACTCAATACAATATTTTTAAACTGAACACTGCCATAACTGTCAATTGTCACACGCACCGTGCTACAATGCGCATAATATAAGAGGTAATCTACTGCGGCTTGTTAATTACACTAAAGAAATATCTATGTCGTAAGCCAGATCTTAGAATTGATCAATTGATGTGACCAACCATTCATGAAACTCCCAACGCGTCTCTAACGGTGGATCATTATTATATCAGTCGTTAACTCTTTAGGGGGGGGGGGATGCCAGTAGTTGCCATGCTTGGCAGGCTGATTGGCAACCGCAGTTAGGCTTTGACGATGTTTAAAGAGGGACGCTTCTATCGATCCCTCGAACATTAAGTTCTCTTAGTCGCCTCTTACAACAAGTCGGAAAAGGAGTGGCCCATTCTATGCCGGTGCCATACGGCATAATGGTGGAATACTGTCTCATGTAACTATATTACGATATGACCACTAATCTTTGACCACATCACGAAGAAGCCATGCATTTAGCTGTTCATATTGTCAAACGTTGATTTATTCATTGACGTGGCCAAGTTGCATCATGATGTGGGCTGTAGGCATGGGTGATATGGATGCCGATTGTGTATCTATCAATTGAATTCCTCTGGATATTAATGGCGGAAAGTCAATACCCATTTTGATATCGCCCATATCAATCGGATGTCTATTTTCGAATATGTAAAAATTCTGTTATCTAATAATATTTTTTGGATAACATATTCGTTATTGGATCAGTATATAGATATTGTATCTAAAATTACCAGAGGGAGACTTTGTACAAAAGTCGATTGCTTGGGTACCTCTGTCCCATTCGTGTTTCAACCGTGAAGCAGTTGTGTTTGCAGGGCTGTGTTTCAGTTTTGAAGGATGGGATATTGTGTGAATTTACTGGGTACAGAGAAATATCACCTGAGTCCTCAGGAATGGCAACGCATGGGGGGTATCATGGGCGAAACAGTATACTCTGTTATGTCCATGGTATTGCTTATGTCTATAGGCGACGGTTACACTTTCCATCAGGTGGGCCGTCAGCTTGTTTGCCATTCTAAGTTGTATAAAAAAAATATAGTAATTGTATCTAAAATATATAGATATTGCATCTAAAATATATGGATATTACTATATATTACCCTAATGATCTTTAATGTTCGACTATATCACGAAGTATGCGTTTAGCTGTTCATATTGTCAAATGCTGATTATTTATTGATTTGACGATATCATAACTTTTTTTATGCAATTTAGAATGCCAAACAAGCTAACGGCCCACCTGATTACCACCGGAAAGTGGTAACCGTCGCCTATAGACATGAGCAGTACATAGACATAACAAAGTATACTGTTTCGCTCACGATACCCCCCATGCGTTGCATGTATCTTTATGTAGGCAGTGGGTATTTACCATTTCATGAAATACCAGTACAACCATGTCATGAAATGCTCGGCTACATCATAAAGTGATCAATTCTAAGATCTAGCCATGACATCTACGTTAATATTTTTTTTAATGTATAATACGTATTTGTTATATTTTCAAATGCTACTTGTTTAGCGGGGCGGTATACTTAATTCGGTAATATAATACGCACTTGTTGCGTAGTGTAAATAGAAAGTTACTCAGCTGAATAGCTGAGGTATACAGGTTCGAGCCCTTGTGAAAATTTAATTAAAGTTTGATACATTTACATATGCAACATGGCGTCGATTCGCTGAGCCGCTATTTCTTTAAACTTGTCTGTAACTTTAAAATTTCAATTTGGTAATACAGAGAAAGTGAAAGCGAAGTGAAAAATATCCAAAGGTTGCCTGGAAGAGATCACTCTTAGCGATATGGCAGCCTATTGTTTTCTTAGTGTAATATTTTCTTGCAATTGTTTGTATTTATAATAAGTTTACTATTGTAATCTTACGGAGGAAACAATAAACGGTATCTATCTATCTATCTATTAAAGTGAAATTTTTATTTTAAGGACCAATATGAACTGAATTTCTTACAGATTTAAATCAATATTGTATTCAATTTAGTTTTTTTTTTAAAGTTAAAATAGTAATTTTGTGAAATTATCAAATTAAAGAATTAAGAGATAAGTTTAAAGAAATGGCGTCTCGGAATCCACTACAATTATAAAAAAGATGTTAGATTAAAAATAATAAATGTAACGATATTTATATATAGTGTGAAATAGTCATTAGTGTAAGTACAATATAATGTAACCATTTGTATGGGGCATGCCGTATGGTTTCTATTGATGTAGCCAAGTTATTTGTTATATGTGGAGCGAAGACGCCGAGGCTGTTTGCTGTTAGTTATTGCATTTATAGGATAAATTCAAATCGTCTTTATTCAAATAAACTTGTTTACTAGCACTTTTAAATCGTCTTTTTTTTTTTAATATGTAAAGATGTAAAGCTTTGCGCGAAAAATAGGCTCTCAAGACACAGAGTTGGTGTACTTAGGATTGCTTTTTAGGACTTGGGCCTTTAAAGAAGGCGTATATATATACTCTTAACAATGTCTTTGTAAACCGTCGCTTGGATCCTGAAGTGGGCATGAAGAGGAGGGCCTCAGAATTACGCCTATCTATGGCTTAGCATCATGTTGGCCATAGTTTTATACATATTATACCTATTTGTAGGATAAATATGTCCTTGCTTTGTAGGGTAACATCAGCCTGTCGGGATGAAGGGGGGGGGGAGATTGTTAGTAATGGGGACTGGCGGTCTCATAGCTAGCAATATACCTTATCACTGGGTTAGTCTTGAAATAAAATCTAGTAAATCGACATTGGAATTGAGACTTTTCGCACTATCGAGTTGCAAATTGAACTTACGACATAATGGTTCCATACTGTTCTGAGAGATGCATACTATTGTTAATAGATGCATATTATTGTCTCTCTCTGCCTGCCCGTATATATCGATATCGCAGGCGGAGTCAATATTTCATTTTTACCGCCTTTTTTATTTTCCATTTTTAAACAATTTCATTCCATCCCTTTAAATATAGATTAGCGCAACCATGAGAAGGAAAGACGCCGGATGTTGGTGTCTTGTTCTGATTCCATATACGTTATGGCGATATGTACGTTCCTTTTTAAAATTCAAGCATTGAAATGGTCTATTCTAATTATTACTATTTTTATTCAAGCAAACTGAACTTTAAAGTACTTTGTATAGTCATTTTTAGCTAAGATTAATTTAAATCCATAATTAAATTTTAGCTGAAACTTTATTTTTCAAACAGAAATGGAATTTTGTATTTGTTTGGATATCAGTCATTGAGTTCGATTCTGAAATGGCATTTCTGTGAAGCTACTAACTTAATATTTGTTATTTTATATTTTTGTGAATTTTCTGTACCATCTTAAACTATATTTATAATAATAATAACTTAAAACTATTTGAAATTTAGTTTATATTCATTCTTAGAATAAAGATTTCGCTGTAATATTAAACAGATTTTTTAATTTTAGAAATAGTTTTAGGGAAATGGCGCTTCAGAATCGACGTTATTGTGTTCAGTATTTAAAAATAAACTGCTAACTTTTTTTTAACAATCGCAGTATTATTTCCCGCCTTACACCATGCGACGTAATTTATAAATGACGACAACTTCAAGGTCTAAAACTAGCAGCATCGAGCCTCGTAGCAGTTGCCAAATGGTGTAACCAAATAAAATATTTTTGTATAATAAGATGATATACTTACCATAAATGTTATGATTATGCTATTGTTTGTTTTTTTTTTTTTTTGTTAGTATAATGCATGCGTTCTCCGTCCCTGTTCGTAAATTTTTGTTGTATCCACTGTACTGAGGAATAAAATTATATAATATTCAATTGTTTTATTCAAGTTCCAATGTATTAAGCTAAAAATAATCTTGTTCATTTTTTTATACGACTTAGAATGGCAAACAAGCTGACGGCCCACCTGATGGAAAGTGGTAACCGTCGCCTATAGACATGAGCAGTACCATGGACATAATAGAGTGTTCGCCCATGATACCTACCCCCATGCGTTGCCATTCCTGAGAACTTAGGTGATATTCCTCTGTACCCTGTAAATTCACGCCATATCCCACCCTTCAAACCGAAACACAGCCATGCAAACAACTGCTTCACGGTAGAAACACGAATGGGACAGAGGTACCCAAGCAAATTAATTAATGAATAAATGAAAAAAAAAAATGTGTCCAGCTGTGTAGTAGGGGTAGATGACATTTTGTCGTTTCTCTGTCGTCAAAATAGAACAGACAGAATGCATTTTATAAAAATAAAATTATCTATGTACGAGTAGTAGGCGTGGGCAATCAAATAATATTTAATGACGAAGAATCCGATCGAAATCAATAAACACATCCGACCGGTACGGGCGACTTCGAAACGAGCGACCACCTTTTTCCCGCCATCAATGTCCAAAAGAATCCAATATATAGATATTGGAGCAGTACCAATATTTTTTTTGATGGATGAAAATGGTATGGTAACCCTGCGCTAACGGGATACGCTAGCGGAGCACCAGTGAAGGCTGATAGATGAGAATGAAAACAGGCCAGTTAGCCCGGTTGGGTATATTGCTAGCAATGGGATTCTCAGTCTCCATTACTAACAATCCCTCTCCCCCCCCAGTACCAATATTACCCATGCCTAACGAGTAGTAATCCGTCTCTGAACTAATAAAGAGGAAAGATTTTGTTTATAATAGATAAATTTAAAAATACTTAACCGATTTCATTGTTTCACCCACAGAAAGCTGTATGAACAGCGACTAACATGGGCTGTATTGTTGTAAAATCGCCGTGTGTTCCAGCATAGAATAGACCACCCCTTCCTTTCCCGTGGGTGTAGTAAGAGGCGACTAAGCGAGAGGAGAGGATGAGCAGTAGCGCCCCTCTTAAAACATCCCTAAAAGCCTAACTGCAGTTGTCAACCTGCTTGTCAAGTGTTGCTACGACTGGCAAACCTTCCCTTATGGGGAAGGCTTATGTCTAGGACTGGACAGTTACGTAAAAGTAAAGCCGAAACCGGTCGCTACTCTTTGTTAAAATGTATACCTTCCTTCCGTGCTACATAGTGTAAAAAATAGGTTGACAGAACTGCAGGAATTAAAAAAAAAAAATGAAATAACAAACAACTCAACTACTTATATATATTTATTATTCTTTTGAAGGCAATTATGTCAACACATAGTTTATTTACAATACCACTATCTAATTACATGACGCATGGCTTAATTTGTACAGAGTAATATCACAACAGCGAAAACAATATCGATTTAAAGCTGCCTCGAAAACTATCACTGCCGTTAGCTACTTTATTTAATAGTCGAGTTTTTATTTCATTTAAAATGACAAAACTGTTGATGGAAAGTGCTAACTAACTCTCAGTTTATTAATTAACTATTAAATTCTAAAATTACCAAATGTTAGTACATACATGTGACAATTTTAGTTTTAACTGGTTATTCCCATTTTTTTTTGTATATTGTAGTAACACTAACTAATGTTCTTGAGGTTAACTTGATTTTGGTATTCATCAAATTTCGAATTAATTTCTTGCGAGAATTAATATTTTTTATAATGTCAAAAATATAAAAACTCGACTATTAACAAAAGCTTTATTACGCTAAGGAACGATTTCCCAATTTTCAGATAAGATTAATACAGCATTTCGTGTCCAAAAATTTAACAAGTAATTAGAATATTATTAGCTATAAATTGTAGACCATTCAATATGGCCACACTCTTTACCAAGCAAGGGGGTGAAATGTAATGAACATTGTAAAATTTTAAATGTAAAATAAACATAGATATGTTATCTACAATTAGACATATTAATAAGGAAGCTTACAGTAAATTTATTACGATGGGGGCGACACAGTGTTCAAAACAATTTTTTTCTTTGCACCTATACGGGAAAAAAAGTTTAAAAACTTTAATTTCCCGCCATTATAGATTTTTTTTTTAATTACTCTGTCCATTAACTTTCAATAACATTGTGGTTGTTTACGTTGTAACATGGTGGCGCCACCTTCGCAGAAAAGTTTTCCTCTTGCAAATTGTAACATTTAAAATGTTACAAATTCAATTTTATGTTATAAAGGTTTTAATTTATTATCTGAGAATTGAAAAATTTTACAAATTATCCTAAATTACTTAAACAATTTTTACATAATACTATTATGTTGTGACAATATAAATTTCATGACATTCAAAGACAAGACGCTGAACATTTATCAAGTAAGACGACAGTTCAGCAACTTTCGGCGACGGTTTGAAAAAGCAAATTAATATCACACATTCATTCATCGATTTAGGAAGAAAACTAAATAATTAAATTTTTATAGTTTCGAAATAATCATTCTTTGTTAAAATTATTAATTATAATATATTTTTATAAGGATTGATAGAAAAAATAATGAAACAAAATACAATAGTACATTGCAACTACTCCGAAACTGTAAAAATTAATTTATTTCGTTTTACGAGAGTAGTATGAGAACTATGAACTATATCGTAATAATAAATTATCAACATATAATACCAATAAATTATTCTTTATAACTGTTTGAATCTTTAATACCTTAATTTTTTCATCAAAATTAAAATTATCGGTTATTAGAAACTTATTGCAAGATTCACATTTTGGTTTGTTGTCAGAGTACGTTTTAAATAAACATTCAGCAATATTGTTTTTTTTTTTTTTTAAATAACAGCTTATTCTTTTTTACAGTTTTATTTAGATATGACCTCTCTTCATTGTTACTGTAACACGTCTACAACAATAGTTATATAATATATGGTATATATATATATATATATATATATATATATATATATATATATATATATATATATATATATATATATATATATATATATATATATATATATACACACACACACATTTGATAATAACTTTATATTTGTGACACTAGTTGGCATCATCGTTATACAAAACCACACGTTGTGCGATGATAAGCGTAATTTACTGACAGAAAGCGTTTCCTATATAATATCTAGTTAAAACTCGGACCAAGAACAAAGTATAGACGGATCTCTGAGCACTGCACTAGTGAAGCTGCAAACTTATGCATAATCAAATGAAATATAATAAATTCATTCAAATACACACAAAAACGAGTCATCGCTTATCGAAATATTTTTTAGATTTTTACTGATAAAACATAGGTGTTGCCAGAAATCAAATAAGAAACCATTTAAATTCAATCTTAAATTTTATAAACTATCATTTTATCTTATTGGCATAATTGTATTAAACTAGCTGCCCGCACTGGCTTCGTACAGGGTTTTAACGTACAATTTTTAATAGATATTATTTTTTATATCAAACCTTCTTCTGTCAATTCCAAACAACAAAAAAGCAATTGCCAAATAGATGTAGTCGTTCAAAAGTGATACGGTTACATCCATTCCGCACTTGATTTTTATTTATAAGATGACGCCAATAAGACCGTTTATTTACCATATTTATGAAAAAAAAAAATATAAAAATGGCAACACATCTTAACTCACCTTTCAAAATAATCTGTAAAGTTTGAATATTCCGTCTATACTATTATTTTGGTTGAGTATTCAATAACTTACACTAAATGCCTGACCGAGACGCTCATAAAAATAATTAATAAATGCATTTACAACTTAGACAAGTTATTACTAAAATTTGTCATTCCTGTTCACTCCGTGGGAGTCCTAGCATAAACATATAGATATATTGTCAATTCTATTGCTCATGGTTGGTTGTAAAAAAAAGTCCTGATCATATATCTATAGTCGGACTAACCTATTTTTAAAATATCACACATTTTATAACTAGGAGTTTTAAATTTGAAATAAATATTTCACTAATTTTGACAAATAAAAATAAAGACAATTAATCAAATCGGGTTTCATTTTTTAGTTTATTATAAACTGACAAATTTTGTCATGAAAAATTGAAATCAAAGTATATAAAAAATATACTTACTAGACTAAACTTAAATAATTTACGTCCAGTCTGGTCAGGCTTAATAGAAAAAAAAATAGCTAATCCACTTAATTTTTACATGATTACAATACAGTTTTATTTATTATAATTATAATATATTTTGATAAAACAGTGATACTGTGTAACAGTTATAAAATAATTTAAAACACCATGGAAGACTGAGCTAAAATAAATTAATGTACTCATGAAATATAATTCTATTAAAACATAGCTATAAACATATAAAAATAATAAAAGTTATAAAAAGTGAGTATAAATCATCACCATAGACACTAACTATGTCTAAACTTTTTTTTTCAATATATACTTAATAAAAAAAAATATAAATAAAAATGGCGGGAAATTGTACTCAATACAAACATGGCGCCGACTACAAAACTAACGATCTAAATAGTACAAAATTAATTTAATAATACTGAGTAATAATAAAAAATATAACATATAAAACATTAAATTAATTCAATTTTGACATTAAAAAAATGATTGCATACAGTAAATAAGTATAATATTTACTTAATAATTTTCTCACAATCTAAGGCAAGTAATTTAAAACAAGACACGAAAATGAAGCCAATAAATTTGAGTATGAAATATATTTCTTTCGGATACTACATCGTATAGCCTTAGATTATATAGATAGAGCATCAAGCCTCAAAAACGAGCCAACTTTTTGTCAGCTAATTGTCTTGTTTTTTATCAGTATTCTACATACTTACGCGTAAAATGTATCCTAACGTATTATTTAATGAGTGTTTACGCATTAAAAAAGCTGCAGAATTTATAAGACAAAATAAATATAGAAGTTAAAAAGAAAACATAACTATTTATTACGCAAAATTGTATGAAAAAGTTGACCCGTTTATCTATGGAGACACTCTGATGGAGATGCTAAACAAAAGTGATCTACTATCTCGCTTACTAAAGGAGAAGTCTTTAAAGATCAAATTTATTGGCAACAAAATGCATTTCAGAGTGTATTACTTGATGATTATTATTAAACAAGTTTAACTGAGTTTACTCTTAGTTAATTGACCGTAAAAAACGAATCTAATGGAAAATTTAAAATATCGAAAACACATAAAAACCCGAGTATTTACTTACCATAATCACTGCCAATATTCGTCACATGTATTTGATAAACTTACGAAAATTAACAAATTTAATAGTTTTAGGCAATTTCTCAATTAATTTAAACACACACCTAGCTAATGTTTACATTATTATCATTTCTCTTATTGCATATAATTGATTTTTCTACTAATCTAAGGCATTTTATTAATTTATTAATAATAAATTACAATATTTTATTATAAATAAAACAAACTACATATCTTACGACTTCACCATTATTGTATGATTTGAGAATAATTGCTAATAGGATCCTATACGCAAACCATACATAGTACAACCCCTTCGTGAAAAAAAAAAGTCGTTAAGTAATTTATGTCGGTTTAGAGGGAATCACAATTGATTTATGCACTTCATAGGCGTATTTAAGGGCTAGGGGGGGGGGGGGGGCTGGTGGGCCATGGTCATTCTAGAATTATTTGGTTCCCTTTTTTAAGAGAGGCTAGGCTCTAGGCTCTCTCTAGAAAATAATTTTAAATACGCTAGTGATGCACTTTGTCGTAAATTGATATTTCAAAATACTATCGCTAGATTCAGTTTGTTACCTAATGGCGACCGTGGCCCAGCGGCAGATACACTGCCTTGCGTTATGAGGTCCCGGGTTCGATTCCCGGTAAGGGAAAATTTGGGAAACGAATTTTTCTGAATAGTGTCCGGTCTGGCGTTCCGGGTTCGTGGCCACATACATGTGTACATGTAAAGATGTATGTTGCCTGGTTCCTCTATAACACAGGGTGTTTTAGCTTGAAGATCAGACGATTGTGTGGCACTTATTATAATTATTTCCCTACGTTATAATGAAAAATAATAAAGGTTGACAAGAGTATGTTCATATTAATTGAATGTTTAAATCAATAATTACTATTATTATTAGGTATTTAGAGGGGGGAGAACGGTTTTTTTTTTAAATGGATGATAATGGAATGGTAACCCCACCCGCGCTATCGGTATACACCGGCGGGGCACCAGTGAAGGATGATAGGTGAGGATGAAGTAGGTCAGTTAGCCCATCGTGACGAATTCAACAAGAATTGTTCACGATGGTTTCCAGGGGGAACCACGTGGAGGTCGACCTAACAAGGTATATTGCTAGCAATGGGGCTGTCAAACTCCATTGCTAACAATCCTTTTCCCCCCTGAGGGAGAAGGGTTTGGGTTGGTAATGGGGATTAGCTTATTTCATTGCTAGCAAAATACACCTATCAGGTCGACCTCCTTGCAACTTCCCTTGGAAACTAAAGTGATTGATTTATTGTTAAATTTGTCACGATGGCTTACTGACCTGCTTCATCATCTCTCATTCCTCACTGGTATATATGTATCTGTATACTGATAGCGCAGGCGGAGTTACCATTCCGTTATAAGACAGTATTTAGAGTTTAATTGAATGATACTTAAACCAATCATATATTATCACTAAATGATTGTATATTGTTCTGTTATAAATATATATAGGTATATACCTATTATATGTATATACACGGGTGAACAAACAAACCCGCTATCTCATTATATATAATTAATATAACTATTTACTATGTACATATGAGTAACTACAAGTACAATATATGTATATCTGTAGCTATAATAAATATTTAAAGATTTAAGCACTAAATTATTAGTTTGAATATTATTATGTTTTTATTTACATTTCATAAGCGTTTCATATTTTAAATACAAATAATAAATAAATAATTTCATAATAAAAAAAAATAGGCAAGTGACATGGCAAGAAAAATTTTCGATATCGCCATAAATATTATGTAATATTATAAAATGTTATTTGCGTGGATTGGAACGCGAGGTGTGAGAAGGACAAATGCATGATTGAAAAGTGTAACGAATTGTTCGAAATTCCATAGATTATTAATGACATTCGAGTAAATAGAACAGAATTCCATTTTATTATCTGTGTATAAAGAAAGCTATTCCTTCCCTCGTTACAATGTAATATGTATGACATAATTTATAACTTGTAACTGAAACAGTTATTAATTTTATATTTCAATACTTATAAATATTAATTTTCTCAAAATGCTTGAAAATGTGAGCATTATTTTGACAATCTTCTTCGAGATAAATCAAAATTGCCGTACTGGCCAGATACATGCGGGCAGCGGCCGGCAAAAGTTGTATAAATATCCATATCTGTCGTGTTTTGCGGCCAGATAAATTACGTACTCACGTATGTGTGGCTCGGCTACACCTCGGCCCACATTTGCACGTTCGTCCATCAATGCCTCAGTTGCTGGCCGCTGCAGTAATGTACTATTTTAACAAGAAACTCGTCATACGGGCGTGAAGGATTCAATAGGGTTAATCGGGGAACCCATATATAAAAAGATCCCATGTTTTAAAAATCTGTTACCAATTGTTTGACAAATATGAGTAAAGGAATTGAATATTATGTTTCTTTATGATTTTTTTTTATAACTATTATGATATGTATAATATTTATTACATTTTTTAGTGGAAAAATATTGCGTAGTATTATATGGTGACAGGCTTAGGAATTATTTATACTAAATGACTATTACTAATTAGTACTTTAGTTACTTGACTGCGAGATATCAAGATCGAATCAAAGTCAAAACCTTGGAATTTTTAATGTTTTTAGGATTAGAAATATGTATATATTATTATAATAATGGAATGTATTTTAAATATTGATGATTGTACTAAAAAATATATTGCATACAATTAACACGTCACGAGAATCGAACTTGCGACCTGTGACGTAACCTTATATCGTACCGTCATATCCTTTTACTTGGACAAAAATATCATTGTTTCTTCACAGTCTAAATTGTACCTACAATCCCTTGTAATAGTGTTCAATATTGCATACTTATACATAGGTTTCATTATAATTAGATGCTATACACTTAGATAGAATAGAATACAAGATAGTCGAGTGCGAAAAACGTTCCAACAATTATAAGCTGAAATGTAAAAAAAAAAGCGCGCCATTTTCAGTATTGCCAGTAAATTTTAATATTTTGGTATTACTTCAATCCGAGAATGAACTGATAAATCTATTAAGTATTAATGAGTGTATTTAAATATGGTTTATAATATATAAATAAAAATAAATATAGTTGGGACTGATTTTGGTAATGCATTTGTAGAGAATTTCCGTCTAGAAATATTAAATTTACATTACATTTATACATTTTATCAATACGTATAGTATTTGCACTATTGTTATGTAGATATTATGAGAAGAAATTATAAAGATGGATTTGGACGAAAGGAAAAAAATGTATATAACAAAAGTACACATAGCTAAGCTAGCATAAGCCGGTAAGGCTTATTCATAAAAACAAATCTACGACCCTTTTTCGACTACAATGTTTTTTTACGTTCTTCCTAATTATGAATTTAGTTCAAAATAAGGAGATAAAACATTTCAATACTTATAATTTAAGATTACGTTCCACGAAAAAAAAATGCGACTTCAGTTATGGCAAAATCATTTATTTTTATAATATATAAAAACTATGTTACTCTACTTATTTTGATATAATTTCTACAGTTATATCAATCAATCAGTCAACAACTGACAGAGTTATGAGGTAACAAACAAACAAACAACACAATTGGGAACCTCTCCCTTTTCTGAAGTCGGATACAAAAGAATCGAGCTCGACAAGTTTTGCGTATTTATGATTAAATCTGTGTGATCTCGTAAGTCAATGTCTTGGGTGACTGTTATTTTTAATTGTTTCAAATTATATTCTTTGATTGTATCTGAAGCATTGTGAAGTCACAATTGTAAAACCAAAATCCCTAAGAAACGTAATAAAAAACTGTAAAAGAATAGTAATCTATTTTATATATGTGGAAAGATGTATTAACAATAGACAAGTTAAATTTTTCTTTCATTATTTTTTTTTTAAGATGGTCAAATATACTAAATAATATATTTATTATTGGTACCTATAATGAGACTATTAATATTATGCTAAATCAAGAGTTTTAACATAAAAAAATCATCAAAAGCGATCCTACGTATAATTATTTTAAATTTGAGCCACGAAAAAAAAAGAATAATTTTTCTCTAAATCCGCACAAATAAATATTGCACCTTATTTTTTACGACATACGGTTGACATTTATCATTATCTATTTACCATAAACAAAATTGTACTTTATAAACTAAAGATCAAGAATATCACTGGTGGCTTATTAGGGTGTTTACAGACTGATTTAGCGATTAAGTTAAGCGACAAGTAATTTAGTAGTATCTACATGCTTTTTTTGTTTATTTATACTATGTAAATGAACAAAATAAATACGTAGTAATTTTGTGAAATGTTTAATTATTCAGCATTTTACTAAATTACTAACTGTACTTATTTCACTACTAGTACAGTGGAAGGAGTTTTCATTAGTAGTTCTTTATATTGTGCTATTAGTGTCGGTAGTGTAAAACCTAAGTAAAATTTTTTTAGTAATTTAGAGGAGTGGCGAATGGTTAAGGAGTTAAATGTATTTGATTAATGAAAATAGTTTTAGATCAATCAACTAAATCTGGAATCTCACCTGTATGTTAGTTTTGAGTTTTAAACATTTTTATTTATGGTTAGATACATCGACAATTTATTGTATTATTGCGAATTGATATAGAATATATTATTAAAATTCAAAAATCATATTTGAATAATTGTTAAGTAAACAAAAATTTTTTCGAAAGGGTTTCCAGTGAAGCGGTAGCATAATTGGTATGAACGTCAGCCCCAGTTAAGTTCAAAATTTGACTGCTTCGAAATTTTTTAATCACTTGATAATTATTTAAGGGATAATAACATATTTTTTTATTTTTCTAGTTTTAGTAATTTAGTCGAGTGGCAATTTAATAATAAATAATCTTTATTTACTATTATTATTATTAATCTTTATTTACTATTAATAAGAAATTAAGGTGTCTGAATATAAGGAAATATTTATATTGTCAAGTAGTATTTACTACTAAATTACTCGCCAATTGACTAATTAGTTGTAAAGAAACTAAACATCTAAAATCTCACTGGTTTGTCAGCAAGTTTCGACAGTTTTAGTAATTTAATCGAGTGGGCAATCGATATTTTTTATTAAATTACTCGCCAACTCACTAAGTTTAACAGCTAAATATCTTAAATCTCACTAGTGTATCGACATGTTAAACTAAGTTCCGATTGCTTTATTAATTAAGGCGAGTTATTTAGTAATTAAAGAAACCTCCACAAAAAATAAGACGATTTCATCGAGTAGTGATGTTTTTTTTACTAAATTATTAGCAACTCAAATATTTATCCATTAAGGATAGAGTCACATTCGTCCGTTTGCACGTATGAACTGGTCAACACATGTAACGAATTAGGCCTTACATGCCAACGCATGTAAGGCCTAATTCAAAATATTTTGTAATTTAATCGAGTGGCGAATAATTTGAATATTTAAGTGTCTGAAAATATAAGTAAATATTATTTCACAAAGAAAATCGACTACAATCGTGGCAACACCAGTTATTTGATTTAAAAACCAAACAATTGAACCAATTTTAATTAATATCCTTTCAGATAAAAAAGAAATTTCTATTTTTTTTTTTTTTCTAATTCTGACGTAACTAATATATTAAAAACAATGGATTCGAAACATCTTTTCTACAATCGAATAAAAAAGTAAACTTTCCTCAAGAGATTATGATTGAATCATACATATACTATATGCCATTTCCGACAAATGTTGCCACTTCATCCACCGTGAAGTACTTCAAGGTGAGTAAGGTACTTACGTGAGATTGATTTTGATGTATTTGTATCGAAAATACTTGACTAATATAATATTACATATATATTCAAGTACTCTTACTAAATTACTCGCCACTATACTAATCGTTACTAAAACAGTACAAACTAGGATAAAGGAGAGTGCACCTTATGTATATAAGGTTACGGTTCAAAACCTGGCCTCGGGCGAGTTCGGGGAGCGCGGCTGTCGGACCGCGACGCCTGCCAGCCGTTCGCAGACCGCCTCCAGCTGCGCATCCAGCATAAGTGATGCTATCTGGTCGTCTGTTAACATCTCCACGCTGTGATGAAGAAAACAAAACATATAAGGCCGAGATCATGTCAACATGTAAGGCAGAGAATGTCTATAGAATTTATTTATTATTACATGTATGTGTACATGGCGGACTTAATGCTAAAATCATTCTCTCCCAGTTAACTTTAGGAAAGTGTCAGAATACTCTAATGCGGTACTAGTAATAATAAATACACATACATACTAAATAGCCGTGCGTCCTCCGCATAGAAAAGGCCACCACTTCCTTCCTTTCCTGTGGGTGTCGTAAGAGGCGCCTAAGGTCGCTTAATGGTCAAGAGATGGGCAGCAGCGCCCCTCTTTTAATATCTTCAAAGCCTTAATGCGGTTGCCAACCTGCTTGCCAAGTTTGGCAACTACTGGCAAAACCTCGCTTATGGGGGAGGCCTATGTTCAGTAGTGGACAGTTAACGGCTGATATGATGAAGATACATATTAAGATTTATATATATATAAACCAATAAATATATATAAATAACAAATATATTTATACATATATAAAGTATATTATGTTATACATGACAATGAGAATAGTTGACAATACTTAACTATTATAATTAGCATTAAGTTATCTTTGTGTATCACATTTTATTGGTAAATTCTATTATATAAACGCTCAGGCTGTCGGACGAGCTCCTTACTGAGATTTTCCCTCGAGACTACATTATGGTCAAAAAGGGTATAAGGCTTCTTGATGGGTCGTATGTGACACCCCTAGTGTCGCAGGCGTCCATAGGCTACAGTGATCGTTTACTATCAGACGGACTGTATGCATGGTTACTATTTTCGTGGTATAAAAAAAAAATGTAAAATAAGCCTTGGTTTTTCTGTTACAAATAAATAAATAAAATTACCACTTCATGGTTTTCCCCTTTCAATTAGTGGGCCTCTTGTTTTTCATAGTAAGAGTATCATTATTGGGATATTTCAGATTATTATTCAGGGGAGGAGGAATGGGTATCATGGGACTCATAGTAGAAAGCTCCGCTCGTACCGTGGGGTGGGCACGGTCCCCGCGGTCCCCGCTTAAACAAGAAGGATCGGCTAATAGTGTAGGAGTGGTACCTGGCGAGGCTGTCGGTGTCGGAGGCGCGGTCGTCGGCGGAAGATCGAGCGGGCGACGCGCGGCGCGGCGACCGCGGCGCCGACGACGAGCCGCGCCGCTCGCCGAACAGCGACAGCCCTGTGGTGAACACCATACGTCATGGGGGACACCGGCGGCACAGTATTACTTATACTGTGCCGCCGGTGTCCTCCATCCATCATATGGGGGGAAGAGATTGTTAATAATACGGTCTAATAGTCCCATTTGCTAGAAATATACCCTGTCAGGTCATACTCCACGTGATCCCCGCAGAAACCATCGTGATGAATTCCTGATATAATCACCATGATGGGCTACCTGACCTGCCTTTTCATTCTCACCTATCATACCAGAGGAAGACTGTACAAAAGTCGTTTGCTTGGAAACCTCTGTCCTATTCGTGTATCTACCGTGAAGCAGTTGTGTTTGTATAGCTGTGTTTCGGTTTGTAGGGTGAGATATGGGGTGAATTTACAGGGTACAGAGAAATAACACCTGAGTTCACAGGAATAGCAACGCATGGGGAGTATCATGGGCGTAACAGTATACTCTGTTATGTCCATGGTACTGCTCATGTCTATAGGCGACAGTTACCACTTTCCATCAGGTGGGCCGTCAGCTTGTTTGCCATTCTAAGTTGCATAAAAAAACCTATGACACCTCACTAGTGCCTTGCTAGCGTATACCGTAAGCACAGGCGGGGTTATGACTCCAATATCATTATAAACGTATAAGTAATAGTACTAAATTACAATATGGATACTCCCTGCCGCCCGCTGCGATCTCACCTCACCCCTTCTCAAACACGCGTCAACATACAAACTGACTCATGCTCAATAGTAATAAAACCATATATTTTGATTTAAAAACTAAACTACCTAATCGATATCGATAAAAATTGTACGTGACCAATCCTCACAGTACAAAAAACGTATTTTCCAAATCGATTTATAAATAATGGAATTATAAGGTAACAAACAAAAAAAAAGTTTAAACGAATCGAGAACTACCTTCCTTTTTAATTCAATTGAAAATAAAAGAATACCACCGATAAAGTTACGGTAATAAACCGCCACTGACCTTGAAACATCTCTTTGACCTTCTCGCCGGTATCGTGCAGGATCGCGTCGAGACTCTGTCGCCTGCCCTTCTCCAGCTCGGCGCGGAGGCACGCGTTCCTATCCACGGACCTGATGATGCGGCGGGGGGACGCCGCTGACACCTTCGACTCCATCGGGCTTGGTGGGGAACACTTCTCTGGTGTGGAGCGCGGTCGTAGCGAACACTTTTCGAAACTAACCTGTAAGGGGGGGGGGGGGGGGGGAAGGGGGTTGTGTGTTACCAATAGCTCTGTCGTTAACAATAAATATTCATTACTGTTACAGTTTGGAATTATAAAGTACAGATGCCTAGCACAGACGGAGTTACCATTCCATTAGCATCCATTAAAAAAAAACTGCGGTAGCCAACCCGCCTGCCAACTATTGGCAAAACTCCCCTTTATGGGAGAGGCTATTCAACAGTGAATAGTTAATGGCTGTTATGATGATGATGAATCGAACTTACTTCCTCCGGACTGGAGTAGTCCAAGTCTATCTCGGTCCATGTGTCTGCGTCCGTCAGACAGCGAGGCCTCGCGTCCGCCGTCCGTCGCAGCCACTCCCGGACGCTGGCGTCCGCGCTGTGGTCGCACAGCTCCTCCAGTTTATCACTTGTCGTTGTGTTGGTATCACTGGCCGTGTCCGTTATTGTGGACCGGTCGATGTCTATCGGCGTTCCTGTTTAATGTATTTATTGATTTACAGCACCATCTATAATTTGATGTGAGAACTATATGGAAATATTAATATATCTATTGCTGCTAAGAACTAATTAAATGCGTTGAGTGCACGTAAATACTTACCATTCCTAGCAGACTGTCTTCTTGACCGATGCTTATGAATTTCATCAGATATCCTCTCCAAGTTCCTTAGGGCTGAGGAGTATTGCTGCTTTGCTTCGGCTACCTGCTCCTCCAAGGTCTGAATCCTAGCTTTTTGATTCTCCAGCGCAGAATTAATGCGCGCCTTCTCTTCAAAATACGGCCTGAAAGGTGTAAAAGTGAAGTATCCGGCTCGAAGGATCAGAAGCTCTAAAATGACCACTTTAGTGTTTCACATTAAGAATCTAATGATTAATAACCACTATTTATATAGTATTAGATGAAAATTTGAAAATTTTTCAATACCACGATGGCGGCCAACGAGCATACAGCCCGTCTGATGGTAAAGGGTCACTGTAGCCTATGGACGCCTGCATCACTAGGGGTATCAGACGCGCACTATGTCGACCCTGAAGGAACCTTAACATACCCTTTTTAAAGAATCCCATATAATTTTTAAAAGATTTAAAAATCATAATAAACACGATTTTTCCATACTAAAACGACGCGTCCGCATTTGCCACGTCAGTAGGGAAATTCAAAATCTTTACTAATTACAAATATCAAAGTGTTACCTCTTGGTATCTTAACGGCTTAACCAATCACTATGAAATTTGATATACTATATACGGTCAGACGAAAAAAGTCACGGGTAAAAATTAGGCTAGATATATAGCAAATATATTATAGATTTAAGATCATATTGTGAAACATCTAAAGTGGATATTTTAGATAGGAAAACCAACCACCAAATAAATGAGCTAGTTTGGGAGAACAAGCTAAATGTAATACAAAAACAATATCCAGCTCCTAGACTATGCGGGGTCTGTCATTTATATTTAGTCTGTTTATTCTTAAGATTTTTTGTCTCTGTGAGTAGACGTGCAAATATTTGGTCATTTATAGATTATTTAAAAATGTTTTATTTAAATTATTTTATTTTACAAAAAAAAAAAAATACACCGACGACTGCAATAGTGGCAACACTAATTATTGAAAAACTAAACTACGGAACAGGTTTCGATAAAATTTCTGTGGGATCAATCTGAAAGTACATCCTCTCAAAAAAAAAAGGATTTTCTAAATTGGTTTATAAATGACGAAGTTATGAGGTAACAAATATTAAAAAAAAATAAAACAGCTAAACTGAGGTCCTCTTCCTTTTTGACTTCAAAAAAACAACTGATAGACATAAGTAAATTTATTGTAAATACATTTATATTAATATACAAAGCAGAAGATTGTTTCTTTCAATATACTAATCTTTGGATTTATTAATCGGATTTCAAAAAGTCTTTTTGCATTTGACAGTTCATTTCTAGAGAAAAGTCATAGGCTATTCGACATTACGATACAATTACGGGCGAAACCGCAGGATACAGTCAGTATATTTATGATTAAAAACACAATCATGCAAGCATACATATCACGCTATTGTTAATGTCACTTTTGTCTTAAACTCCAAAAAAAAAAAGAAATATTCCTTTTTTAAACTTTAAAAATATTTAGCCTGTTCTCCCAATTATTATTTTTAACATTTAATATGAAATGAAAACTAGTTTAGTTGGTTTAAATTAAATTAGTAATATTCAGTCAAATTATTTTATTTCTTAGTTAAATGATTTTTACATTGGGTTATGCCCAAATTGGGTAAAATTTACCTTACAAATTTTGAGAATGTAATATTTATCGAATGTAATACTTATATTGTTTTATAATTATATCAACTTTAATCGCGCGGCACTGCTTGCGACATAGGCGTAAACCACGCTCATGTATAAATGCTTCTTATTGAGTCAAAAACTAATTTGGCAACCCTGAATTTAATACGCGAGTAAAGCCGATATAAATAAGTATAATATAATACTTTACAAAATTTAACGAAGATGTTGTATTATAATTGCCAATGACAAACTAATATTTTTTTATTTAAATTTACTTTAAGGACCGTGTCATTAAATAACATAAAATAAAAATAAAGTTAAACTATCATCAAAAAAGTTCGATTTCTTAGTAAGGAGCTTTATCTACATGCAATACCCAAAACGTCTAAGATAAACAAGATTTGGAAATCACGGGAGTGATCGATAGTACCGCCATCTAGTGTTACAGGCTACAGAGTTCATTAAATTAAGAATTTCAATTAAGAAGCTTAAAACCAAATGAAGATTAGAAAGTAAATATCAAAATTTTAACTTTAGAGGACGTAATTGCTAAGTGTGAAGATAAAAGAGAAATCACTATTGTATTGCATCTTTTAAATACTGATGGCAATTTATTGTTTACAAATTGCTATAGAAATATAAAATTAATGTTTCTTTTTTCAAACACACGATAATAACGGATAATACCTCACTATGAATTAATAGACGTACGAAAGCAAGTATATGGCCAACGGCTCACAGACATTATCTTATTTTCATTCTATACTATCCACATCCCCGCGTACTATGCGCTTATTACTAAATATAATACTCATAATTCTCCATTTGGTTTCTTCCGAATACTAATTAAAATAAGACCTTCGCAATGAAGCATGGCAACGTCGCAATTATCTGCCAATTTAAAAAAATAACTGGAGATTATTCCTGATTATTTACAAAGTGCTCTGCCTACGAATTAAAACGTCAATCGAAGATTACGTTGCAGATAAATCTATAAGTAAAAACTTTGCACCCATTTTATATTTAAAAATTTTACAAATATTTTTTTGCCATCAAAATTCCAAATTTCTTCTCTACCTCCCGGTAAACGACTTGACATAAAGCTAGAGAGATAAAATCAAAATTTTCAGTGGTAACTGCATAAGTATATTACTGCGTGATTAACATTTTAGTTAGTAGGCAGAACAATTTATAAATAACCAGTCTGAAATATTTATAATTCTTTAATTGCTTTTCAAAATTGACAGATAACTGCGACGTTGCCACACTGTCAAGCTGAAGTCATGAACGCTCATAAACAAACTAAAGAAGGAACTACAACAAGCATGCGAGAAGTAAAAAGAGACATGCAAAAGAGATAGTGAAAATAAAATTAGTACCAAACGTGAAGGTGGCTCGGTCGGCGTGGGTCGGCCTGCGGAAAAAATACGTTTGTGCTACTAATAAAGCGGAGGTTACACTATTGCGTGGTCATTCACAAGACTTGGATGCCTTTCAGCAGTGCTTGTGTGCTTGGGTTTATATTTTTATTCCCGTCAACAAAACGGGTGTTGTAAGATGCAAGTCTTTGTAACTATCTACTTGTATTATCATAATCTCTAAATGGATGGACCGATTTCGACGTGGTGAAAATCTTGCCTAAAATTTCGGATTTTCCCAAATCCTTTTTTTTTCCAAAATTTTACAAATATAATAAAATTGTAATTAAACTATGTCTGTAATGAAAATTTATACGAGGTGGCTTAATAGAAGCCAAAACAGTATAACTTAAAAATTTTGTCTGTCTGTATGTTTGCATCACGCAAAACTATTCAATTAAAATAAATATGGCTTTTACAGACGTGTTTCTGAAAGCATTACTTAAAATGGCATAAGTTTTACGTTGATACGCCAATAGAAGTCTAGAAGTCTCTAGTCTATTCATTAGTTTTAATACTTCGTATAATTAAAGTGTACGTAGTAAAGCTAGTGTTTAATATAGAATGGGCTTTTTTGACAGTATTTCTTTCATGTTTTTAACCAGTAATTATGGAATAATTTAATGGTACGTAAGCTGGTTTTGTTTGTTAGAAATCAATCCATATTTAGCAACTATGATTGAAAATATTTCATTAAACACACTGAAAATATTAAGTTTAACTCTGGTTTGTGAAGGCTTGCGGAGATTATGTATTCACATTCACATCTCAAAGGATAAATAAAAATTAAATCATGAAATTCTGGTTACAATTTTATAAGTTTCGAGATATATTAAAAAAACAAATAAATAACAATATTGGTATGTATCTTATACAGGTTAAAAATAATTATTTTTATTAATTTGTAATATAGGTGAATAAATTAGAGATTAAATAATTAATTATTTAATATTCTTTTATATATTGTACATTTATCGTTAGATAAAATAGCTGTATTTTGTAAGCGATGAAATCTATTATAAAGTCTATAAATAAAAAAAATATGTTAGTGATTCTTTGAAAATTAATCGAAGCTGAGTGAATTCTACTGCGCAACGAAATTGAAATTTAGGAAATTCTATAAAAACTTTGTCATTCTACAAAAGCAATTCTTTATTAATTTAATAAACAAAAACTACAGTAAAACTAGTAGAAGTAATTATAGACTGTATTAAATAATATGCAGGCATTTGTTTTAAGGATCGTGCATACAACTACAATTTATTTAAAACAGTACTTAGTGTTTAGATGCTATTTGTTGAAATTGAAATTTAGTCTTGTTGTAGACATATCACGTTTACACTTTTCTATTTACAACGCCATCTACTACTAAGGTACATTTGTTACCACTAGATGGCGTTATATATAGAAATTTAGTAAGAACAAATTAAGATTGAGACTCAGAGGACACATTGTTTTTACTTTTACAAAACTAGTTAAGAAAAAAAAATTCGAGAACAATACCATATAAGGACAGACCTCGAAATACTTTAAATTTTCTGCATATTATTTCTTTAACTTACTTTTTAGATGCTTTTTATTGCAATTATATTTATAAGAATGTCCTCCAAAGTTCAGGGAACAATTTCAATGCAATCAAAAATATAAAAGAATGAAAAGTACATACAAAACTTTACTTGAAAACTTTTATTTTCTAACGTTATAATATCGCCAATAAACATGTTTACTTACTTCAATATTAAACTTGTTACGCCTTATTCACTCTATGGCATTACATAACATTTTGTTGTAAAATTTTCTTGTGCATCTAATAAATAAATATTGTTAAGTTGGTATGCGCGATTTTTTTTATATATCCACTTACCTAGATTTAGCTATGTGTCGTTTGAGCCCATTTTGTAATTGCTGCACAAGTGCGGTGGCGGCGCGGTGAGCGGCCGCCTTGGTTCGCTGCGTCACCGTCGCGTGCGCTCGGTCTGACTCGGCCTTAACAACACATTATTGAGGAATGGTTACTCTTAACTAACCAGTATCATGTGGTGTCCGTGGCGCTGTTCATGTCTATATACGACGACGGTTATGACTTTATATAAGATTGGTTACTAATTTGTTTTCCAGTTCAAGTTGCAAAAAAAACTTAGTATGAGATTTTAATTCTTAACGTAACTGAAGGGAGACAACATATTTTCTTTGGGAGGAAAGGGATTGTTAGTAATGGAGACTGAGAATCCTATTGCTAGCAATATACCCAACCAGGTCGACCTCCTCGCGGTTCTCCCTGGAAACTATCATGGTCAATTCCTGATGAATTCATCATTATGGGCTAACTGGCCTGTTTTCATTCTCATCTATCATCCTTCACTGGTGCTCCGCCAGCGTATCCCGTTAGCGCAGGCGGGGTTACCATACCATTTTCACCCATCAAAAAAAAACATTTTCTTTAGACGTATAAAATAAGTAAGGCGTGCTCGACCGCCTTAGTTCGTTGTGTCACAGACGCGTGGGTTCAATCTGTTATAGCCCTAACAAAGTACTCGTATTAGAAATGTTGTTGCGACAAAAGGATTCCATTCGTGCTCTCACCAAGAAACAACTGTGCTTGCAAGTCTGTGCTTCGGTCTTTAGGTTACGGTAAGGGAGTAAAATTACAGGGTGCTGAGATATAGTTCTCAGGAATGGCAACACTTGAAGCTCTTATCATGGGAATTTTAAATGAGTGAGTATGGAATGGTAACCTCGCCTGCGTTATCCATATACGTTTGCGGGGCACCAGTAAGTGGTAATAGGTGAGGATGAAACTAGGTCAGTTAGCCCATTGTTACGGATCCAACAAGAATTAATCACGATGGTTTCCAGAAGGAACAGCGTGGAGGTCGACCTGATAGGATCCATTGTTAGAAATGAGGATTAACGTCAACTTTATTATTATTAACAATCCCTCTCCCCCATAACATGGATATTAGGTAGAATTTTGTAATATCCATGGTGCTGTTCATGTGTATAGGCGACGGCTATCACTTTCCATCAGGTGCGCCGTAAGCTTGTTCATCATTTTAAGTTAGGTAAAAAAAAATATTGAGCAAACTAATAAAAGCTTGAAAGAGCGAAAACAAATGAGAGGTAATTTAGAAAACTCAATATACTACCCTTAACAAAAATAAGAATAAAGATGCTGTAAATTGTCTGATTACCTGGTTGACTCTGTGTGTGGCATGATTAAGCATCTCCTGCCAGGCAGGGTCGAGGGTGACTCCACCTTCGGAACCCTCCGCGAGCCTCGCCAGCCCCTGTTCAGCGAGGAACACCATCTCTCTTGCTGCCGCATGAGCACTGTTGGCTTTGTCATACGCAACTGTCGCTGTTTGAAGTTCTTGTGATGTCTGTAAAACATCATTTTATTTTAAAACTAGTTTTTACCTGCGACTTTGTACGCGTGTTCAGTATACATTGATTGGCTGAGATAAAAAGTGGCCTACTTCTTAGTACTTCTCTACTCCAAATACCAAAACGAAATAAATATAGGATTATGCTGTAGACAAGTATCAAAAACAGGAGGAGAATTTTTTTGTATGTATGTATGTTTATATATTCACTGGGTGATTCCGGCATAGAATAGACCACCCCTTCCTTTCACGTGGGTGTCGTAAGAGATGACTAAGGGAGGGCGAGGGATGGGTAGCAGCATCTCTCTTAAAACATCTCCAAAGCCTGAGGTTGCCAATCTGCCTGCCAAGCATGCTAAGTGCTGGCAAAACCCCCCAAGGGGCAGGCTTATGTTCAACAGTGGATAGTTAAAGGCTGATGATGTGTTTATATAATACACATCTAGATCCTTATCCATTAAAGATCTTATACATTAAACATAATAGTGATAATTTGCTTGTAACATCTTTTCATCAGCGCGGCAAGTTTTTGTATTTTCAAAACTTAGAATAAAAAAATAAAATAATCTGTGCAACCATTTTTATAGGAAATTTAACACTTCAGTTTTCAGAAATGGCAATGTATAAAGGGTACTATGGCACTGTGCATTGTGATGTCTCCAGTGCTGTTCTTGTCTATGGGCATCTATACTCTTTCAACCAGATAGGCTGTCACTTTTCTGCTATTCCAAGTTGCATAAAAAGGTAGTTCAACCAACAAATGAATAAATCTACTCACAATATTAGCCCTAAACCTGGCTTCATAATATGGTCTAGCTTTGTGTACACTGGTTCCCAACTTCTTTGTCAACTGCTGAATGCGGAGGTGGCCTTCGGCTAGGAGGCGGCGGAATGCAAGACGAGCCTCATCGAGTTCTACTTCTAGTCGGTTAATCTCATCTGTGGCTGTGTTCAGTCTTTCTAGTTCGATCTGCAGTTAAGAAAGAATACATTAATTGGTTGTTAAAAAAAAATTAAACCTATACTAACATGTCATGTCCAGCAGATCAAATGGGAAACTTATATGTTATCTATATTTATTTTGGTGAAAATTTCAGTTTCTCATGATACAGCACTTGTTAAGAATGTTAATGACTTTCATATATTTATATATATATCATATATTTTACCTAACTAAATAAAATAATTAGAATCTATATAGTCTCTTTAGAGTAAACGAAGACTGCAGAATTTTAGGGGTTTCAAAATTGAATCCCAGTCTCAACCTAAGAATATTTTAAACTCTTGTTTGTATCACTTAAAATTCACTTATTTATTACTTCATGTTTCAGAAGGCTTTAAAATCATGTCTGTGGCAGTACATATAGTATGAAATAAAATTTTATTAATATCAAAGTGTGCCACTCTTAAATGTATTAGGAGGAGTAATATTTCATAATAATTATTGAAGAGGCATACCAATAGTAAATTGTAATATAAATTAATCACAAATAGAATTCTTATTAGAATTTTTTTTTTTATATTGATGGAAAAAAGGTTTTTTTTTTGTTTCTGAAAACAGACAATTTTTTTACACAGATAATGCTGGTTCAGTATAAACAGTCTTAACTATAATAAATAACATTTAGACATACTTTGTGTAAGTTATTATTATTATTAATTGGATATATTTTACACAGAAGTTATAAAACTTATATTGTTCGTCTTTTAATTAAAAGCACTGTATGGACTTTTATTAATAAATTAATAAACTTTTTAAACTGAATATATATTATGTGTAGGCATTTAAAAATACATTTATGTAATCAGCTGTAAATGAAACATATTTCTTTAACTTTGTTGGTCATGAAGGAACATTGTTTTTTTGTTTGCATTACAGACACAATGGTATGTCCATGTATCATCGGTTACCATCAAAACTATTGATTTTATTCACCTGTACTCTGGGATCAAGGGCCTCGGAACATTCAGCACCGCTATCGTTCATTGTTCTCTCAAAACCAGCGCATTTTAACATACATTACATTCAATAAAACTTTTTGTTTTATCACTTTTATTTTATGAACTCATCTTTGACCGCCTCCGCTAAAAGTTTCAAGTTTAATTAGTATTCATTTCCCGATAATCGCTACTGCTTCTCGCTTCCGCCTTGGAAAACAATGAAAAATTGAAAACACAGATCACAGAACTGTCAATCTGTCAATCTTTCATTAAATTGTCTGTTATAGATGTTTCAAGCCCGGTTTATATTATTACAGTACTTTTAATAAATAGCACCTTCTTCATAAAAATTAAAACACATTCCAGACCTATTTTATCTATTGAAGTGTTTTATTACTTTCCTTTAATTAGAGAATTTAGTGCAAAAAAAAAAGGAGAAAACATTTTAATAGCTGAAATAGGTTTATGAGAGTTTTGACGTTTTAATTAATTATTTATTATATTGAAATTAATTATTTAATTTCAGCAAAGACAGTACCTGGGGGCCTACCATGAAGTGTTTTCCGAAATTTCGGAGCCAAACGAAACACAAATTTGATGTTAAAATTACATAATACATGCCGTTTGGAAATATTAAAAATGTTAAAATATTGTTCTTTTGGACTTTTATGTTAGGATGTATGATGAATGAAATGTTAAATTCCATTTATTGGTTCGATTTTGGTATAAACAAAAACACGAAATTGATTTCATGGTAGACCCGCTGGTATGCATATACGAAGAAGTAAATCTATGCGTTCCTATATAAGCGTCAAGTTTCATTACCTATTTATATACATGGTAATATGCTTGAAAGATTTCGGCATAGATCAAGGACAGTACCCAGCATTTTTTTTTTAATTATGCTTTCTTTTAGTAAGTTAGTCCTTAACTACCGGCTTTTGATTGAGAGCTAAGAAAAAGGATTAAGAGTAAATTTCAACAGCTGACAGTGACATTTAATCTGATTAACAGTTAGTCAGATTGACATATCAGTTGGATTTGTCATCGCGATTTCATTGCGTCGTTTGTTTCTACTTTTACTTTTATATTCAAGAAAATTTTCAAAAAATGGTATTTATTCTTAATGTCCAGTAATTTGTTGACAGTGTAATCGAGTAAATATGCTGACAAGTTAATTTACTTTTCAGGCTACTGAAGTAGAGGAAACCATCAAACGAATTCAGGCTCATAAAGGTGTGATGGGTGTCGTGATTGTAAATCATGAAGGTTTGATCAATTTTTGTACATATCCATGGTTACTAGCCTATATTCTCATATTTAAAAGTTTTTAATCTCTAATCTGTCCTAGAAATGTATCGATTTTGGAGGTCAATTGTGTAAATTTATTCGTAATGTATCAATTTCTTTTCAGGTATTCCAATAAAGAGCTCTCTAGACAACGCCACATCAGTTCTTTATTCAGGATTGATTAGTCAATTAACAGAAAAAGCACGGAATGTTGTAAGAGAAATGGTAAAATGCAAATTACTATTCTAAATTTATTTGTCCTATAACAATAGTTTCATCTAGATATGGCAAGTCTATAAGATTGAAATGTGTCTGAGTGAAGAGTCTAAAGTTTGCAGAACAGTGTGCATGCATAAAACGATATGAAACTTATGAAGTAAGACATATATATAAGGATAAAACTTTTATATTTGGTTCTCTACTTATCCCAAGTGATTTTGTATTAAGTTATATTCTAATCGTGTGTTTACTGAAGTACAGGTGTACAAAAAAATACTGCAAACTACAAGTTTTATGATCATGCAGTTCTTAAAATATAATTTTTTGTTGACTTGAAATAGGATTTTTCTAAATCAATTGTACTTTTATTATATGGAAATAGGATAAACTGTTATTCTGATATAGCTTATAATTGTCAAATTGTAACAAAGTTTGTAAACCGTAGAAAAAAAAATGCCAGGACTGATGAAGTATAGTAGAGCATAGTCCTCTACTATACTTCATCAGTCCTGGCATTCATTCTCTGGCTTCATATCTGTTATAATTTTTCTCCGCAGGGTAGTTCCATGCATCAGACGTGTTTTGTTTATGCTTCAAGTAACAAAATAAAAATTAACTAGTGCCATATAAATTTCATAACAGAATAATTCTAATGGCAGAATCTTTTAAAGTGACACAGATTGCATTAACTGCAGTGAAATAACATAGTGGAAATTAATAAATTCAATGTTTTCAGGATTCCACAAATGAGCTGACATTCCTACGGCTGCGGAGTAGAAGGCATGAGATACTGATTGCACCGGATCGTGAATTCATATTGATTGTTATACAGAACACATCTGATTAATATTAGTTACAGCGAGCGACTTGAAAAAATAACTATAGACAATGAACTTTGTACAGTAGACACTTTTGTACTAAAAATGGTACTGTACAAATTATAATCTGGTATTAAAATCATACTCAAGTTATTTGTTGGTACTTAGGTATAAATGCACTGAATTCATCTGCTCATAACAGTTGCTTTGCTTGTATTTTGATTCATGTATTCTTTCTGAAAATATCCCTACACACTATGAACTACAGGCTTTATTCTTTTAAATGAAATAACTATATGCAAGGAAAGTACCAATTTCTGCCTGTAGAAAATATCTTTAAGGTGTCACTATGGAATAGTAGTTTTAACTGTATGTTTCTGTGTTAAGTATAAGAGCTATTTGATTTTGCAGTATGTAGCACTGCATATATGAAAAATGTACCTTGTAAAACTGCAGTAGTAAGTACCAAGTATCATCGTAAAATATTACCATTCCGCTGCTGGACACGATTCTAGTGATATTAGAACACAAGGATATAATAAATTGCTTTGTTCCTCTAGTCTTATAACATCTGAGTCTTAAGTAGCAGATTTTGTTAGTTGCAGGGCTGGCCTAGCATACCTGATGTTCCTGGCATATTTCTAACGCTGAAGATGGGGGGGGGGGGGGGGGGGAAGGATGTGCCTTATGGTAATACGACATCCTTCCTTCAACTAGTGCACAGTTTAAAGATTCCATAACTTCATGTACAAGTGTTTTCTTCTAACATATATCGGATTACTAATATATTGAGAACATTCACAACAAAGCTTAGCAAAATATGGCAAAATGGTAAAAAGCTTTGATAGCTACTTAACATTTTATTATTCAAAACTTGGATTTTGTTGGCAAAATGTTTGAAAGATTTAGAAGTAGAATAATTAAGGTTGCTATACTTCAATATGAATGTTCTAAACTTTTGACGACTTACATATAAGGTAGTTTTATATGTTTGTCTTAATACAAGAACAATTGCATGAAGATTGAGCTTTTATCAAGACTTTCAATTATTTATTTTATAATAACAATGATTATCTAATAAAATGCAGTATCTACACTAAATAGTTGTATTATTTTTAAATGAAACAACAGATTTTGAGTTTCTTTAGATTGTTTTTATTGATATGCCTGTTAAAAGAAACACAGTTTACACAATATTTACAGTTAAATTTTAGCGGATTAAGATTCATGTTTTGTACTAGCAGTTGATTGACTTTCACCTTAGAGTCCCAGATTCGATTCCTGGTAGACCAATTTCTATTTTGTGGGACCATAGAAACAGGAAGGTCGGATATAATTAACATGATATTTGCGATCAACTTTTTAATTGTATAATTATAGTATGCATTTTTTATTGACTAAAGATGGGAGATAATTCTCAATTTGACTATATCTACCTCATATGGTAATGTTGTCACTAATTTGAACCGATTTTGATGATTTTTTTTAAATAAAAAGAATTGACTTTTGTAGTGGTCCTATACTTATTTTGTTGAGATTGAAGTAGTCTATTTTATTGGACTTTTTTATACCATCGAAGTAAAGAAATTGAATGTAATAATTGGCGCAAATATCATCCGACTAGTTTTTTTTTCCTAGTCCAATAAGGTGTATGGCACTACAGGAGCGAGACACCAATTAGTATCTCGTGTTCTAGTATATACTGTTAGCGTATACGGGGTTAACATTCCATTAATATCTCTTGTAAGATTACGCTGGCCAAATATGTGCAACTTGGAATTGTAAATAGGCCAAATGATCGTGCGGTTTAATGAAATGATGGTAAATGACTACCGCCGCCCATGATCACCCGCAACACCAGAGGTACTGCAGATGTGCTGCAGGCCTTTTAAAAAGGAATATGCGCTTATATAATTTACGTGCAAAATCTTATGTTCCATCTAGTTTACTGTAAATTAATTAATCAGGAAGGTTATTTGTACTACAATATATTATAGTTAAGTTTTATTTGCCAGCCACCCTTCATATTTCTATGGCCAGAAGCATACTAATTAGTTTTTTTTTTTCAATACACTAGGTGTTGAAAAACTTTGAAAGCAATTTAAAAATAAAAGTAAAATCGGCTAAGTAGATTTACCTTAAAAAATAGACACTTGAATAAAGTAATGATCACTTTTGAAGTAAATAAATACCACTTACCTTTATGGAGCGAGATGATGTAATGGTTTTTTTGGTCGGCCATTTTGTTGTGTTTATTATCTATTTTAACTCAAAAGACGGGTTATAAGTTTGAAGCTTTTATATTTGTACAGGCAGATGTAGCTCTCAAACGAACGGTACTATTTTAATGTATAGTTTTTTAAGGGAGGTTTAATGACAATTATACTTAGCTATTGATTCAAAGTCAATCTCCCTAGACAGCCAGGATGTAAATTTGCTTACATATTACAGCTAAAACGAGTTTGCACTCAATAGTTTGTAACATAGAGATTCCATATTTAAGATTAGGATTAATAACAATATTGAGTATTACAATTTCGTCTTAAGTTTTTAATAAATTTAGTTCATGCTTTGTATCTTTTAATTAGAAATCGAAATTTTATGTTTATTAAATTGTTAGTCAAAAATTAAGAAAGCGACCAGCAGTCATGTTTCTTATTCAAGTTTTTAAGACTATTATTTCGTGAATTTGTCAATGGGCTTCAATATAATTAATGAAAAAACAAACACACCTTTTATTGGAAAGAATTAGGATATGAATTTGTAAAGGTATTTTTATTTTCATCTTTCACATAGCTTAAAATTATTGCAAAAACAGAACTTTTGTAAGAATTTATATTTTATAAAAATTATATTTTATATAATCTTTGGATGATATTATATAGTTTTATTCAGTCATTAGTACAAATTAAGCATCCCATTTTGTTCACAAACTGTATTTATTTTGACTTGCAATATTACTGATTTATTTACTTTAGAAACTAGGATCTCATTTTTTTTTTATTTTACATTAATTACTTTTTTTTTCATATTTAAATAATTACAGTTGTACAATTTTTATTTAGTCGTTCGAGAACTAGTTCCGAGAACAGTTTTCAGTGAAATTGCAAATTAAAATATTAATTTTTTTTATACATTATCGGGTATCGAGAGTCCAATTGTTTAAAATCAAAATCATTTTTTTTTATAGTTAGGTTTATTTATTTCAAAGTCACACAAACTTGCAGTACAATATTTTTGTCATATGTTCAACATGTTTTAACATATTTAACTGCTTGAAGGAAGCCACATTTTAAATATTTTTATTCATATTTTGTGTCATCACTTGAGTTTTATTTTTTAATCAAAACATGTTGAAATAATAATTTTTACCCTAAGACTATTTGAATAAACATGACCACTAACTTATGTTTAATTTTTTAAGTGAAATAAAAAAGTATTTTGTTCATTAAAAACTACATGTATACTTTTTTTTATATTAATTATTAGTCACGGAATGCGCACGCGCAAATCGAGATTAACGTCAATATTTTGCAAATATCTAATCCAATGCATGCATAAAATGGTCTTTATGTGCAACCTCTACATATATTTAAGACATTTGATAAATAAAAAAAGACTTTAAAAATACATTTAATATAAAAGGAGAATGATTTTTTATTGTTTTTGTCTCGATCTTTATTTCGGTATGCGCCATACCAATTACATCTGGGACACAATTGTTAAGATTTTGGTCCATTTCATGAGAATATTATAATTATGTTGTTTTTAGTAAACCTACAGTGATGTACTTCTATTTTTATTTATATCATTTGGTGAGCTCTTCATATTTTAGATGTTTTATTTTCTCTTCAGGTTTGTTTGTAGAATTTTAGTTTTTCGAGATTGAATGATACTCACCTACTGCGAACGCTTTTTCGTTGCGGTCCTGTAAAAATACTTTCAATTAGTAAAGTAACAGCCATTTATTGTATGATGAGAAATAAACGATCAAAGCAACTGAAATTAAAAAGTAAAATTGTCTATGTGAATGAAGGATTTTTAAAAAGCGAACAAAAAAAAAGAAATGTGCATTGGCGCGGGACGTTGGGCCGAATTAATGTATTTTGACATATTCATATTTTTGAGGTTCTCCCTGTGCGAAACTTATTTTCTATTTCCCAAAAGGACAGGAGGAATCGGCGGTGGGAACTGGACTGTTACAGTGGGTTTACTTGGAATCGAAAAAACCTCATCAGTTTCATTACAATTTGTTCTCAAAAATTTTAATTTCATAAAATTTTTAAACAATGAAAACAGAATATCGATTCTGTCGAGGTGATAGATGAAAATCCGCCGAGGTCTCAGCATAGGATAGGGCACTTTTTCTATCCCATGGGTGTCGTAAGAGACGACAAATGAGGGCGAGGGATGGGCAGCAACGTTCATCTTAAAACATAAAGCCTTACTGCAGTTGTTAATCCGCCTGCCAAGCATGGCAACTAACATGACAGTTAAAAGGTTGATATGATAATAGGTGAAAATGAGTCCCCATTACTAACAATTCACTCCCTACAAAATACAACTTTTTTATGCATGAAGATGGAATGCTATTTCTGCTTATACTAATGGTAAATGGTCAATGTAGGGCAAAATGATAACGAAGTCAGGTTACATATGTTATATTTATTTTAATCTATAAAACACGGAACGGTACACCCACCTATGCTAATAGCATACAATGGTGGGGTCAAGAAAGAGCATGAATGATCAGTTGGTCCATTTAGAAGGAATTAACCAGAATGAGGCAGTACAATGGGCACGGCAGCGGCGAACAATGAGACGATGAAGTCAGTCTACATAGATAAGTGACAAGAGAATTTATTAGTAAAATCATTGTTGTTAACAAATCCACGAGTTAGAATGAGATGGCAACATGTATTTTCTCATGCGAGCGCTAACCATTTATTATTCAATTCGTTTGTCAATCGTCTAGGGGATGCAAGGAGGATTGAATCGAGGCTAGTAAACTTATGGGGCCAGGAGTGCCCGCGCCATACACTGGACTGATACGAACAGCGGGTAGCTACTTGGGCGGGCGGGCGTAGGGCGAGGCGCGCGCGTAGTGGCGCGGCTGCTGCGGGTGCTGCGGGTGCTGCGGGCCGGGCCGCCGCGTGCCCACGTCGCGCGCCGACGTCTTGAACTCGCGCGAGTCGTCCTTGTAATACGGGTCGTCCTCGTAGTACCGCTCGTGGCTGCGCTCGTAGTAGAAGTCGGGCTCGGGAGCCGCGCGAGGACCCGGGCCGCGTACCTGTAGGTTCATTATAGATTTAATTAAGTGTTTTCCACGACTTTTCCCACATGAATCTCTACCAATATATGTGTTTATTACTTAGTGCCTTCACGGTTTAACATATTACTATGGGGGGATAAGGATTGTTAGTAATTTTTTTTATATGTTTTTTTATACAGCTTAGAATGGCAAATAAGCTGACGGCCCACCTGATGGAAAGTGGTAACAGTCGCCTATATACATGAGCAATACCATGGACATAACAGAGTATACTGTTTTGCCCATGATACCCCCCATGCGTTGCCATTCCTGAGGACTCAGGTGTTATTCCTCTGTATCCTGTAATGTAATGTAGTTTACAAAATTACTAACTAAACGTAAAATTGCTGTCGTTCAATTTAAAAAAAAAAAGTTGATGTGATGTACTCATTAAAGTTTAGACTGCAACAAGCCCCCCGCTGCAGCCACTCCTCTGGGTGACGTCCGGGCGGGTGGCCGTGAGTTGCATTGTGACATATTATTGTTTATTATTTCCTACATCTACCTATCACCACACCAGGAGGACAGCACAAAAAAGCGTTACTCACCGGCGGCTCCGCGGGTCCGTAGGGGTCGTCGTAGCTGTAATTGGACTCCATGGCGGAGCGGGCGCGGTCCAGGATGCTGATCACCTTGTTCTTGGCGGGCATGGGCCGCGCTAGTGGTGGCGGCGGTTGCATGCGCGGCGGCCGCCCGTGGGGGCCGGCTGGGCCCGGCCTAGGACCTGGACGGGGAACAGGCACTGGAAATTTTTAAATAATAAACACCACTGGAGATGGTACAGGGCGCCATCTAGTTTTAAACAAAATTTTTTTTTATACAACTTAGAATGGCAAACAAGCTGACGGTCCACCTGATGGAAAGTGGTAACAGTCGCCTATAGACATGAGCAATACCATGGACATAACAGAGTATACTGTTTTGCCCATGATACTCCCCATGCGTTGCCATTCCTGAGGACTCAGGTGTTATTCCTCTGTACCCTGTAAATTCATGCCATATCCCACTCTTCAAACCGAAACACAGCCATGCAAACACAGCTGCTCCACGGCTGAAACACGAATGGGACAGAGGTACCCAAGCAATCGACTTTTGTACAAAGTCTCCCTCTGGTAAATCGGTTCAGTATATTTAATTTAGTTTTTATACCAAAATAACTGGTTTTGCCGCAATTGAAGTAGTTTTGTTTTGTGGTTCTTAAAATATAATAATTATAATCAATAAGAAATATATTAATAAATCTTATGTGAATATTTTTATGGGTTTAGACCTAAAACCTGACATAGATCAATAAAGGCACGTTTATTGTTAATATAATGAAATACCACAAATTTTGATAGAGACTGTAACGTAACATTATTTTTTTTATTTATTTATAACTTCTTTTAACCTTGTTACATAAAAAAAAAATAAGAAAAGAAATATATGTATAATAAGATTTTTATCTATAAATAACATATATTCTTAATCTATTGTAAATGACTTAGACTAAGAATAAAGAAGTTAGTCACAGATTAATAATGGACCTACTACCGTCATTAATATAAGTAGAATATATCGGAATATTCAGAGTAGGTTAGAATAATGCTTCTGTAGAAAGAATCACGGCTATTTTTGAGACACATTCAAGATCATTGAGAAGTCTCCCTCACTAGTCGACGATAGAAAAATATTAATTTTTATTTTCTTTATATGCAAAAAAAAAAAATTCAACTTTTTTACAAGAGTTATATTTCAAATTGATTGAATAAATTGAAGTGTATTGTTAATCTTTGTCGGGTGCCCCCGATACAAGTTCGCCTAGTGTGGGGCCCATTGTATCTTGTGTTCATAGCTTTGTGTTTTTTGTTAAATAATAAATTTTTATTTCTAATTTCTATCTATTTAAATAAAAATATTTATAGCCTTGTGCTAAGTGAAATAGTAGTGTGGTCCCGGCATAGAATAGGCCACCCCTTCCTTTCCCGTGGGTGTCGTAAGAGCCGACTAAAGGAACTCAATGGTAAAGTGATATTTTGTGCATATTGTTGCAAATTTGTATCTTTGTATATTTCCTTTTTATATAGTAGTAATCTATAATTACGTTGATGATGGTGCAATTAATCATATTTAAATGTAAAATAATTATCATAATATATTGTATTACTGTTGCTTAACTGCAATAAAAAGAAAAAAAAAAATCAATCACTTTCGAATATCAATTTAAGGTGCAAGAATTTGCCTACCGTCTGTCTGTCTCTATGTATGCTTAGATATTTTAAACTACACAACGGATTTTGAAGCGTTTTTTTTTAATAGATAGAGTGATTCAAGAGGAAGGTTTATATGTATAATACATGTAAAATATAGTAGAGAAACACTGATAATTTTAGAGGTTTCTAATGTGATGTCGTTAAATAAACATATTTTAAAATTTATTATATATTGCAAACACTGGCTGAACCCTACGTGATAGATCAAAATAATGTACTACAGTATTATACACCTTAAGACGATATACAAAGAAGGCCGCAATGGTATATGTACAATCTCTTCTATCTAAAAATAACTCACAATAAAAAAAAAAATTATCCTTTACTTTTTACGAGAAATAATGGCTTATTTGCAAAGCAATTTTAAGAAATATAACATACATCCTTATCAAATTAAGTACTTTTTAATATAGATCAATATGGCCCTTTACAGCATGTAATTTAAATGAATATTTTCGAAGATATTACAGATTTAAAATTCAAGGACATAGCGGTCGCGGCGATATGGTTTTAGTATCCAGCATCTTCAGTTGATAATAAAATGCAACCAGTATTAAGGTTTGACCACATCGTTGACGCCATGTATGTATAGTGCGCTGCGACATAGGGCATTAATGGTTTAAGACATTTTTTATTTCTCTAAAGATTTACATAAATTACTTAAATGAACATTAATGAATGTATTATATGAAATAAACAAGTGTGTCACGAGTGAATTTTTTTTTACTTTTGTTATTTTTCTTCTTTTCCGACTTGACAAAGACGTAACTTTTATTCCTCTTCATTTCAAGGTCGTTGCCTTTTATTTTGCTTTTTGTAATTAAATAATTTCTTGTTTTGTATATTTATTGTTAATCTTTCCAAGTGTTTTCATTCATTCCATAATTCCTCTTATTTTTTTTTTATAGGTGATAATGGAATGGTAACCCTGTCTGCGCTGTAATACACTGACGGAGCACCAGTAAGGGATGACAGGTGAGGATGAAAAGGCAGGTCAGTTCATCGTGACAAATTCCACTAGAATTAACCACGAGGGGTTCCAGGGGGAAACGTGTGGAGGTCGACCTGGTAGGGTGTATTTGCTAGCAATGGGTCAATTAGACCCCGTTACTAACATTCCCTTTCCCCCCTAATTCCTCCTACTGATAGTAGTATGAGTATATGCTCTTTCTTATTCACCTATCCATCAACAGTTGCATATCTGCAGTGGAACACGGCAGAAAATATGTATTAGTAGCAGTGAGGCCACGAACCAGCGCTTACTGAGCAAATTGGAAACCTATTTGATAGATAAATTAATAGCATTCATAACTTTAGCTTACCAAAATGTGGCAATGTCGCATTAATTTGTCAATTAAAAAAATAAAAAAAAAAACAAAATTTTGTATATTTCCGACTAAAACTACTAAAAAGTTAATAATAGAATAATATTTTTATTAAGTAGTCATAGAAAACTTGAATTTAGATAATAAAAAAGTATTTGAAAAATTCTTTAGTAAAATGAAGAAGTTGATTCAAATTTCGAATGATATATGATTTATATGCAACATATTTTACGATTAAAGTCTTATTTCGGTAGCAGAGCATATTTTAAATAATCAGTCTTCTGACTGAAGATTGAAAATTGACATATAATTGCGACGTTGCCACACTTTGGTAAGCTAAAGCGACGAACGCTCTTAACATTATCGCTGACCAAGACAGAACGAGACAGGAATATCAGGGCGTCTTGTTCTTTGTCATGTATACGTCAACAACGTAACGTACGTATAGAATTGAGGCTACAACTGTAGCACTAGAGAGTGTCATGCCAATATATTATGTGTAATGGGGTCTCTACCTTGTTTTTTATGTGGTATCACATCGTGATCATTCACGGGGTCTTGGTACGACAAGGCTCGTTTTGTGACGGCGTATGTATTGTACTGGACGCCGGGACCAGGCTTCGGGTGCGGCCGCGGCGGTCCCATATCTGGTAACAACCGGATTATTGTTGTACTATAGTTTCATTTGACAAATACAAAGAGGATAACACCGTTTGGTGATCAAACAGTAAACAGCAGGTCTACTCTTGAATCCAATATCAATATCAATCCAATCAATTGCCAATGTCAATTTTATACTGCACTCATGAAACAACAATTAGGAATTAGAGTAGAAATGGGAAAAAGTTTACAATAGTTTGCATTGGTAAGTTACATTAATATGCATCTATAAGAAAAGTATGGAACCATTATATCGCTAGTGTTGCGAGTCGAGAGTGCGAAATGTCACAATTTCAGTATGGATTTATTGTAATTTATTTCAAGAGTAACCTTACAGAATGGGTTTAGGTACAGTTTATTGAGTTGTAAGACACTGGAGTAAAGCACAATACAAGAACAAGTACAAGGCGTGTGAAAAAACAACTTTTCTTCAGATATTTCATCAATATTATTTTTAACATCACTAACTAACCTTGACAAACGTCATCCATCGTTTTATAAATTACCATTTGAATTGTATTTAAATTTTTGAATAAACGAAAATGTAAACAATCTTAAAAATACGGCCACAATACCGGATTTGGTCAACCATGAAACAATTCCGAATATTTGGATCGATCTTCTCTTGCAATAGAACACATTCGTAGGTATCAAAATCTGCGGGAGAATTGAACGACGTAATCGAATTAGGATTACGTCGAAATACTCGCTTCGTAGGCACGTAAACGGAATTTTATTTTATTGAACTAGGTGTTATTTTGCAGAAATAATTAGCCACTCACTGACTACTACGATACAGGCCTGTGAGCCTAGTGTAGTAATCACTGTTTAATAAATTGTGTACTCGATTTTTAGCTACAATAAAGTTATTATTATTATTATACACCTATCCCCCGATTTACACGGTACTTGTTTTACACGTTTTCGCTTTTACACGGTTTTCCAAATAAGGTTTTTTTTTTGATCGCGCTCTACTAAATGCTACTGTTTGAACACGTGCGCTGTGTACACATCTCACGGGGAATCCCGAGCTTATGTGCTGACTTGCTGCACATGCACACTGTGTCTGTATTTATTCGCATAAAATTAAAGTTTTATCTACGGAAAATTGTATTTGAGTGAAAGAATCACAGTGTCAGAAAGTTTTAATTTTTCATATTCATAAATTACAAGTGAGTGCATAATTATGATTTTTATAAATTAACATAAATTAAAAAAATGATTATAGGCTTATAATGTCGAAAGAAGTTAAAAGAAAAGTTATTTCTTTAGAAACTAAAATCGAAATTTTGGATGGCTTACGAAAGGGAGATAGAGTAGTAGATGTTGCACAATCATATAACATGAACGAAGCTACAATAAGAACTATTAGAACAAATGAAAATTTTTATTTTTATTTCTGTGTACACGTAAAAATATTGAAAAAAATCACAACTGTTAAATAGCAAAATTATGCATTTTCTGCAAGATTTTCTTTTTACACGGTTTTGACTTGAAAATTTTTAATTTTCGATTTACACGTTTTTCTCAGGAACGTATCTACCGTGTAAATCGGGGGATAGGTGTATATAAAAGGAAATTAACGAATTCGCCGTGTTTTGCCGTTTCCGACAATCGTTGCGACTTCATCCGGAAGACTTCTTCAGGGGGTGTACAGCACTTTGCGGCACTACCATAAAGAAACTTACTGATGGCAATTACATTTCAATATTAAATTTGATATATATTTTATGACTTAAATAATTGCCTCATCCATTGGCAGGTGAATGGCGATTAGCCCTCGAACAATATAGTAGTAGATTATAAATGGGTTGCTTCAAATGAGTAAGTAATTCTTGTAACATGGTTACATATCAAATTTTGTGGTTTTTCAATACATATTATTGTTATGTTAACATTTTTGCAGAGTATTTGCGAAACAAGAGTGTGATTTTATTGATAGACAGTTCAGTTTATAAACGGAGTAAACAATTGGGATGCCTAGTGTTGTACAAAAGTTTAAGTTATGAATCGTTTGTACTGAAAACTCAACTGCGCCTCTAGTGGATGGTTTCGGAAACTCATTTCCATATATATTATTACTACATTTCTATTTATGTGTCAAACAAGTTGACGGTCCACCTGGTGGAATGTGACGTAATTTTGTATTTATAGTAATAAACTACATAAGAATGTTTTTAGTGAATATACAATTTCTTGACGAATGACGATATTACACGGTTCAAATAGTTTTAAACTTTTGTTTATATAATTTAGAATGTCAAACAAGCTGACGGCCCATATGATGGAAAGTGATAAGTACTACTCTTTATTACTAGTCGACTAACACATACTATATATTCATTTAGATAGTAATGTGCCTCAAATTCTCATATAATACAGTACTAACAGTTCAGCAGATGTCAAAGGTGTCAGACAACTGATAGTTTACATACACTATGGATTAATTGAAGATATGCTGTGGTTGAAAGGAGAAGAAGTAAAAACTAATGTTATCTGTCTATAAGCACTCCTCTCCATCCAAAGGTTTTTTTATGCAACTTAGAATGGCAAACAAGCTGACTGCCCATCTGATGGAAAGTGGTAACTGTCGCCTATAGGCCTGAATAGCACCATGGATGTAACAGTATACTGTTTTGCCCATGATACCCCTTTACCATTCCTGAGGACTCAGGTGTTATTTCTCTGTACCCTATTAATTATGAGTATGTCTCACAGCTGTCTCGTATACATCGTACAAGCTCTGCATAGTTAGACTTAAAAGGTAGTACCTTAATATATTCTGCAGTATTTATATTAAAAAAAAATTACAAATACTCTGTGTTCCCTTCAAAAGATTACAGTAATAAACTTATTATAGATATAAACAATTACAAGAAATGATCACTATGAGAAAACAATGGGTGGCCTTATTTCAGTAATGACTCCCATACAAAATTTATCTATTTTTGATTTTTCTATTTTTGCTGGACTCTTTATAATCATCACTGTATTATAATTAATTCGGTTAAGATGTTTTCGACTTTTAGCAAGACAAACAGCTATTCATATATATATATATATATATGGTTTCTTAGCATGTTAATTGCCGACAAACCTCTGTCCATGATATCACGCATCTGATTCTGCCGGATCATATCATTGGTGTCCGGCGACAGATGTTTCTTGACCTCAGCAAGGGCGTAGGCGATCCGGGCGTGCGCTTCAGCAGGAGGCGCCAGTGCCGATATCTCCACATGCAGCTCGTCCGACAGGTGTGAGTATTTGGGGTCCAAGGAGTTGCGTAACTCTTCTTCCTTTTGTCTGTTAATTTTTTTTACAAAAATTATACACTTTGTACTGAAAATAGTTGTAGTATCTGCCTGTGACTCAGACGAAGAAAAAAAAAATTGTAGCAAATTAGACACTTAGTTAGTTAATAAAGAAAAATAAAAAAGTTTGTAAACTGACCTATCTCTCATTGATCCACGTCCTAGAACAGCCATTTTGCACATGGTCTCATCTTGCATTTGCTTCATGGTGTTTCCTTTAGGACCAAGCAGTTTCCCCACAAAATTGAACTAAAAAGAGAATTGCCAACATTGTATTCATAATTATAAAATATTTATGTTTTACTAGAATAGTGGTGGCCATGATTCTTTGCATAAATGTAGTCTCTGGTTTGATTCATAGTTAGACAAAATTAGGAAATGAATATTGCTAAATTGACCTAGGTCTAGGTTTTTTTATAAGATTAAAATGCATTGACAACCTCCCTTGTCCTATCAGTATATGCTGGTAGGGCAGCAGTGAGGGGTGATACTCATAGGTGAGGATGAAGGTAAGTCAGATTGCACATCATGAATGAATTATGACATTTTCTAGGATCTTTATACCATATGGAGGTCAACCTGATATTATACCTGTGTGTTCTGGGTTGTGCCCCCCAATATTTGTAGCTTGGTTCCTCATAATATAGGTAGATTGAGGATTAAGCAATTAATATGATTGTGTTATGGCATAAAAAAAAAATCAGCTCACCTTTGGGTGCTCTTTAACAGGCACCAGAACTTTAACAGTGACTTTGACTGGTTTCTCATTGTATACATCAACATATTTGAAGTCCTTCACGGGAGCACGACCTGAAGTCTGTACTCGGGTGACCTCTAAAAAATAATTTGTAAGTTTATAATTCAATAAAAATTATCTCTAGAAAAGTAAAAGCCTGTGCCTCTCTCACTCTATAAAATACTTATTTCTATAATTTACAAAATAAAATACTATGGTAAAAAATTTGCAGATGTTCAGTATGGTATGGTCAGGGGAAAATATTATTAGTAATGGGAAATAGTGGACACACTGCTATTATAGGGTAACAGAGTAACAATTTATGTAAACCTGTAACAGAGTAAATATATAATCATCCTTGTTATAAGACAGTTGTTTTAGTCACATCTTCCAATAGTATCCTTTATAGTATATGGTAACTCTATCAGGTGAAATAATGAGGAATAATTTTTAACATATTACACACAATAGGGCAATTGACCTAGTTTCATCCTCGCCTATGATCATCCCTCATTGGCAAACTATCCACATATACCAATAGTGCCTGAGGTGGATCCATTCCACAATTACATATTAAAAAATGTCACAATGCAAGAATCACCCAGTAACCTAACAACTGGCATAAAAATTATTAAGTATGTATACGATAAACTGGGATGTATTGTTGCCTAGTTGTCTTCATTGAACAACTGGTAGAGGAGATTGCTTTAGACTGTAGTCTTTAAAATGGCGGGAAATTGGTAAAGTGTGTTAAAAAATATGATTAAGTATTTTATATTTAATTCCACGCTTGTTTGGCAATATTTGGGTGGTAAACAAGAATTTCATAGCAAAATAACCTTATTATATTTTTTGCGTATTTATATGAGGAATATTACTGTAAAAATCAAACAATACTGAAGGACGAAAGGTCATTCCGTATCATACCGATTGTAGCGATTGTGGAGAGAGTTCAATGTATCCAAATATAATTATCAAGTGGCAATTACTAACGGTACTGTATTTCGTAAGAGAATAATGGAAATAAATTATTAAATAAAAAATAATGTTACCTTGATCAATTAGCTTAATGGAAAGTGGAAATTTTTGTGTGTGCAATTTGATTTTCTCGCTAAGCAATTCTCTCATGTATTCGCCGGCTTTTTCATTTAATTTGGATCCGTCTTCGCCATCTTGGTCGAGATCGTTTTGAGAACCGGAATTTGGGTTGCGTTTAAAATCACCACTGTTGTAACCGTTTTTATCAAATTTTGCGTCCGCCATTTTCACAATTCACTTAATATAAACACTACAATAGTCCGTATTTATAATTAAATACAATTATGTCGAATATAAATTATTCCGGGTGGTACGGAATACTGAAAGGGACGCCAAGACAATGAATGAATGAAAGATGAAAAGAACGAATGAAATAAACAGGATTGCCAGATGTGATTTATGAATGTCAAATATTTTTTTTATAAATCAATACGATTTCTTTACTTTTTCCACAGATAATATCATACATGACGACTTAACTGACGTAATCAGATGGCGAGGGTTTAGACCGGCCCCCCGCCACGACCGGGTAACCGTGTAGCGTGGGACTCCCCTTACCACAGATAATACTATCTTTTACCCAATCACAAACATTTGTCCTTCATTATTATGTTTGTTTTAGGGACGTAAACAAATGTTAGAACCTCTTTTGTAATAAGTCGTCTAAAATTGTATTAAATATCTTTTTACCCCAAGTTCAACTTTTTCGTGGTAAAACAGTCAGGTCAGTTTATAATAATTTATATGAGGTATCGTAGGTGCAAAATATTCTTGTTCTTACTTCAGTGTAGGTACTTTCCTTAACCCATGATCTGAGGATTTGGAATATAAGTTAAAGATTAGTTAGAACAAAGAAGTGGTTATACTGACCACTAAGATCATAAAGCTATAAATTTAATATCAATAATAGATCTGTAGTTTGTAAATCCGGTTTAAAGCTATAATGTGAGCGACGTCTTTCAATTGTTTTTCAAATGATACTGCTCTCAATTTTGCTGCCCCTAGTTTTTACCTTATTCCCCTAGATCAAACCGTGCTTACCATTTTGATTTTATACACTTTTGGCTCCAATGATCGCAATTTGTGGACAAGTTGAGGTCTATCATCTTCACTGGCATGCCACCAGCGTTAGTATCCATTCCACAGCATAGACGTAATATCAAAAATATATAGTCATTCCATTTTAGTGTTAGTACAACGCATTTACGTTTTCACACAGACTAGCAGAAAAAAAAATTTAATCGTATTTAAAATAGAGTTTTTATTGCAGTACTTTAGGTTTATTTTTACGTCATATTTCTTTTATTACATGAGAATGTTTAAAGGACAATTAAATTTGTATTAAATTAATAAAATTGTATTTTAAACACTTTTAAAATCCTCTCTCTTTTCCGAGTCGGTTCTTATGAACGAACATTTACCGTTTCACTTTAAAGTTTTTATATTATCAAAAAATCGGAGGCATGTGCGATTAGGTGCGATTATAATTTGGGATTATAAAATGAATACTTTTAATTTGTAATTAATATATAATTCTATAATAATTAAATTTACAATAAGTCACACAATTACTTGCTATCTTTTATGCGTTTTATTTTGTGTCTGGCGTGTTGGACAATTGTAATATTGAATTCTGTATGTGGTGCCACTAGCATTTCTATCTTTTTCGTATTTATTCGTATCACTAGTACTTCGTCAAATGGATCCTGCATTTGGAAAAATATAAATTAGTTTTTTTTTTATTGTTAGAGAGTCAAACGAGCAGACGATCCACCTGATGAAAAGCGGCGTTTCCGGCTTTTTAAATCGGTATAGTTTATCTATGACAAAATGGCATGCCCCTCCAAATCCAAAGAATTTTTGTATATATTTGTTTATATATAATAGTGCGCCACCTACCCTTTGTTTTTCTTTCTTTTCTCAATGTCCTCTACCCGAAGGTTGTTTGGAAGAGATTGCTTAGCGATAAGGCCGCCTTTTGTATCATTTCTTATTACAGTTAAATGTATTTACTATTTTATAAATGGTGTAATAAAGTGTAAATAAATAAATATTACGAGCTTTTGACCATGAAATACGAGTATATAATACTCCTCTGGCCGGGGCGCTACTGAAGAGATTTCTTCACGAACACAAACAGAGCACCAATGTCTGTATATCTGTATATCACACATACTGAAGTAAAAAATTGAAGGCATGTGTTTTATTTACATACACAATTTATAATAAATTTAATTTATTTTTATGCATACAATACCTAAATTCTGTCTATGTTAAGTTGTATACACCTGATATAAGACTAGCAGTATCCCGCGGTTTTGCCCGTAGCACTATCATATGTTGATTACTCTGTAACTTTGGTCAAGACGTAAACTGTTAAAATTAATCCAAAAAGATTTCTTCAAATCCAGGTAGTTTAGAAATTAACGCGTTCAAACAAACAATCTCGTTAGTAAATAAAAAATATTTTAAAAATGCTTCTAGAATGATGCCAAGCTCTGATGAATTACTATGGGTTGCAAACTTTGACAAAATTATTTTTATTTATTTATTTATTTAATTCTTTATTGTACACACCAGTTATAAGAGTATGACATAGGTAATCAGATGTACAAAGGCGAGCTTAACTCTAATAGAGTTTTTTTTAGCAAACCCAAAATGGAAAGAAGCATCAATGTCAATGGGTAGAGCGGTGTACAATATTTATTGTTTTTTTTTTCTTAATAATCATAATACCATTTACCAGAGGGAGACTTTGTACAAAAGTCGATTGCTTGGGTACCTCTGTCCCATTCGTGTTTCAACCGTGAAGCAATTGTGTTTGCATGGCTGTGTTTCGGTTTGAAGGGTGGGATATGGCGTGAATTTACTGGGTACAGAGGAATAACACCTGGGTCCTCAGGAGTAGCAACGCATGGGGGGGTATCACGGGCGCAATAGTTAACTCTGTTATGTCTATGGTACTACTCATGTCTATAGGTGACGGTTACCACTTTCCATCAGGTGGGCCGTCAGCTTGTTTGCCATTCTGTTGTATAAAAAAATAATAATAATGAATTACCAATTCCTTAATATAGTTTTGTGTCAGAGTTCCAAATCGTTTTAACGCTAATCCGAAGTTCGTGGCTCGTCTCAAACTAATATTGGTCAACACTGGTGCACCTGAAATCAAAAATAAAAAAAATCATACTGCTGTATTTTCCTTATATTTTCAACCGAATTAAAAAAGAATATGGTTCTCTAATTCGATTGTATTATTTTATGTTTGTTACTTCATAACTCTGGCAGATTTAAACCGATTTGGAATTATGTTTTTTTTTTATCTAAAAGGATACACTTACAGATTGGTCTCGTAGAAATTTAATGAAATGCGGTTTAGCAATTTAGTTTGTAAATAAAAATAACTAGTTTTGCTATAATTGATATAGTTTTTTTTTTGTGGAACACAACGATAAATTTTATTATCGAATTTATTAACGAATAATTTACAGTGGCACCCTGCACTTTGGTTATGTTTTGTTAAGAGAGGGACTGGCTTAAAACCAGCGCTGTGCACAGTATCAGCTGAGCCGGTTCCTTTTGCCTAGTGTGGGACACTTTTTGTATATGTTATTTGTATTTTATATTGTAATTGTATGGCAATAAATGTTTCTATTCTATTCTATTCTATAAATTATTATAATATTACCATTTTACAGTTAGGTGGGCTGTATGCTTGTTTGCTACTTAACCTTGCGGTATAAAAAAAAAATTATGAGTTCGTAGCTTCTTGATATAGAATTAATTAACAAACCAAGAAATTAACACTGTTCTTGGTGCTTTAACGATTTACATAATTGTTATGAATTTTCGTACACAGATATGGGATAGATAGATAAACTCTTTACTTGCGGGGGAAAGGGATTGCTAGTAATGGGGCTATTTGACCCCAATATACCCTGTCAGGTCGACCTCCACGTGGTTCCCCTTGGAAACCATCGTGGCTAATTCTAGTTGAATTCGTTAGGATGGGCTAACTGACCTGCTTTCATCCTCATCAGTCATCTATTACTGGTGCCCCGCCAGTGAATACCGATAGCGCAGGCGGGGTTACCATACCATTATCACCCATTAAAAAAAACTCTTTACTTGCATTTAGAGAAATACATAGACTGTGAAAATGGCGACAAAAAAAAAACTTAAAAAAAATTAACAATACGGCGACATAGACAAAATTGTATACATACATCTAATAATTATGTGAAAATGTAGTGTGTGTCATAAGGATGCAAAAAGGCGATTTCTCAGCGAGTTGTTTGCTTAATAAGAGAACCACTAATTTCTGTTGCTGCCTGAAAGAGTCCCCAAAGGCAACGACAACGCTGTGTCCGACACATTTTGATATATTCATTAACTTTTATTAAACTGAACATAGAATTATGATGGGATGGACGAGGATGGAATGGTAGGCTATATATTTATCTTGTTCTATCGATCCATCCTGATTATGGGCACATAATCGTAGAAATAGTTATCGACAAATAAAAATACTAACGGGGAAGGGATTGTTAGTAATGGGGTTTACTTTTCCCATTACTAGTAATACATCCTATCAGGTCGACCACCACGCGGTTTCCTCTGGAAACTATCGTGGATAATTCTAGTGGAATTCGTCACGCTGGATCTACTGACCTGTTTTCATCCTCACCAATCATTCCTTACTGGTGTCCCACTAGCGTATATTGATAGCGCAAGCGGGGTTACCATTTCATTATCACACATTAAAAAAAATACAAGGCCCTTCTAATGTATCTAGAGAATAGTTTCGGTCAGCGCTTGTATGAGAAAGAACTAGACAGCGCATATCGCTGTCTCATTTTGTCACATGCATTTGCTAGCTTTTCCGTCTCCGTGCGGTTCCGGCTACTCCTTCCTTTTCCGTGGATGTCGTAAGAGGCGATTAAAGGAGGGCGAGGGATTGGCAGCAGTATCCCTTTTAAACCATTTTCAAAGCCTAATTGCGGTTGCCAATGCGCCTGCCAACCGTGATAATTACTGGCAAATCCCTCAAGGGGAGGCTTATGTTCAGCATTGGACAGATAAAGGCTGATATGATGATGATAATGATAATTTGCGCTAGCGATAACGATTCTATCGACAGATTCGATTGCTACTTATCCAGAGGGACAGTCACCGTCTTTGTTAGTCATAATAACGCCTTCAACAGATTCGTCCTCCATTATTCTATCCACAATTGGATTCACTGTGTTGACTTTAGCAGTCTGAAAATTAAATGGAATTAGACAATCTTCACAACTCTCTAGAAATTATATGTAAGTAGGGCTTGTGTTATGGCCATTCGCGTATTTAGGGTTATTGTCCAGAGAGGGTCTGGCCCCTTAAAAAAGGAGCATATGCACTTTTAGACATATTTTTGCGAATTTTTTCTCACATTTTAGGTGAACATTGGACTATTCTAAGGTAGGCATGGCCCACCCGGCCCCCTCTCTGAAAGACGTCTACGACTATGAACTTATACTAAGAGGCAATATCGTACAGCTCAAGTATAAGGAAAAATATGAAATAAATTTGTAGTTATATTATAAAAAAAAGGATGTTTGCAATGTAAAGATGATGAGAATGATGAAAAATAAAATAAATGATAAAAAATTGGGATTCCGAGGCCGACCACATACTCTTTTGTTGCAGTATCCGGCCGTAGTACTTTCCTAATGCCCCTCAAATATTGCGTCTAAACTGCGCCCACCATGTACCCTCTTGTATAGGTATTCCGTCACCCGTATCCAATAGCGAGGACGGGATGCCTTAAATACTGTACCGCAAATTATAAAAAACAAAAAAACGTTATACGACTTACAGTTTCCACCAGCCACTCGTCTTGACGGTCTTTTAGTAAATTATTTATAATCTTCATTATTGAAATAGACCTTTTTACCGTTTCTTTTTACTTGTGCTTGTCTGAAATATAAAGTATTTTTTTTAAATAGGTAAAAGTGAAATGGTAACCTCGATAGAGCTATCAGTACGTTGGCGTGGCACTAGTGACAGATGATAGATGAGAATGAAAATAGTAAATGGAAAGTGGTAACCGTCGCCTATAGACGTGAGCAGTATCATGGACATAACAGAGTATACTGTTTCGCCCATGATACCCCCCATGCGTTGCTATTCCTGAGGACTCAGGTGTTATTCCTCTGTACCCTGTTAATTCACGCCATATCCCATCCTTCAAACCGAAACACAGACATGCAAACACAACTGCTTCACGGTAGAAACACGAATGGGACAGAGGTACCCAAGCAAACGACTTTTGTACAAAGTCATTTATTTATTATTGGTTGATTTTAATATTTCTCTGTCATATGATTTGATTGTCGTGTAATCCCGGCATAGAATGGGCCATTCCTTCAGTTTTCATGGGGATCGTAAAAGGGGACTAAGGGAATTTAATAGTCGAGCGATGGGCAGCAGCGTCCCTCTTTAAACATCACTAAAGCCTAACTGCGGTTGCCGAGCCTTCTGCCAAGCGTTGCTATTACTGATAAAGCTACTGGTAAAAACTTTAGCTCCCAAGAGGCAGACCTATGTTTAGTAGATAGTTAACAATTGATATGAACGGGGGGGGGGGATAGGAATTGTTAATAAGATTTAACAGATCTATTACTAGCAATATAGGGTATATAACAGGTCGGCCTCCATGCGGTTCCCTCTTTTTTTTTAACGCCTGGAAAATGCTTTATGCAGACCCATACACCTTGTGGGAGGTGAATGGGTACTGTGGGAGTCCCCCCGTAAGGCGGGGGTGTACCCACCAAAAACCAGACGATATACCCTCGAGGTGCCATATAACGGAGACATGGGTTCGCATTCGCACTCACCACATCTCCGAATGCGGGTCCCCCTGGAAACCATCGTGGTAAATTTTTAATGAATGCATCACGGTGAACCAACTGACCTGCTTCATCTTCATCTATCATCCCACACTGGTGCCCCGCCAGCGCATCCCGATAGCGCAGGCGGGGTTACTATTCCATTTTCATCAAAAAAAAACTAATAAGAAGATGATGATATGATTTACTGGTGATGAAAGTATTCAATAAATGAAACATTCATAAAGCAGTACTTACAATACACAGCCTGTTCCGTAATCATCAAATAAATGGACAATTGTCGGCGAGAGTATTTATTATTTGGATTTTCTCTTAATTTTATGTACGACGCAAGCAGCGAACTCTTTATCCCCGGCTACGGAGATTTCGAACGAAGCTGTCATAATTCTATATGCAATTAGTTCATCCAACAGATCCTGTTGGTCATGACGTTATTTTTTTAATTTTAATAGTCAAAATGATTTGTTTAATAGTAGCTGTAGGGGGGAAAGGGATTGTTAGTAATGGAGACTGAGAATCCCATTGCTAGCAATATACACAATATACCCAAATGCCTATTCGTATATTGTCGCTATGTTTTTTTTTATGGGTGAAAATGGTATGGTAACCCCGCCTGCGGTAACGGGATACGCTGGCGGAGCACCAGTGAAGGGAGATAGATGAGAATGAAAACAGGCCAGTTAGCCCATCATGATGAATTCATCAGGAATTAACCATGATAGTTTCTAGGGAGAACCACGAGGAGGTGGACCTGGTTGTGTATATTGTTAGCAATGGGATTCTCAGTCTCCATTACTAACAATTCCTTTCCCCCCATTGTCGCTATGTTAGGAACATGTATATAATAAAAGCAAAGAAATGATTGTTATGTACACACACTTCACGGTACAACGTCTGTCCTCGCGCAATGCTCCTACAATACTGACCGCCACTGACATTTTTTACGTATGTACCCTCATGTATACACTAGAGATAGTGTGCGTATTGCCATATCTCTCTTCAATCGTACACTCTTGACAGAGTGGTCGTGGTTTTTACAATGATAGTGGATCGTCGATGAGGCCCTCCTTTGCGATTGAGGTCCACGCAATATGTCTCCATCTCCTTCTGTTCACAGCCGAGCGAGATTGTCAATTACTACAGGTATATTACATGTAAAATGCATCTTCTTTAAAATGAACTTGGTACTCACAATTTCATTTAAAGCCTGCATTGTAGCAGTATTTAGATGAGGCAACTTCTTCGACAAAACAAGCGCCATGGTTCTCGGTAGAGTTGATAGTTCAACCCATTCTGTAGTGGGGGGAAAGGGATTGTTAGTAATGGAGACTGAGAATCCTATTGCTAGCAATATACCCAACCAGGTCAACCTCCTCGCGATTCTCTCTGGAAACTATCATGGTTATTTCCTGATGAATTCATCATAATGGGCTAATTGGCCTGTTTTCATTCTCACCGATCACCCTTCACTGGTGCTCCGCCAGCGTATTCCGTTAGCGCAGGCGAGGTTACCATACCATTTTCACCCATAAAAAAAAACATTCTGTAGTATACAGACATAAATTAATAGAATAGGTTTTATTAGAGTTTCGTTCTACACTGTCTTCGTCATCATCAATCAGCCTTTAACTGTCCACTGCTGAACATAAGCCTCCCCTTTGGGGGGTTTTGCCAGTAGTTGCTACTTGTTGGTGACCATAGTCAGGCTTTAGAGATGTTTTAAGAGCGACGCTGCTGTCCACCCTCGCCCTCCCTTTTTTTTTTAATGGGTGATAATGGTATGGTAACCCCGTCTGCGCTATTGGTATACACTGGCGGGGCACCAGTGAGGGATGACAGATGAAGATGAAAGTAGGTCAGTTAGCCCATCTTGACGAACGTAATACCTCTGGTATTGCAGGCGTTCATAGGCTACGGTAATCGCTTACCATCAGGTGGGCCGTATGCTTGTTTGCCACCTCAGTGGTATAAAAAAAAATTAAACTAGAATTAGTCACGATGGTTTCCAGGGGGAACCACGTGGAAGTCGACCTGACAGGGTATATTGCTAGTAATAGGGCTATTTGACCCCATTACTAACAATCCCTTTCCCTCCTCGCCCTCCCTTAGTCGGTGTTTACGACACTCACGGGAAAGGAAGGGGCAGCCTATTCTATGCCGGGACCACACGGCGACTACACTGTATATAGCTTTTATCCGCTACTTCATCCGCATGATCAATTAATCAATCAAATCAATGGTTAACGACATTTTAACCATTTAATTAACCGGGATAAATAATGACCTATATACTTCTCTATTTCAAATAGTAGGATGTACATGTATATTAAATTTAATGACTAGTAGTTGAGCCGTTAAGGTGTTTAAACGTAAACAAACAAACACACTTTAACATTTGTAATGTTAGTGAGGATAGAGTAAGGAAGTAAGATTAAGGATTAACCTTTGTTATCATGCCACTTACTGTTCCGAAAATACATAAGTCCAACAACATTATGGTTGCCTTCTAAGCATGATATAGTATTTATAGTTTTCTTATCAAAGTCCTGTAAAATAACAATTAATGCATAATTTATTAATTATTAATTTAATTTATTTTTATTTTATTTATTAGGCGTACATAACAGAAGTTTACAAATACAAACTTAAACTATAACATGCAAGTACATTAATGTATTGATCAGGTAAACTTGCCACAACATGTGCACACAGCATGATCCAATAATAAATGCGATAATAATTATGTAATTTATTTAGTTATATGCTTTTGTATTTGATATTAGGTTGTAACAAAAGTGTACACAGGCGGACTTATCCCTTAATCCTAAAAAGCCTGATTTTTTAAATCAAATTAAAAAATATATAAGTGTACCCTTTACTGTGTTTATTAATGGGGAAAAATAGTATAGAAATCAAAACGATATTTTTATATATTTATTTTGAAAAATACATTTGGTAACATGTAAACAGCCAAATATTAAAATAAAATCGATTGTAGGCGCCCAATGTGATTTAAAACCTCGGTATCAAATTTGATACTTCAGATATTTAAGGGTTAAAGGGATTTCTTCCAGTCAACCTTGAGAATCCGAAAGAAGGAAGTTAATAGTAACTGATATAATTATTGGTATATATTTTTTTTATTACCATGTTGTTTGTATGGTGGTATGTAAGGTGGCGCCCTCTAGAATCAAAACCTCTAGACAGCTGTATAAATTCTAAAATGAGAGGCGGCAAAATTGAAGCGGTTGTTCAATAAAAAGTTTTTTTTTTGGAAACTACTAGTTCAACATTTGTTTTATAAGAGAGACACAAACAGTAGTGGAATATAAATGGTTTGTTTTATTTATTTATTCATTAGTACAAATATGTGTACATGGCCGATTTAATGCTAAAAGCATTCTCTCCCAGTCAACCATAGGGAAGTGTCAGAATACTCGAATGCGGTACTACTAATTATTGATATACATACATACTAAAATTACATATATAAACGAATAAATATATATGAATAACAAATACACTTACATATATATGATATATACTATATTACACACGAAATTAAGAATTTGAATTGAATCGAATTAAGATTTGTTACGGTGCGTATGGTATAAATATTCATAATTAAGGATAATGCTTACTTGTGGCAATTGCTTTTTAAAAGCTACAGCTTTCTTTAATTCATGAGCCATAATCGAATAATAAATAAGCGATATCAATACGATATTAATTAGAAAAGATAAACTATATAAAAACAATTTTTATAAGGTCATATAAATATAAATAACGTTGTATAAAAATGTTTTACATCAATTTGTAGTTGTTTGGAGGAAATAAGTAACAACCAACTCGATTATATTATTGATTTTCATATAATGAGAGAATGACAGCAGAAATTAATGTGAGAAGTAAACGTCGCTGTCATGTCTGTATGTCCAGTGCGAAAGATAGAAAGAGGTGAAATATCTATGTACAATTAAATTAACCTACTTGATGGAGAAGAAAGTAATGATGTTGACAAGTGGCTATGAGATGAATATTTACAATATTAATTTACAGACGCCACAAATTTTATTGACGTTGAATCTATTTGGTTACGAATAAGGATTGCACCCTCTTTTTAACCGAAGACAGAATGAGGTTCTTAATTCAGTTTTTTTTTTTACAACACACGGGGCAAACGAGCATGCGGCTCACCTGATGGTAAGTGACTACCGCCGCCCATGATCACCCACAACACCAGAGGCATTGCAGGTGTGCTGCCGGCCGTTTGTGTTTGTGTTTTTTAAGTTTGTTACATCATAACTACGTCAGTTGAAAATTATTTTTTTATTTGAACACATACCAATACTTATAGCAGTGATTCTCAACCTTTTTTTTGTTGCGGCACATATTTAACGATTTCAAAATTTGGCGGCACACAAAGAAAAAGATAAAAATTATTTACTCACTACAACACACTGCATAAATAGTTTATGACAAAAATTTTAAATATTTGCAAAATTTGGCGGCACACTTTTAAAATTTGGCGGCACACAAAAGTGCCGCGGCACAGTGGTTGAGAATCACTGACTTATAGAATGATCCTATAGAAATTTTATTACAATCGATTCAGTAGTTTAGTTTTTAAATAGTTAACACATTTTCAACATACACTTGTCTTTTTTTTTATACAACTTAGAATGGCAAACAAGCTGACGGTCCACCTGATGGAAAGTGGTAACCGTCGCCTATAGACATGAGTAATACCATGGACATAACAGAGTATACTGTTTCGCCCATGATACCCCGCATGCGTTGCTGTTCCTGAGGACTCAAGTGTTATTCCTCTCTACCCTGTAAATTCACGCCATATCCCACTCTTCAAACCGAAACACAGCCATGTAAACACAACTGCTTCACGGTAGAAACACGAATGGGACAGAGGTACCCAAGCAATTGACTTTTGTACATAATCTCGCTCTGATACTAACTTAGGATCCAATTCTTCCCTCAACAGACTGTTATCATCGTATAATAAAGCCGTAAACGTTAACCATAATATCGACATCTTTGGTAATTTTTTAGTGCAGTTTACTAGGCTTTGTAATAATATGGATTGGTAGTTAGGTCTTCTCTAATTGTATAATTGTTACTTAGCATACATTGACGCTTATCTGTGAGAGCTGTATACACCTTTAATTGATGTGTTCATATGGCCTTAAGCTTGGTAGTGAGGAATGAGATGTTTTTGTTCAAGTTAACTTAGATTTAAGCATTTTTGAACAGTAATTTTTCACTTTTTACTTACTTGTAACATTGTACATTGTCTGCTTAGTTGTTGTGAGCATATTGTTGGTGCGGTGTGTCTTTTATAAATAAATAAATAAATAATTTAAAATAACTGGTTTTGTCACAATTGAATTCGTTTTCAATAGTAAACAATATAAAGTGTTACCTTAGTGTTTTTAAAAAAATAAAAATCAACAATAGTTGAAAAGAAATATTATTTCATTTTTGAACTAGTTTTTTACCCGCTATTTTGTAGGCGTGGATTTTAGATATAAGAAAACTAATTGAATATATCACTTCTAGAAGGCGTATCAAGATTAAATATATACCAAATGTTAAATTAACCCTTCAAGAATATAATTATGAAAACCGCATCCAATTTGCTACAGTAGTTAGGCGCAAACATAGTTTACTATATTGGGTATACATTTATAATGACAGACGTTAGCAATATTTTTTTTTTTATATTTAAATCAATACATACTTTTTGAATCGTTAGTTTGTATAGCAATTGTTGTAATCAATTTTAATTACCTTGCTGGCGAATTTCTTTTAAATTATTTAACTCTGTATGTTTTTTTTTAAATACATGTGTAAATGTGAAAATTTAAAAGCAACTTCTGAAACGGCAGCTCCCTTTGGCAGTATCAGACCAATAAGTACTTTAGATACTTTCCAATTTCGTTTCCCATTTATTTCTCGAATAGTGTAAGATACGCTGTACATCTTAAGAATTTATTGTCAGTTGTTAAAAGACTTAATTTTAAACGTGAAAAATGCGAGACTTACTTTCAACTTTTCAAAGTGGTCTTTCTTTACAGACAAAACGAATGGTTATGGCATTGAGATGGGAGGAATTGAAAGAATTTTGTTGCATTGTTGTTTTAACGGTGGATTCTTGATTATCATCATTATTTTAGTCACTGCTGAATATGGGTCTCCCCTTATTCTCCGATAAACAATGGTTTTCAGCTAATTTATCGATTTCCTAAGATCTGTAAGTTTTTTTAGAGAATAATGGAATAGTAAGTCTCTTACGATTTTGGTATACGCTGGCGGGATACCAGTGGGGGATGATAGGTGAGGATGAAGTCAAGTCAATTGGTCTGTCGTGATAAATTCACCAGGATTTAATAACGATGGATGGAGTTCGACCAAGGGAAGCTGCATGGAGGTTAACCTCTGTCAATAGAACTAAGAATTTCTATAAGTACTAGTATATAAGTATATATAGTATTATACTCTTTAAGTATAAGTATAAGATAGTAGTAATGGTAATAAATTAATTTCCCCTCATCCAATCATTTGCATTAAATGAATGAATAAAGGAACAAGCTTGACGAAATCATTACTTATTTATATTTAGTATTATTATTATATTATGGTATCAAAAAGCGGTGATAGCCCAGTGGTATTTGTACTGGACTGTCGTGCATGAGGGTCTTGGTTCGAGTCACGGCTGGCGCCTGTATTAATGAGTTATTTTCTAACTTATGTACGGATTTAGCAATTTTTCCAAATTATCACTCGCTTTAAACGGTGAAGAAAAACATCGTGAGGAAACCTGCATACGCTAGAGAAGAAATTTAAAGGCGTATGTACCTACAAGCACCCATATAACGGGAAAGCTTTCTCCTTTAGGTTAAGAGGTCAGACGGCAGTCGCTCTTGTAAAAAGCTGATCTTGTCAAGTCACATATGGTGTCGCTTGCAAGCGTACCCTGAGCTCCAATTAGGATGCAACCGGGACATACGCTCGGATGATTATTTATTATATTATGGTATCAACTGCATCGTATACACTGCTAAAGGCCCCCATAAAGAAGATTTTGCCAGTAGTTGCCACGATTGGCAGGGGTATAAACAGCTGCGGTTAGTTTTTGGTGATGTTTTAAGAGAGATGTTGCTGTCAATTTCTCGACCTTCAAGTTCCTTTAGTCGCTTGGTATGACACCTATGGAAAAGGAAGCGTTGACCCATTCTATGCTCGGACCACACAGCAGTAACATATATTATTGTATTGTATTGTAAAACCTTTCTTGTACATAACTCAGATTAAACACTGGTAAATGATTTAATATACAATGGCGGACTTATCCCATAAAGGGATCTCTTACAGTCAACCTTCGAGAAGCTGAAAGAAAACTGTAGAATGTATTAATGAGGATATAGAAATCATAGAGTTATTATTGAAATGTTTAAAATAATAATTTTAGACTATTAATTAAAGAACAAAACTTTAGTTAAACCCGAAATAATATTACATTCCATTTTTGGTCAGTCGTGGACAAAAAAAAAAAAAACATTTCAGTTCTGTAACACAGAAATGAGGGTGTAATTTTCATTTTTCGAGGTAATCCTATTGGGTCTCATTAAGGTCTTTCGAATGAGTTGAGGGGTCACACATCCTTTATGTGTGTAATTAATATTTTAATATTGTATAAAGCCCGTGTTATTGGGCGTAGAACCGACACATGGATTTAAAATATCCAAATCCATGCAATATTTTTTTATACTTAACACATTTACGTTCTCAATAAATTGGGTAGATATATTTTTGTATTGAAATATTAATATTTTTTACCCATAACTTTGTCCGAGTTTTTTTTACATCACTGAAGTGGCAAACAAGCTTACGGCCCAGACGACGGTAACCAGTTATCGTAGCCTATGAACGCCTGCAATACCAGGGGTATCACGTACACGTTACCGATCTTAAAGAAATCTCTTTACCGTTTTTTTTAACAACTCCATACTGTAGTCTCTTGACCTCGACAGAGACTTATTGCACAATCTGACCGTTTGTGTGAGGAAACATCTCCGAGATCGCAGTATACGCGACCATCTAGACTCAAAGGTATGAGGGTGAACTCCCTGTCGATGGCGAGTTGTTCGATGGTAGAAACTGGCCGTGAATATCATATTGAATTCTTTTTTGATATTCCTCTGAGCACAGCCCGTTGTATAGGCGGTAGAAAACGCAGAGTGAGGTAAAATCTCTGCTAAGATTTAAGGGTTCGATATCGTTTGTACCGAGACACCGGGATATGTTTACTGATTGGCACGACATACTAACGTTCATAGCAATCGGTGAGAGGTTACAAATTAATAAATACATACAGTCTTTCTTTATTTGTTTGTTTATTATAAATAAACTCACTGATAAAATTTAAAAAGTTTATAAGTAAGGATGGGCATAAGTGTATTACTATTAAAATACTTAGCAATAGTTAGATGACGTCAAGTTACAAATTATTAATAATTTTTAATGTTTTCGACTCTTTTGTAGTCAAAGGGGGAATGAGGTAGATAGATTTCGGGTATATATGTATATAAAAAAAAGAATAAATCTGAGTAGGTAAGGTATGAAGGATCTTTTAAATTTATAATCGGGACTAAACATGATGTGGTTACGTAAATAGTGTCTACATACCGGATTTTTATTGCGGATGTTTCAACATGGATTGCATTACGTCGTAGTCACGGTAGGACTGAAGTGGACGGTGTCTTTTTTTAGCAACCCGCGTAATTTAAGTCTCAATTGTGGATTTAAAATATGTGTAAACGACGCGAAAGTTTAAAATTAAGTTTTTGAAAGATTTTCTTCTGTAATAGATCAGATACTATCCTTTATCTATGGTAGTAGCTTATAATCGCTAAGTTACTAGTGCTAGTGTTTAGCGTAGTAAAAAATATTCTGTGAAAAATAAAATATTACATAATTTATTTTTTTTATTTTACATATGTATAATTTTTTTACTCCTCTGTAAATCATTTGAATTAAGCATTATTTAATATTTATTTTAAAATATTATGAATGTGTTACTCTCCATTTGAGAAATAGTTTTTTAACGACTTTCCATTGCGCACTCATATCATAATATTAGGTACATGTTAATGTATAGTTTTATGGTTTCGTGGTTTTATTTATTATGCATGTTTTATTTTAAACCAGGTTCTTTATTTTATGGCTAAAGGTTATTTTGGGTATGCGAGGAAATATCTCACTATGCCTACCTTACATCTTATTTATACCACCGTTACTACAGTAACTTTATTTTATTTATTGAAATAAATAAATAAATTGAAAATACTGGGGCGTAGTTTTCAAAGCGTTGCTTTCATTGAATTCGTGTGAAAGTTTGATGGGCTGACTGAGTTATGAGCAGCAACTGCTTAATATTTCAAAAGATTGCGCTCTGGGATAGTATGCTAAAAATAAGGTCGAATGGCGTTGTTTCCTTATCCTAACGTATAGTTTTAAAATAGTCGACATACTACGAAAAACATAAGGCATCTTAATTTTAAGGATTATTAGTAGTAGTTTAATTTATCCCACTCAGGGAAAGGCAAAGGTACTGAGCCATACAGCCTAATCTTCAGTTTAAGGATTAGGCAGCAAGTAAACATTGTCATTTTTAAAAGTCGGCACTTCCCTTATATTAAAATAAATAAATAAGTAAAATAAATTTATGTAATCACCTAGAAATTTAAAAATACCTTAAACGTAATATCATAGTGTTGTACGTTTTAATAGACATAATCGTCTATTACATGTTTTTATCCAAAATATTAATACTAATACTTATCATAAAAAAACCTAGCTACATAAAAATGCAAAAATTTAAAATTCACTAAACTGATTGTGTATCTTTTATACAAACATTTGTTCTAAATAACGCGAGCCTGATAACAGTAACTTAAAAAAGTACTAATATCATAGATTAAGGATAGTACTTGATTTCTACGTCAAAGATATTGGATATAATTTATCTGTAAGCAGGTTTATTCTTAATCTATGTATCAAGTGCTATCAAAAGCGCTATTGTAATTTTTCAGCCAGTAATTTTTCAACTTTACGCAGATGGTAGGTGCCAGCAGGTATTATATTTAATCTGTTGTGCAAACTCAGATATATGTCTTACATGTCTGTATGTGTGATTAAAAACAACAATTTGTTTAAATATAAAACAAAACAATTTTACATTTTAGTACTCGAAATAGAAACGAAACTGAGTATTTCATGCAGTACCCTAAAAATAGAAGTTATGCTCATTCACTGGAGTGAAGTATTATATTTCCACGCGGCTTTTCCTGTTTGTGGTCGACTTTATTAACAAAGTTCCATCCTTATTTGCCCCAAACTTACTTTTTGTTTCGCATAATAACTCTGCCCTTTTTAATAAGTACAGTTTTATGTTATCGTGGTACTGTTAATGACAGTTTTCTGTTAACTGACTTCGTTGGAATATAAAGGTTGGTTTGTTCTGAATGCGTTTATTTACCTTTTACTGTTTTAATTTTTATCCGACTGTAAATGAAAAGAGGGTTATGTGTTTTGAGTGCTTGTTTTGTTGAATTCTAATAAACGGGACGTTATTACAGACTCTCACTGGAGTCCCGCCAGGCGTTTTCAAAGTTAATTATTTAAAAAAATTCATAAAAATATCATTTAGACCATATTATACTTGTGCATTTAAATAGAGCAAGTGTGGAGCGTCCAAAAAAAGTCAGGTAAATTTATTATTTATCATATTGTTTATGTCCCCCATATCATGAGATCAGCCTTTAACTGTCTACTGCTGAACGTAAACCTTTCCTTTGTGAGGTTTTGCCAGTAGTTGCCATGCTTGGTAGGCGAGTTGTCAACTGCAGTTAGGATTTAGAGATGTTTTAAGAGGGACGCTGCTGCTCATTCCTCGCTCTATATTAGTCGTCTCTTACGACACAAACAGGGAAGAAAGGGGTAGCCTTTTCTATGCCGGGACCACACGGCGTATACGACGCTTTATATACAAACCCTATAGATACTTTCTCATTTTGGGTTCTCAAGATTGACTGCAAGAAATCGCTTCAAAGATAACTTCACATGTACTTTGTTATTTTCTTCATAATATGATATTTGTATTAATGTAAATATATATTAAAAAGCTTATACAAACAAACAAACAAATGTACATTGATGCATAGTAATTCTAATATTTTAGTATTGGCGTATATACTGACAAATAGTGATTGTCTATGTGTAATCTATAGTATGATAGAATAAACTTTAGAATTCTCTTTCCGGCTACGAATTTCCTTCTTCCTATAATCCTGCAGAATTTAAGAGGTATGATAATATATTTGCAGGCTGCAAGATAATGATTGCCAACAGCTTACAATATGCTGTGATGGTAATTATCAAATTTGGATAACATTACTTGCTTACCATCAAGTGGTGTGTGTTCCTTTTGACTAGTCACTATTGTTAAAAGAAAGACACAAAATGAAGTTAGCTGCTTTTGGTTAAGAGTTTGTAAAGAGACATACCATTACACACGAGGTTTGGCCATTTGGAGAGGATGAATAAAAGAAGAATAACGAAAGAGATTTAACGAGCATGATTGGAGATATCGGTACGTGTCATCCTAGACGGACTTATGTTGACTAAATAAGCTATGTACTGAAGAAGGGTCAATTTATCCCTTTGCACTCTGTTGTCGCCGTATTTGCGACATCAAAATGTAACATTAAATCCACTGCCATGGCTTCGGCGACGCGATTGTTTTACTGACTCAGCGCCCTTAACACTTAGGTAAACGAAACCGTCTGTGTTTATCCTATAGTGTTTACGATATGTTTATAATGTTTACATTATAATAAATTATTGTCAAGTTAATGAGTTATTGGTATCCTCTATGAGTTACTAGGCTGGAGTGCAAAAGGTTAGAAGTATCCATAACTGGCGAGTGTGTATGAATAGATTCATGAATGTGGAGAAAGTGAAAGAGGTCCGTTTGAATTGGAAAATAAAAGTAATTCTAATGGAATTGTTTAATTTCATACAAACAAAAAGGATTTATCATTTATAATTGTCCAATCTTACTCTCTAATCTGCTCAAAAACTGTTTAATTTCCTCTATTTCTAATGACATCTGATCCATTTTTACATTTAACATATCGATCGGTGTCTTAGAACTGTCCGCATTGGTTGTTATTTGGTGTTTCATATCAGACATATCATCGTCTAGTTCATTTAAATGTCTCATTATTTCCTCGTGTCTCAATGTATTTTTGTCTGGTGCATTTTGTTTTTTGGCTACCTCAGTTTCTAATTGTTTATTCGTTTGATTCACAACATAGTTATATATTACGTCAATTTTCTCCTTAAACTCTTGGAATCCTTGTTCGTCGTCCATTTGTTTCTTTTGTCTTTGAGCCTTCTCAAATATGGCGTCTCTTATTCTTGACGGCAACACTTTGTAGTGCCTCCATTTTGGCTTCCCCGGATTCATAGTGATAATGCCTCTGACATTCCGTTTATTTTTTATATGAGCATTAATTTTTCGTGGCAGAAGATTCTCGAAAACTTTGTTGTACACTAACGTATCTAGGGTACTCAGAAATTCTACTTGTTTAGCTAATCTCCTTATATTACCCAGCACCTCTAAATCATTAATGTCATTTACAGCAACACCGACCATTAAATTCATAAGCACGATCGCGGCTAATATTAAAAAAATAAGGAATATCAATCTAACTATTGTTAGAGACGTTTCAAGTTGGTCTGTGTGTTCTTCATCGAACATCGCTTCGTAATCAAATTCCGATGTCATCATGACCATGGTCTTGACAAGGGCAGCCAGTGGACCTTCGAATGGCATTTGGGAATGAAACTGTATCATGAAACTCAGGGAAAATCCGATGACGAGAAACATAAACGTGCACAGGATCTGAAAAATATTTTCAAAGATCAAATATAATCCAAGGCTTGTTTTGTAAATATTGTTATACTAATGGCAATGGGGGGAAATGTGGTTAGCTTTCTTGGTACCATTTCTTTTAGTCGAGACCTTTTTGACTTTTAAAGTAGACTCGGAAATGAATATAAAGTCCATCATAATATCAATGTTAAACACTACGAATTTGTATGAGATTTTTTATAGAAAAACTCAAACATCTATAATGAAGGTTTTGTTTAATTTCTTATAAAGTTTCCATATGTCTCTCATATGGAAACTATAAGAAATTAAACAAAACTACATACATAATCATATCGTATCAATCGTTAACTTTCCACTACTGAACATAGGCCTTCCAGACTAGGAGGGTTTTGCCAGTACTTGCCACGCTTAGCAGGCGGATTGACAACAGCAGTTAAGTTTTGGTTAAGTTTTAAGAGGGATGCTCATCCCTCGTCTATGAAAGTTTCCTTAGCCGCTTCTTTAGACACCCACGGGAAAGGACATACATAATACGATTGCTAAGAAACTAATAAATATAATTTACTGTCTTATATAATGTCTTATATACTTACTTATATCTAATCTCGAGATAGCATGAAAAATAATAAGATCTGGTAAAAATATAATATAATAAGTGTATGTAGATGTATATTGTATCAAAATAGATGATAATTTACGTATGTCGACCAAATAGGCGAGAAAGGCCAAATTAAAAGTACCCGTAACCGGCGAGCGTGTATGAAAAGATTGATGAATGTGAAAGAAGCGAAAGAGGTTTGTTTGAATCGAAGCATTTGGCGTTCCATTATTTCTGCCTACCCTAATGGGAAACAGGCGTGACAGATATGTATGTATGTATGTAATTTACACAAATAAATAAACACCGTAAGAGTGAATAAATAATTTCAATACCCACCTTGACCACATTGGAAGCAACTTTCCCAAACATCAGCACATAATATCCCCAATTTGGAAACCTTGATAATAGAAACATCATTTCTAACCAAGATAACAGTAACGCCAAAGTTGCTACGTGTCTAGGCCATTCTGCTTCTGACCAAGAGGCTACGAATACAGCGAGAGGTAATATTGTGGCTAGCCCGATTGAGCCAAATTTGACCCATGTCTCCAGTTGTAGGAAGTATCTGCTTGTTTTTATGTTCATATACAGTAACTCCTGAAAATGGTATAGGGAAAAAATGAGTAATCCAAATCGACGTATCAGTGCGATTAATATAAGCTTTAAGGAGGATCTTATTTTTTAAATAAACACATTCTTTAGTGAGATTTAAAAGTGTAACTTTTGAGTTTCATGCGGATTCTTCTTAGCAGATCTGAACCAAGCAATTTTATAGAATTTTATACACCTTTTTTATAGAATTATAAAAAAGGTGATTTTTTTGTTTATATGGCACAGCATAGAGTGAATCCGCGAAATACAGAGATTGGGGAAGTGCATTTTTTAAAAGGCGTTTTGGCCAACGGAATTTAAGATAAGGATGAGAAGAGCTTGTAAACAAGTTTATTTGAATAAAGATGATTTTGAATTTATGACGACAAATCTATTAGATAGCAGATAGCATAAATAAGTTTTGTTTTTCCTTTCGAGATAAGAGAAAGTGACATAATATAAGATATAACTGCTTTTTAATTGCATGTTGTGTTTAAGGTAGACAGAGAATCAAGATTACCTATTTTTTTTTTACAATCGATTGTGTCTACTTATTCTATCGTTTACATTGCTTTGGTCAATATCTACATTTCATAAGTAAGAACTATCTACTACTTTTATTAATTAATCATCACCACTCTCTGAGAGACAAAATACTTCAATATTAAGATAATCCAAGACCTACGAAAGCATTATTTAAATATTTATCAAAAAGGAAAAAGCTTTTGGCTTATACGGGTACATGTAATTTGTAGAATTGAGACCGCAGCTACTATACTTAATTTTTAATGTAATTAGGCCATTCATAATTCTGTCTGGCAACGTAAAATGATATGGGACTGATAAAGGAAACATTAGGTGTCATGATATATATGGAAGTCAAAGATATGGCCTGGATTAGAATTGACTGGAAGAGAATACATGAATTAATTGCATCGACAAGAGGAACTCCAAAATACATCTTAAGTAAAAAAAAAAACACGTAAAATGACAGATAATGTGCACATTTGTTTTTTTCCTGTTCCTATGGTGTAGCACAGAGTAAGTCTGTTAAAAAGAAAGTTTGGGAAAGTAATTTTTGTAAAGGGAATTTTGGACGCCATCTGTTATTTAACAAAATTAATAATCCTTTTTTTAATTTCGGCAAGGGACCATTGTTGCCCATTATGCCATTAAAACGAGACGGGATATTAAAAACAAACGGGAAGTATTTTGGTATTAGGTAATCATGGCTAATCTAATATTTTACAAACGTGGAATTTTCGCGTCTTTAATCTATAAATTTACAGAATAGCTTTCAGCAAAGTAACAAGTTAATCATAGATAAAATTGCACATAAATCATCATCAGGAACTGTTTTCTAAATCTATATTTATCATAATTTGTTTTCAACGTTTACAAATTCTTATTATAAATTATCATCATTATCTTGTCTTTTTCTAAATTTGGGGTCGGCGCAGTATGTTCTAAATTAAATCTAAAATTTTAATGATTGATAATTTTTGAGTGATAATTTTTGTAATAAGATGATTAATTTTTTAGTCCGTTATCATAGTTTAATCAAAATTATGGACAATTGGTTATTTCTAATTAGTATTCTATAGTTGAATCGTGTACTAAAATTTATTTCAATCCCGTTCAGTTGTTTAGGCGTGATTGAGTAACAAACAAATACAAACATCCAAACGTTTGTATAAAACTTTATTGAAAATTGTTAAACAATGCAAAGTTTGCCAGTTTGGTATGAACGTGAACGAAATACTTAAATATACTTAAATATTACAACAACGTGACACTTTACCTTGTGAGAGTTTAAACTGTTTTATAAAATTTATTACTTTAATAAAATTAAACTTACTTGTAAAACTATTAGAATTATCGTCGCGTAAACTAGATAGCCCCATATATATGGACTCAACCAAAATGGAGCCCTACCTTCAGTGTCTTTATAAAAAAAGAGTGATATTATAAAAGTGGTTAGAGACATAACAAAAAAGGCATACACTGCTATTATTGTGTAGAAGAATGGCAGTAAAGCCTTCCATTTTAAATACAGAAAACTTTCAATTAATGGATGAACAAGTAACCTTTTTTGGTTATATCTATTCCCAGTTTTTAATAAAGCCTCTATAACTTTCATTTGTTCCATTTCACACACTGTGGGCATTAGAATTCTATAATCGACAGTGATCTCGCAATTTGCATCTTGGAGATTTAAATTATTCGATGATATGTACGAATCGAATATGTCTTCCAAATACTCTGTGGGTTTTGACAGGTTATTAATAATCATGTCTATTGCAGTTCTCTTAAACTTCTTCGGGCCATCAGTGTAGCCTGAAAGATCGGCGCCTTCGCGCAAAAGAATACTAATCACATCTCTGCTTCCATGATGACTTGCAGAATGTAACGGAAACCAACCCATGCTGTTCACTTCATAAATTGTGGTCTTATCGAAGTCCAAAATGACTTTTGCTATTTCTACGAAATTTTTCACGGCAGCTATGTGCAAAGGAGTTGATGATCTATGTGGACTGCATCTAGTTCTCAATCGTATGTCAGCTTTCTTTGATAGCAAAAGTTTAACACATTCCACATGGTTTTCTGATACCGCAAAATGTATCGGACCAAATCCGCGTCGGCCTCCATCGGTCAAAGCGTTTATTAACTTTTCAGTTATAGCATCGTCATATTCAAGTAATACTTTTAGCACTTCAACATTGCCAATTTCGGCAGCAACATGTAATATATTTGCATCTCCCTCTATAGTTATTTCCAATGACGCACCTTCATTTAATATAGCTTTTAAACAATCTACATGTCCATGGGTTACAGCTTTAAATAATGCCGTTTCACCTTTCTCATTTTGATAATCGATTGAATCTTTTTGTTTAGCAACACTTAGAATTTCATTAAGGACATCTAAATTGCCAAGTGCAGCTGCTGAATGGATGGGTGTTTCTCCATCATTAGCCTGAAATTAATAGGATTAAATAACTAGCAAATCGTCGCAAATTCGTATGGTATTTTGAAAACTAAATATTTTCTATTATAGCTCATATTTTATAATACCATGTATTGAACAACATAATGTCTATTTCTATAGGTGAAAAAATTTTAAAAATCGGTTGAGTATTTTTTTTAGTTTATCTATACAAGATACAAACAAAATTCCTTTCATTAGTATAGAATTAGCGTTGAGTTTAATTAGTCAGATCCGATTGACAAAGTAACTGAATATCAGATCTGGCATTGTTAAATAGAGACAGGTTAATTGTATATATCTCGTGTACGTCCTATTAACTACAAGCACTAATTGGACCAATTTACAAAACCAGTTATTTTGTTATTAACTTGGATTACAGTAGCTTTGGTTGACTTCTAATTTTTTCTATGGCACAAAATCGAGTTTTATTATTCATAACATAATTTTAGCGTTAATTTTATAAAAGAACAAGGCTTATTTTTTATATGTTTGTTAACAGAGCAAACGAGTGCAATACTAGTGTTTTTGCCTTTATTTATTTATTTAAGGACAACCAACCAAGCATATATTCATATAAATTTAAAATACGTAATAATATAGTTACATTATAAAATGTTGCTTTAATTAAAGACCGCCATGACATGTAATATTCATATTACGTATACAATAAATAGACTACAGTAATATACTAGATTTGTACACTTATAATCTTGAAATAGTTGTATTTCGCATGCATAGTTTTCATGCACAGGTTTCATTCATACATGGCAGTGTTTCATTTTGAAGGGTTGGACATGTCAGTGAAACTACAGGCTTTGCACCATAATGCATATGTCTACTGGCAACGGTTACCACATTTCATATGTGGGACGTCAGCCATTTTCAATTTTATGTGCTGTAAATAACCAATAGTTAAAGAAAATTAACGAAACATGCCATATCCCTTTCCTTCTCTTACCTTCAATGTAACATCAGCACCTGCTTCCAAAGCGACGCATACTCCAGGCACCCAGGCTGCTTCGACTGCAGCTTGTAGTACTGTATGACCTTCTTTGTCTTTCACATCAACTATAGCTGATAAAGGATCAGCGTCATTGTTGCCATAGTTTGCTAAAACCTAAAATTGTGAAACACAAGTTATAAATGTGAAAGTTTGTAATTTACTAGTTATGATCTATGACTTTGTCCGCATGACTGGAATATACTGATTAACCGGGACAAAATTTGCTTATATCATTCTCCATTACAAATCGTATCGTCGTTAACAACCGTTAACCGTCCACTGCTAAAAATACGTCTTCCTTATAAGAGAGGATATTGCCAGCAGTTGCCAGACTTGGCAGGCAAGTAGGCATCTGCAGTTAGACTGGTGACTTTGCACGGGTGCACTTTGCATCACATCACATTAGAAAACTCTAAAATCACCAGTGTTTCTCTACTATATTATGCATGTATTATACATATAAACCTTCCTTTTGAATCACTCTATCTATTTAAAAAATCCGTTGCGTAGTTTTAAAGATTTAAGCATACATAGGGACGGACAGACAGCGACTTTGTTTCATACTATGTAGTGATTTACCAGAGGAAGACTTTGTACAAAGTCGATTGCTTGGGCACCTCTGTCTCATTCGTATTTCTACCGTGAAGCAGTTGCGTTTGTATGGTTGTATTTCGCTTTGAAGGGCATATGGGAGTGAATTTACAAAGTACAGAGGAATATCAAGTATCATGGGCGAAACAGTATACTCTTTTATGTCCATGGTACTGCTCATGTCTATAGGCGATGGTTACTACTTTCCATTAGGTGGGCCGTCAGCTTTTTTGCCATTCTAAGTAGCATAAAAAAAACCATACACGTACGTTTAATTAATTGGACGGACAGTGAATTGATCGAGGGGATAATCTCGCTAATTGTAACAACGCATCCTTCGTTTTGTTGTTTATTATCAGTCAATCTAGATGTAAGCATTGAGTCTAATTGGCATTTGTTGATTTCTAGCATTACGTGGAATTTGTTTTGTTGTTGTGCCAATTTTAAAATGTCTGTTGCAGGTTGGTGAAATATTATCATTATTATATCAGCCCTAAATTGTCCACTGCTGAACATAAGCCTCCCCATGGGGGGTTCAGCCAGTAGTTGCCACGCTTGGCTGGCGGATTGGCAACCGCAATCAGGCTTTGGAGATGTTTAAGAGGGACCGTGCTGCCCATCCCTTAGTCGGTTCTTACGACACCCATGGGAAAGGAAGGGGTGGCCTATTCTATACCGGAACCATACGGCCATATATTTATATATGTACCTGTAAGATTTCTTCGTACTGTTTTTCCACGCAAACATGCAGTGGGGTCTTTCCAGCGGTATTCAAACATGCTATAGAGGCGCCAGCTTTCAGCAGCTCGTTCACGCCGTCGAAACTTTCAAGATGAACGGCCGTGTGCAGGGGAGTGTCGACGTTTTTCAGGCCTCTGCTCTTCATTGTGTTGAAGACACCACCAGCTTTTATTAGCGTCTTGATAACTTCAATGAAACTGTAGAGAGTATATTATAATGCTTCGTAGACACATCATCTTCATCATATCAGCTGTTCAACTGTTCACTGCTGAACATAGGCTTGCCACTCTTGGGAGGAGGGGGGGAGGGTGCAATAAAGAGATAAATAAATAAATTGGGTAGCAGATGCACAGAGATGCAACATCTCTACGCAGTTTCAGTGGGTCGAGTCGGACAGTAAGGTGCCGATCATCAATAATTGAGGTGAGAGCAGTATTCCATATGTGGCCTGACTTGAGCTTTACATAATTAACTAGCGGCCCGCCCCGGCTTCACACGAGTGGATACTTTTACAACATTTTAAAAAGTGGTTATTGTGACATAACGATAATAGATGGTCACATAGTATCGGGAAGTTTTTTGTAGTTATTGATATTTTCTTCAATATTGTAGAACATAACATACTTGTGTTCTATCACCAATAGTTTCCGCAGCGCAGGCGACGAAAGATATTTTATAGCATTTTTTACACCTTGAGTTATGTTACTAAAGTTTTAGAAAGGATGCCTAATCTTTTCTAGTAATAAATATAGCCTATATTACTCAGGGTGAATGTATCTTTCTAATGATGAAAGAATTTTTGAAATCGGCAATGTAGTTTTTGAGTTTATTTATTACAAACATATATACACACAAAATTACAAATCTTTCCTCTTTATAATATTAGTATAGATTAATAGGAACCAAAACAGATACCAACTAAGCGGGGTTGACGTCCTGTTCGTAATAGTACGCTGTGCCGACGACATCGAGCGCTGTGCGGCCTTGGTCATCACAGATGTTGGGGTCGGCCCCAGCTGCCAGCAGTAGACGGGTACAGTGGCGGCGGGCGCATGAAGACGCTACGTGTAATGGTGTCCATCCGGCTTGGATGAGGGGAAGCTGGAAGTTGGATTGGTATAGAACATAATTGCTTTTCGTAATAATAGTTTTTAAAGACTATAGAATTTATTTCTTTTCTGTGCAAAATTCGAATTTGTGATCAAGCTGGCAGTCCATTTTATGATGGACATATGGACATCGACTTCTACGCGGTCCCTTTTGGAAACCATATTGAATAATTCTTCTTAAATTTGTTACGATGGGCCAACTGATCTGCTTTTACCCTCACCTATCATTTTTCACTGGTGTCCGGTCAGCTTATACCGATAGTGCAGGTGGAGTTATTATTCTTTACTGCGGCCCATAGGCACCCACAATCAGAGAAATTGCAGATGTATTGACAGCCTTTTAAGAAGGTGTCTTGAAGGTTTCAATGTATACCTATAATACTGTTATGTTGTCATTACTGCTAGAAAGGTGTCTGAACTCAATTAACGAATTCTAATTTTTTTTTATTTATTTATTTTTTTACAACACAGGGGGCAAACGAGCATGCGGCTCACCTGATGGTAAGTGACTACCGCCGCCCATGGTCACCGACAACACCTACGGCATTGCAGGTGTGCTGCCGGCCTTTTAAAAAGGAATATGCTATTATTATAATTATAGTAAATTTGAATATATATATATATTGTTTATGTTAAGAGATGACTAAGTGACTGTAATATTTGTTTTATGCTTAATTTAATTTATATTTTATGTGCTGTATGAAATTATTGTATCTACTGTGACATTCAAATACAAATTTTCGTGTATGAATAAATAAAATAAAAAAAAAATACTCCACTTTTTAAATTCAGCATGATTCTCCATTGAGAACTGAGCTTATTCTCAACATTGAAACAGATCTGATCTATGAGCCAATGCTTATATGAGAGTTTACAAGCATTTGTGAATAGTCAAATCTTGTTTCTACCAAAGTTAGATAGATAGATAGATAGATAATTTATTTGCATTACTTACTTACAGCACACAAATTACAACATACATACACAAAAAGAAAAGCAAGATAACATAAATGACAAAAAAAATACACAAAGCCAAATACAACTTTCGTTTGTGAGTGTGCCATAGCAATACAAAATGGCCACAACTCAGTTTATTGCTTCGCCCTCAAAAGAGCAAAGCACTGATATTCTGTTGCGGCCAAAGGGATTCACGTTTCTTTATTGAGAAGTGTCAGTTCATGGATTCTTTATTGAGAAGAACTGTGGTTCTTCTCTGATTAATTAAAGAGGAGGTATTTAATAAATGGGTGACTTTTTTTTTTAATACAACTTAGAATGGCAAACAAGCTGACGGCCCACCTGATGGAAAGTAGTAACCGTCGCCTATAGATATGAGCAGTACCATGGACATAACAGAGTATACTGTTTCACCCATGATACTCCCCATGCGTTGCCATTCCCGAGGACCCAGGTGTTATTCCTCTGTACCCAGTAAATTCACGCCATATCCCACCCTTCAAACCGAAACATAGCCATGCAAACACAACTGCTTCACGGTTGAAACACGAATGGGATAGAGGTACCCAAGCAATCGACTTTTGTACAAAGTCTCCCTCTGGTATTGTGTGACTGTGACTGATATGATACATACACTGCCCTTTATGTCTTTGCAATTGTGGTCAATGTTGTCCTTCCAGTGGTTTGGCAACGGCGCCTTGTCTTCTTCGATGACGACCCTTACATTTGCCATCGTTTTGGTCTTCTCACATAGTTTTTTTACATCGTCCTCGACTTTTGAGAACATTGTGGAGTCCTCTAGCCTATCGTGCATATCTGTTAACAGTTATAAAGTATTAAAAAAAAATTAAACTAAATTGAATTCAAATTCAAATCATCTTTATTAAAATTTGTTTACAAACACTTTTAAATAATTTTTTTTATGAGTTCAAAGTTTTGAAAGTCTGCAAGAAACCAAAACAGTTCCTTTTATAAACCCTTGTAATATTAAATGTGTATATATTAATATTAAATGTACTATGTCTAAAATTACAAGATCGTTAAAAGACCGTGCAAGATCGACTAACACTATGCACATTTGTCATTCAAGTAATCGTTTAGTGTGTAATAGGGTTCGTTCAATAAGTGTTTTTTAATAACAGTTTGTAACTTATTAAAAAGTAGATTCAAAATATCCTTCAGTATCTTATTATAATATTTAATTTCTATAAAGGACCTATTAACTTTTTCAAAACGATACTTTGAGTATGATCAGCAAGTTTGAATTTGTAACTAGTGTTAAGATTATTAAGATCGCATTTTTTATTTGTCAGCTGTCTAGCGCTTATAATACAAGTTCTGCTTAGTTTAGGACTAGATGGCGCTGTGTGTATGTATTTATTTATTTTTATTTATCTATTTATTATACTGAGTTAGGTGTTATTTCTATTAATAGTAGTCAGCTATCATTATAATTTTTTTAAAATATTATACCTATTGTCTGTATCTGTATATATGTTATGTATTTTAACACATGATTTCAGTGTTTATAACATTATTTTTCTATCGAAAGGGTCTACTCCCGTGTTCGCCTAATGCAAATTTTGTTCTTGGGTTGCATAAGGTATGTAAATTTTGTCAAGACCGAAGTAGGTTTCAGGTTTTTAAGGATCAAAATTGAACGCCGTGAAATCTCGGTTAATACTTAACTTATTAATTTAGACTTCTGCGTTGCATGTTTTATTGTTTATAAGAGACGGGTATTAACAAATTAGTGCTAGTTTCTAGACTTTGGTATTCTCTCTCAAATAATATCAAAATGGTACAGACCGTTCATGCCTTCAAAGCTCAAAAAAAAAAAAAGATTTTACAATACAATTGACAGTTGAGTTACTTATATTTATAATAATTATTTTATTTTTATATATATTTATTTATATTTATATATGTATCTGTATGTATATGTATATATTTATAATTTTATTTATTTATACTCTGTAACTAACTATATAGCTACTAATAATTTATTATTTATCGTATTATTCTTGCACCATATATGTTATGTTTTATATACAAATCCTATAGATACTTTCTCCTTTCGGGTTGACTGAAAGAAATCCCTTTAAGGGATAAGTCCGCCTGTGTACATTTTTATTATAACCTAATATCTATATTAAAAGTATATATATAAAAGCATATAAATAAATAAATAAACGCGATTATTTAGATAAAGTATGATAATTAATTTCTCTCTCTTATAAACTATAAACCATGCAACTCGAAGGTCTAAGTTATTAAGTATGATGGGTAAATCATACCTACTCTATTACTCAGATTCAATATTTAACTTTCTAACTTATTTTTCTTTTTTTTTTTGTGCAACTTAGCATGGCGAACAAGCTGACGACCCACCTGTGTGCTTACTCTCGAAACGCAATACCAATGTCCAATTCCTATCTCAATCGAAAAAACGTCAAATAGTACTGAAAAGTGGTAACCGTCGCCTATAGACATGAGCAGTACCATGGACATAACAGAGTATACTGTTTCGCCCATGATACTTCCCATGCGTTGCCATTCCTGAGGACTCAGGTGTGACGTGACATATAATACTTAATTTTTTATTTCATTACTATTGAAATCGTAGTGAGTGGCAAGAGCTCCACCGAAAAGAGTGCAGCTCTTAAATAGGATAGATAGATACTATTGAAATGTTAAATCTCGACTAAGGATACCTCTAAATAAAAAAAACTATTTATCTTTTTAGAAAAAGAATTTTACACATCGAAAGAAATTAGTTTTGACAGATAACCTTAACTTGTCAATGTATAGAGAGAAGCAGACTTGACTTTTTGATTGTTATTAAAAATATTTAAGTGTTAACATGGAAATAGCTCAAAATTTTATGGTAAGACCCGCTTACTCTTGTGGTCCCGGCATAGAACAGGCCACCCTTTCCTTTCCCGTGGGTGTGGTAATAGGCGATTAAGGGACGGCGAGGGACGCGTAGCAGTGTCTGTCTTAAAACATCTGCAAAGCCTAACTGCGGTTGCTAATCCGTTTGCCAATTGTAGCAACTACAGGCAAACCCCCCAAGGGGAAGGTTTATGTTCAGCAGTGGATAGTAAAAAGCTGATATGATGATAATGATGAAATACCATAAAATACTTTTAAATAAAACAGTACGTTTTATTGGTAGCTAAATCCTATATAAATTTCTAATGTACGAGTAAGTAGTATATTCATTTATTTTAACATTTATTATATAAGTAGGTAGGTATTATATGTATTTATATTGTATGTATTTATGTAATATTTTATTATATATTTGAATATTTTATTTAACTGTATATTTGTTTATGCATTAATAGTTGTAGCACTTCAGCTGCCCGCTAACGAAATGCTTTCTTACTGTACTGGGTTGACTGGAAGAGATCTCTGTCAGAGATAAGTCCACCCTTGCTCACAACATTTATAAATACATTATTTTATATGTAACTTACAAGTGCAATAAAGAATATATATATAAAAATACATAATATGGGAAGTCAAGAGTACGATCTATAGAATTCTTTTCTACCAGTTTTAGACGTCTAGAACTAAATAGAAGATCCGAATGGCCATATAATCGTTCGGGACATGTCAAAGGGTTTGTATCCATTAGTTAAGAGTATGGTTTTTTCATAATTTTTTATACAACTTAGAATGGCAAACAAACTGACGGCCCACCTGATGGAGAGTGGTAACCGTCGCCTTTAAACATGAGCAGTACCATGGACATAACAGAGTATACTGTTTCGCCCATGATACCCCCCATGCGTTGCCATTCCTGAGGACTCAGATGTTATTCCTCTGTACCCAGTAAATTCACGCCATATCCCACCCTTCATACCGAAATACAGCCATGCAACACAACTGCTTCACGGTAGAAACACGAAACAATTTATAACAATTTGTGTTTCAGGGTCCAGGTGCTACCAAGACAATGGCCCGCATCAACGAAAACGGAAATGTCGTTGGTACAATTATAGTCAATTGTGAAGGTTTGATATTGCAAATATTCTCTTGCTCCGTTTTAAAAAGCCCATGTGCACTTTACCCCCTATTAAGGTAATTGGTGATTAAACAAAATTAGACAAGAGATGGCGGTGAAATCGAGACTTAGGGTTATGTTGATTATTTTATAACCAAAGATAACTTGAAGTGAAATTTCTAATTTATAGAGTGATTTTTATTACTATAGATAATTGTAAAGTGACAGATAATCAACCAGTCAATTAACACCATATCCCACCCTTCAAACCGAAACACAGCCATGCAAACACAACTGCTTCACGGTTGAAACACGAATGGGACCCAAGCAATCGACTTTTGTACAAAGTCTCCCTCTGGTATTCTATTTACGCTACGAAAGTTAACACTATGTTTCAGGGTTCCCCGAGACAACGACCCTGGACAGTCTGACAGCTGCAACGTACTCAACACACATGCGGAACCTTTCGCATCATGCCAACAACTCTCTCAAAGAAATTGTAAGTTTGAATTGTTAAATTGATCACAGTAACAGGTTGCAATGCCGTAGGTGTTGTGGGTGACCATGGGCGGCGGTAGTCACTTACCATCAGGTGAGCCGCATGCTCGTTTGCCCCCTGTGTTGTAAAAAAAAAAAAAATTATATTCTGCCAGTAACACTGAACATTTTATTCAAATATGGTAAACATGGGTCCAGAAATGACAACGAATATGCCAATTATGTCTATACATATGTATAACGTATCCTGGTGTCCCGGCATAGATTGTGTTCCATACCTTTCTGTTCCGTGGGTGTCGTAAAAAGCAACTAAAGGATCTTAATGATTGACGGATGGGCAGCAGCGTCCTCCTTAAAACATCACTAAAAGCCTAACTGTAGTTGTCAACTCACCTGCCAAGCGTGGGAACTACTGGATAAACCACCCAATAAGGGGAGCCTTATGTTCAGCAGTGGACAGTTAACGGTTGATATATGATAATAAAGCTTGCTAGTACGTAATTTAGTATTTATTTGCATATCCAAAAAAATTACTAAAATGTAGCTGTTTCCATATATACATACATAGGACACTCAGAAAGTTTTGCGACACTAAAAAAAATGTTCTATAGTTACCTATAGAACATTTTTTGAGACGTGGTAATTTTAATTTGCTCGCAAAAAATGTGGAGGGAAGTTTTGAATTTAGAACGTACCTATTTTTACTTATAAGTAATCATATTTTTAAATAAATTATAACTGGCCAGTCTCACATACATAAAAACTTTTTCTCGCGATACTTTCTGAGTGACCTGGTACATATGTGTCACCCCTGTCTCCCATTAAGGTAGGCAATTTCAATATATGTAAAATAAATGCATTGTGCACTAAAAATCAATGTCACGTATTACGTACGTGCAACGAATGCTTTTAGATGTTTATTTTTTATTGTGAAGAGTACAAACGAACTAGTTGTCCATCTGCTGTTAAGTGGTTAACATAGACGCATGGGGGAGGGGGGAAGGGATTGTTAGCAATACGGACTACCAGTCCCATTGCTAGCAATATATCCTGTCAGGTCGATCTTACGTGATTCCCTTGAAAACCACCGTGCTGAATTCCAGGTGTATTCACTCACTGGTGCCATGTCAGTGTATACCGGTAACACCCGCTGTGTTACCATTCCATTATCATCCATTAAAAAAAAACATAGAAATGTGATCTAAACCGGTCAAGGTTTTAGAAATTTTTAATAAGCCAAGACCTCATAAAGGGTATCATGGATGGCAGACTACATTTTGTTATGTCTATGGTACTGCTCATGTCTATAGGCGACGGTTACCACTTTCCATCAGGTGAGTCGTCAGCTTGTTTGCTATCCAAAAACCTTAAATTTTGCCAATGACGCAATTACATGTTAAGATTTTTTTTATGCTTACCAGAGGGAGACTTTGTACAAAAGTCGATTGCTTGGGTACCTCTGTCCCATTCGTGTTTCAACCGTGAAGTAGTTGTGTTTGCATGGCTGTGTTTCGGTTTGAAGGGTGGGATATGGCGTGAATTTACTGGGTACAGAGGAATAACATCTGAGTCCTCAGGAATGGCAACGCATGTGGGGTATCATGGGCGAAACAGTATATTCTGTTATGTCCATGGTACTGCTCATGTCTATAGACGACGGTTACCACTTTTCATCAGGTGGGCCGTCAGCTTGTTTGCCATTCTAAGTTGTATAAAAAAAAAGACGGATTGGCAATAGCAATTAGGCTATCAAAGTTAAACCAGCTTTAAAAATCTAATAATAATTTTATCGCAACTCATGGTTAATACTACTCGTGTTTTAGGATGTGACTGATGAACTGGTTGTACTGAGGCTGGTCTCCAGAAAGACAGAAGCTGTGGTTACGCCGGACCACGAGTTTCATCTCATCGCCGTAATGAGGCGTACATGAAGCCAATCAAAGATTATTAATTACATTATATTTATTTATGTTAATTTCTGAATACAGCTGGTTTAATTTCTTTTTCTAATATACCAGACAGATCAGGCGATGGTAAAACGGTGTGTATCGCGCTTTTGGTCATATCATATCAGCCGCCTATGATCCACTGTTGAACATAGGCCTTAAAAGAGGGGTTTTGCCAAAAGTTGTAACGTTTGGCAGGCGGATTGGCAACCGCAGTTAGGCCGAGATGACGTTTTAAGAGGGACGCTGCTGCCCATCCTTTGACTATTAAGTTCCTCTTACAACAACTATGGGAAATGAAGGGGTGGTCTACTCTATGCCGGGATCACACCGCGCTTATGATGTTTACATGTAATTTGAGGGATCAAATAGATATATTCATGATGGTGCGGTGATCGAACTTGCGGTCATTGCAATGTGAGGCAGTGTGGTAAACCGCTAACCAAGGTAGTTAAATATAATCATTACGAGTCCAACACGGGTTTAAAATCTACAGATTGCATATGGAACAGTTAATTTATTTGTTCAGAATCGTGTAACATACACAAATACATGCAGATTTTTTTTATACAACTTAGAATGGCAAACAAGCTGACGGCCTACCTGATGGAAAGTGATAACCGTCGCCTATAGACATGAGCAGTACCATAGACATAACAGAGTATACTGTTTCGCCCATGATACCCCCATGCGTTGCCATTCCTGAGGACTCGGGGGTTATTCCTTTGCACCCTGTAAATTCACCCCATATCCCACCCTTCAAACCGAAACACAGCCATGCAAACACAATTGCTTCACGGTTGAAACACGAATGGGACAGAGGTACCCAAGCAAACGATTTTTTTACAAAGTCTCCCTCTGGTAAGATACTCTCAGATACTTAAGAACTTATATACTTATATCTTTTATAGTCAGTTGATATTTTATATAAATAAAGTGTCATTTTGCGCTAGGATAACCTATGCTATGCAGAACCAGGCAACGTATATCTGGGAGCAAAATCCAAAACACCCAGACCTGAGTTAATTTAGAAAAGTTCTTTTATTGACTCGATCGGAAATCGGAACCTCGCGAAGCATAGAATATATTACCGCTTACCTTCAGGAAAGTCCAGAAGTACGGCCATTTGTCTGGCGTTACCGGCCCACGCGGCCAAATGTAATGGCGTTCGGCCTAGTTTGTCCAGTCGTAACTTCTCAGCCCCAAATTTGGTGATCAGAGACAGAGAGTCTCCACCAATAATGGCGGCAAAGTGACACGCCGAAACCAGGTCCAAGCGGCAGGTCGCGTTTGGATTGGCACCGGAATTGAGGAGTCTGGTAAAAGAGAATTATTAATTTAGATGAGAACTCTAGGATGTAAAGAATCTAGATCATAAACACTTAGATGGAGCCCCGAGCACCAAAAACGGCTCATATATGATCAGTCAATCAAAAAAAAGTTAAATTATACGGTTGGAGGCATCTTAATCCTCAGGAATGGCAACGTAAATTCATCATAGTGAATTCTGTGATATCCAGGGAGCTGTCCATATCCATAAGTGACGATTACCATTTTCCACCATGCCTCTGGTGTCCCATTAGATTCTTTAACGAGCCAAATTGTATATTTTTTTTCTCCTTTTTAACAAAAACACTTAAATGATTGTCAAATAACAGCTGTCTATACTAAATAGAAATATGTTGATGAGTACTTTTCCAAAGATGTGCAAACAATGGTGCTGCCATCTTTATGTTGACATCGGAAATTTTAAAACCAACGTTTTCTTTGTCAATAAATTTACTACTCGTATCAGGTGAGGGTAGTATAGTGCAAACCCATTTTGAAATAAAAAGTAACTAACCTCTCAACTTCTTCCACATCATGCCCTTCAATGGCTTCCAACAGTTCCGTATTTAATCTCCTCTGGCGACGATCACTCCTTCTCCATTTCTTGGGTATGTTCTCCACGGATTCTGCGACTGGCGTGTTGCTTACGGTGGATGGTTCTGATGGAGTCCAATCCGACATGGTGACTGTTGAGGGGTGTGGATTCCGGAAAGACCTGTTGATAAAGAACCTTTTAATGTAGGTAGATTGTTTTGTGAAAATGCGGTCCTGGATTTGATTCTTGGTCGGACCTATTTAGAAAACAAATTTTTCTATATTCACTCGAGTCTGAATGCTTTAGGTGACCCCAGGTGTTTGTTTTTTACAACATAAGGATCTCAGAAGTTCATGTATTTGTTGTGATTGCAAAGAATTAACAAACTCTTATAACATAAATGAAATGTTTAAAAAAAAGTCTTCAATTTTGGTAAAACCAAACTGTCGAACTGATTGTGACAAAATTTAGGTGGGACCAATCTGTAAGTAAACCCTTTCAGATAAAAAAGATTTTTACAAATCGGTTTACAACTGAAAGAGTTAAGAGGTTCTTCTTCTTAAATAGTTAAAAAAGGACCTCCATCTTTTTGAAGTCGGTTGGAAACCATCCGTAAATAATTCATCATAACACGCTTGTGCCTGGAGAGATCTATAACTCTTTTATTAGGTCTCAACAAATGTAATTCGAAAGAACAACATGAAGAGTAGGAACAAATAAAGTTCGTACGTGTTGTGGAGTTAAAGGAATAGAAAGTGAAGAAAAGTGTAGTATTAAAACAAAAAATCGAGGGAAAAGTTATTAGTAGTTATGTTAGTTAGTAGCCACTTTGTAAATGGAATACTTTATATTTAATTCCACCGAAACGAAATAAAAGTAATTATTTTTGAGGTTAGCACAAAATGGCGGGAACTGGCGGAAATATCAAATTATAGATGTATTTTTTTTTAAGATCTACGGAGGCGTGAAACATTATTGAACTCATTACAACTTAATATAGTTTTAAAAGACATTTCCGTGTATAGCAGTAGATTAAAAAAAAAAAAACGATTTAAAAGTGCTTATATACAAGTCTATTTCAATGAAGACGATTTGAATTTGAATTTGAACAGGTGCGTGATAGATTTTATCTATGCTTACCTAAAAATATTATTCGTTATATATTCGTATATTCGTTAAATAATCTAACCTATACTTTAGGTACTTGGTACTTCGATTGTTCCAGAAATTTGAAATTTGCATAAAGGAATATCTATTAGCGTATGTAAGGGAAAAACCTATTTATGAAATCATCATAAAATGTAAGTAGGTAATTATAATTTTTCTTGAAATTTCGTTAAGGTTTCCTGATACGATATCTCTTTGTAAGTGTGTCGTAAAAGGAAACGGTTACCTTTAAAGAAAGGTGAAACGGTTCTCCCCAATGATGCTCTTATTTTTAATACGAATAACGGACGTTGTGTTTGTCGAAGTGACTTTCGAATGAGATCCGAGAATAAATGACGAAGAAAGTGGATAAACAGATATGTTTACACTTTGCCCTTTGGTCGTACCCTCATTTCATCAGTGACTCTTTCAAAAGGGTCGAAATATCGGCCAACTCAAATAAACAAACATGGCGGGAACCCGTCAATTATGCACAGGAACAACCGTGAAAATATAAACTTTTTATAAGGGGATCTTATTTAAACCAAGGAAATTTATGTACTTTTTATGACATAGGGGTCAAACGAGCATGCGGCTCACCTGATGGTAAGTGATTACTGCCGCCTCTAGACACTCTCAAAACAGCAAAGAAATTACAGGTATATTGTTTGTTTTTTAAGAAGGATAATGCGCTTGAAGGGTTCTATCAATCAATTAAACATTTATTTTGTGAAGATTTGTTTAATACCACTGAGGTAGCAAACAAGCATACAGTCCACTTGATGGTAAGCGGTTACCGAAGCCTATGAACGCCAGCAATACCAGGGGCATTACACGTGCGTTGCCGACCCTGAAGAAACCTTTATTTCAAAAGAAAGGGTACATACATATGATATGGTGGTAAAATACAATGGGGTCCTTTATTATCAACCTTATAGGCATACAAAATATTCTTAAGTTTAAACAAAAACTTTTCCTTAAACTTGAAGGGGCACCAGTAATCTTTAAAATCGTATCTGTTCTGAAATACTATTGTTGATAGTTGGTTCCATACTAAGTGACTTCTAAAAGAAGAAGCATAACTTAGTTACTACATGCGTCTATACTCTGTAATTTCACTATCATATATATATTCTTTAGACCGAAATACAACTACCCATGTATAGTTTTTTTATGCAACTTATAATGGCAAACAAACTGACGGTCCACCTGATGGAAAGTGGTAACCGTTCCCCATAGACATGAACAATACCATGGACATAACAGAGTATACTGTTTCGCTCATGATACTCCCATGCGTTGCCATTCCTCTGTACCCTGTAAATTAATTGCCATATCCCATCTTTCAAACCGAAATACAGCTATGCAAACATAACTACATCACGGTAGAAATACGAATGGTACAGAAATGCCCATGCAAACGACATTTGTACAAAGTCTCCCTCTGGTAATGTAATGGTAAAAATTGCTTAGTGAGACAGTTATCCACGCAAGCGTTTCGCATAATCGTTTGTTTTATTTAACGAAAATAGAATGGTAACGCTGCTTGGCTATGTACTGGTGTGAGCAGCAGCGGTGAGTGATGATAGGTGAGGATGTAGTCAGGTCGGTTTACCCAACGTGATTAATTTACCAGTGATTAACCATGAAGGCTTCTAGAGGTAGTGGCTGAAGGTTGATCTATATAGTCGAGGCTATACTACTTAGCAATGGTACCGCTAGTTTTTGTTATTAACAATTCCTCCTTTCCTTTTGTGTCATCATCATCATCGCAGCTGTTAGGTGTTCACTGCTGAATATAGGTCTCTCCCACAGACTACCATAAGGAACGGTCTTGAGCCACCAGTATGCATTGACTCCCTGTAATACATTTGAGGTCGTCGCTCCATCTAGTGGAAAGGTCACTCTACACTGCGTTTGCCCGTATGCGATCGCTACTCAAGAATCTTTCATCGGTTTTTGGTTTCTTGCGCTATGTGACCAGCTCATTGCTACTTCAGCGTGTGTATTCTTCGGGCTATGTTAGTTATTTTGGTTCTTTTGGGGATATTTTATTTCGGATTCTATCACGCAAAGAAACTCCGAGCATAACCTTTTCCATGGCCTGCTGAGTAATTTGTAGTTTTTGCAATCGTGTAGGACCATGTTTCGGTTTTATAAGTCATCACTGGCGATACGCACTGGTCAAAAACTGGTTTCCTTTTGTGTAGTTAGTGTCATTATGTAGAACTAAATCATACCCCAAATTGAAAAGAGGTAGATTGATCTGTCTGGAGGGCGGACGTCCATTTTCGGGTATGGTGAAAAGCAGAGGCCGCAAACTCTCGGCTCCGTCTGTGCCACCCTGTTCTGGATCTGGAAATAAACGAAAATATCATGTACATTCAATATTTACTAGAGGGAGACTGTACAAAAGTTAGCTGTAAGCAGCTTTTTTTTTTATACAACTTAGAATGGCAAACAAGCTGACGGCCCACCTGATGGAAAGTGGTAACCGTCGTCTATAGACATGAGTAGTACCATGGACATAACAGAGTATACTGTTTCGCCCATGATACCCCCCATGCGTTGCCAATCCTGAGGACTCAGGTATTATTTCTCTGTACCCTGTAGATTTACGCCATATCCCACCTTTCAAATCGAAACACAACCATGCAAACACAACTGCTTTACGATAGGAACACGAATGAGACAGGTACCCAAGCAATCGACTTTTGTACAAAGTCTCCCTCTGGTAAAGCTAATTTTTGTAAAGTATCGTTAAAGTAAGTTTTTTTAAAGTATCGTTCTGGCAACCAACTGGGGGTGGCGTCATCATCCTTTGATTTTTTTAAAGCGTCAATGGTCAAACCAGAAGGGTATTTTCTTAATCGACTGACGATAAAATAACATTTAAAAAATTTCTAGATTTGTGGGAAACGGGTTAGTCAGATGGTTCACTAGCTTTTAGACAATCAATTTATTTATTTAGGCACAGCAACAGTAATACAATTCACATTAAATTGACTATAATAAGCTTCATAACTAAGTAGTTGTTTTAAAATTGTACACCGTTAATTGCTACGCACAGCGTTAGCTTATACTAGTTTCAATATTATATACAATAACTATAGAAAATGAGAACAATTATATATTAAATTTAGACATTTCTTTTGCCATTTTAAGTAAAGAATTTAAACCGTAAGCAAGTATCATTAAAAGTTATTTGTTAGTTAAGTTAAATTAAAGTTAGTTAAGTTAAATTAAAGTTAGTTAAGTTAAATTAAAGTTAAAGTTAAATTAAATAAAAGTTAAGTTAGTTAAGTTAAAGTTAGTTGTTATTACAATAAGGTACATGAAATAATTTTAGTATTCTCTTATTACCTTCTGTTTTAAACGAAACACGGCTTAACAGATCGATAAACATATACTCGTACAGACATGAAAATGTTTTATAGGTTTCTTATACAGAATAGAATAACCGCTTACCTCTATAAAAAAGAGTTGAAATTGGATCTCTCGTCCACATCTAATAATTTATTCACTGTATACTACTTAAGTTTAATATCACTACTTGTTAGAAGAAGAAGAAGAAGAAGAAAAATATTTTATTATGGGTAATGTTATATATAAATGAATGCAATATATCACTTGCTTGTAACACAAAAATTTTGATCATATTGCATGCGATGATTTCACTGTTTTTGGTAATTATTTTTAAAGTCCCTATTTAAAAGTATTACCTAATCTAAAACAATTTTATTGATACATAAAAACCTAAGATGTACATTAACAGAGGTATTCCAAATATAGTGCATTTAAGCAAGTTCTAGACTCATTTCAATATAATCAGTGATATTTGTCGTCAAATATATACCATTGTTATTAAATTTTGTAAAAAAAATTAAGAGGGACTTTTATATATTCGGTAAATATTTCACTCAATAACTATTTTTTTTTTAATTGTAATTGATAAGTTTTGTGGGGAATGAGAGTGGAAATATGAGTATTGTAAAATCTTTATTGTACATAATTTATGTTGGATACATTCAAAGATTTAATATACAATTATGGGATAAGTCCACCAGACTTATCCCATAAAGGAATCTCTTACAGTCAACCTTTGAGAAGCTGAAAGAAAACTAAAAAATGTACAACGGTAAAAACCATACAGCTAATGATAAACTAAATAATATGTAAAAAAGAAATTAAAAGTAAAAAGAAAAGTAAATATTGAATATATAATACAAAAATAATAAAATAACATTAATACATAAATAAATAATAATAAACTTACACACATAAATACACACAGCATACACATAAATATACACACATATATATAATATATAGACACATACAGCTATATTCACAATTAGTTCAATGAAAAAGGAGTTTCAGACTTCAGTATTGTTTTTTTTGAACAAAGAGGAAACTGCCATGAAATTAATAATGGTTTCACAAAAGTCGTGTTTAATGTTTCGTGACATAAGAAATATCTTAAAATGCTTCTAATAATTAAAGTAAATAATAATTAAAGTAATAAGTCAACAAATTTCCCTTGATACAATTTTTTAATTTTTATTTTTCAATTAATTGTTAATTTTAAACTTTCGCGTTGTTTACATATATAATATTTAAATAAACTATCAGGACTTAACGCGATGTAAAAGACTTTATAGCTAAATAGTACCTACATACCTGCTTCTTTATGCCGATGTTTCAACGTGGATTGCACCACGTCGTGATCACGACAGGACAACGTCGACGATAAAGAAGTAGGGGGTCTACCATGAAATGAAATTCCGAATTTTCGGACTCAATTTCGTTTTTTTTTGTAGATACCGAAATCGGCTCAGTAAGTAGAGTTTATAATTTCATTTGTCATAAATCCTATCATAAAAGTCCAAAGGAACGATATTTTAACATTTTTAATATATTTAAATGATATGTATTATATGTAATTTTAATATGAAAATAGTGTTTCGTTCGGTTCCGAAATTTCGGAAAAGATTTCATGGTAGGTCCTCAGGTATATAGGTACTATTTATCTGCTAAAATTCTTCGTCGCGTTAAGTCCCAATAGTGTATTTAAATATACAATTAATTGGTTGTGATAAAATGCACTGTCCTTTGGTGGGATGACTATGAAATGATGTCATTGCCTGGGCTATTGGTTTACGCTGGCGGGATATTGGTGAGAAATGATAGCTTAGTGATTCTCAACAAGTGTGACCTCTTTAGTACACTTCAACTGTGCTTTCAACTTCGAGTCCCTAGAGAAGTCAATGCCCCCGAAATATTGAAGCGAGCATTTTATAAAATACTTTCTGTGAATGCCAACTTTCCTGAAGACTCGAAATCAAAAAAGTTCATCGAATTAGAAATCATACTTGTTTTTTTTCTTATTGGATGGCTAATGGTATACGCTGGTGGGACACCAGTGAGAGATCATTGGTGATTAAAGGCAGGTTAGTTAGCCTATCGTAATGACTACACCTGGAATTCAGCATGATGGTTTCCAGGGCGACCACGTGGAGGTCGATCTATTTAAGAATGAAGTTAGGCCAGTTGGACCATCGAGACGAATTCCACTAAAACTTAATCATGGTAGTTCCCAGGTAGAACGCATGAAGAATGAGTTAATTAGTGCTAGCAATGGGGCAGATGGGGGGAAGAGATTGTTAGTAATGGGAAGAGTAAAACAAATACCCTCCTCAGTCAGGTCGACCACCACGCGGTTCCCCTTGGAAATTATCGTGACTAATTTATCGTTGAATTCGTCACGACGGGTTATCTGACCTGCTTTTTCAACCTTACCTATCACCTCTCACTGGTACCCCGCCAGTGTATACCGATAGCGCAGGTGGGGCTACAATGCCATTTACACCCATTAAAAAAATGGGCCAATTAATTCATATTCCAATAATGACTTCCTTTCTATGGAAGTCATAAATGATGTATTAATCCCTTTCTACTTTTATATAATCATACATCATACATACATACATTATAAAGGATTGTAAACGCGACCGCCATTTTAAGGGATCGCTAAAGACGGACATACGTCGACCAAACCAAACAGGTGACGTGCTGACAAATGGCTAACTTAAAAGTACTTACAGGCGAGCTTGTATGAAAAGATTGATGAATGTGGGAGATTGGACATACATATATATACACAGGTTAGTTATCTTCTATATAAATACTGATTATATTATTAATATAAGTAGTATTTATGTGTTATATGTGTATTTCTTATGTATTACTATGTATAATTCATTCAGTATGTTGCTATAATTAGGTCACATATTTTTCACCACATCTGCCCTTCATACGCTTTCTGTTTTCACCTAATAGTTAGCTGGTAGAGAATGCCATATGGAATTAAGCTCGCCACTTGTACAAAGTTTTATTGTGCAATAAAGAATAAATAAATAAATAAATAAAAAAAAGAATTATTATAAAAAGGAAAGGTTTGATTGTTTGTTTGTTATGGATAAATTCAAATATACGTATAATAATAAATTATTCAATCGATTTTAAAAATTCTTTCACGCACAAAAAGCTAAATTAACCTCGACTAATATCGTTATTTATTTATATTTCAATTATTGTCTGTAAGTATAGAAAATATTAGAACAGAAACTTCGAGAATAAAAATGCTACAATTAATACAAAAATCTAGTAGTGAAACTAATCATTTTTACCAAAGGAATATTTGTCGAAAAACGACAAATAATTTTGAGTCTTCCATACTAACGTAACGAAAAAAAACGTAACGTAAACCAGAGGGTGACTTTGTACAAAAGTCGATTGCTTGGGTACCTCTGTCCCGTTCGTGTTTCAACCGTGAAGCAGTTGTGTTTGCATGGCTGTGTTTCGGTTTGAAGGGTGGGATATGGCGTGAATTTACTGGGTACAGAGGAATAACATCTGAGTCGTCAGAAAAGGCAACGCATGGGGGGTATCATGGGCGAAAGATTATACTCTGTTATGTCCATGGTACTACTGCTCATGTCTATAGGGGACAGTTACCACTTTCCATCAGGTGGGCCGTCAGCTTATTTGTCGTTCTAAGTTGTATAAAAAAAAAACCGACTTAACGCGCCGTGTTAGTATTGAAGATGCAGTTTTTTACTTCTGACGTATGTTTCCTTGAAGAAATGATCGGTTCCGCTTGCATAACACTCTCTTTAAAGATGCTAAAGATATGAATTTCGTATTGCTAAGTAAATACATATTTATATACATTTAATAAACGGTATATGAATAGTAATGCCGTCTTTCATAGCAATACACTGGGGGCACCAGTGAGGGATGATAGGTGTGAATAAAAGCAGGTTCGTTGACCTATTGTGACGAATACATAAAAAATTAGTCACGAAAGTTTCCAGAGGGGATCTGTCAGGTGTGAAGGTGTTAATAGGGGACACTAGTTCCCGTTACTAACAATCCCCCGCACATGGCCATATATATATTTAGTTTTGTCTACTTCAGAGATTTTAATAATTAAAAAAGTCGTACATTTCTCATTTTAAAATGTTGATGTTATCTGGACATATTTGAATTTTTTTTATACTACTTAGCCATGCAAACACAACTGCTTCACGGTTGAAACACGAATGGGACAGAGGTACCCAAGCAATCGACTTTTGTACAAAGTCTCCCTCTGGTTATTTTAGAGGAATTTAATATTCTGTCTTGCACTTTAAATTACAGTATTAAATATAATTTAAAAAACAATGTGAGCAGAGCTGAACTTATCTTTGAGAGAGATCTCTTTTAGTTAATCAAACACAGCGGTTTAGGAAGTTGTTAAGTGCCATAAAAAGATTTTTAGATAATAAACGAATTAATGACTGCATTATATATTTATTTAAGTATGTAATTTAGCTGTAAAATTATGTATAATTAATCGAAGTCAAGGGAGTATTGCGTTGTTAACCCACTGACCTGAATGTACGAACCATTTTGTAAAAAGATTTCATTGGAACTGATGTGGACTTAAAAATTTAAAAGTCTGTCTGTCGGTCATTGAATAAATATTATATATATTTAATTGTTGCAAAAAATTGTCGGGATATATCACTGTTCACACAATGTAACATTTTAAAAAACACTCATTATTAGGTTATAATGCAACTAGTTTTTTTTTAATTTATCAATAACGCGTTTTCCTTTAAAGTATCTTGGCTTCAACTGACGTGAGATAACAATTATGTTTAGCGTGTAGATGCTACTCAAGGTCTACTTAGGTATCACATGATGATAATCTATTTTGAACTTTTTAACGAAGTGCCAACGTCCATTTTTAATTGAGCCCAGTTATGTAAACTTTATGGTTTGATGGCAACGCACTATTTGGTCACGGTTTGTTTACTCTGTCAAACTATTGTAGTTTGTGATTCTGTGAACGCGCCATGATTACAAATGTTTTTTTTTTTACAATTTTTCCCGCCATAAATTTATAGTTCAAGATACGTATTTTTTTTTTAATTTGGCAATGAGCTAGTGTTGTCCAATATACCACTTACAACAGACGGAAACCGGGACAGGAAATAAAGGAATATATAGGAATTAGGATAGGTTATTCGAGTGATCTTGTATTTATACTGTTATTACTAATAAATAAAGTCAGTGTTTTGTTAGGATGAGCTAACAAGTAGAAAATAGAAGTAAGAAATGGAATTTTCAAAGAGATAAGAAAGTTTGTAAATGAGGGAAGATTATAAATAGGACAAGAGAAGTAAATATGATTCAGATTAATACGTGCAAATGCAGGAATGCAAACATGAAGATATATAAATGCGTATGTCATATATTGTACATATAGTCTATCTCGACGTCTTAGATTAGGAATAATGGTTTAGTATTCAAAATATTACCTAGAGATTAAAGTCGTTATCATTAGCATCCTTTTATGATAGTGTTACAGTAATGAAATAAAACTTTTTTCCACTTTACCACTTTCCATCAGGTGGGCCGTCAGCTTGTTTGCCATTCTAAGTCATATAAAAAAAAGTTAAAATATCGGTTAAAATGGTAAAAAATGTATTATATCTCCCATCATTGGCGTATTTAAGATAATTTTCCAGTAGTAGTTGGGGCGGGTGAACTATTAGAAGGCTGCATTAGTATGTACTCTAAAAAGGATTAATAAGTACCTAATTAAAGTTAAAATATTTTATAGGTACAATTTGTGCCACTAGATGGCGTTGTATGCAAAAAATATGCGTGCACAAAAACGGGATAACAACAGTCTAATTTTAGCATAATGTATCTAATTAAAAAAAATGGCAACAATAACACAATTCTAAATTTAAAAACTTAGATATGGTTCTCATTTGTGTGATAATCACGAAGATAACATTTTATATGACTGTTCATACTTCAAACATTCAAGTTTGAAGCATGATTCATTACTGATAATATTGCATTCTTCTTATTTGATAAATTATAAGAAAAAAGACGGAATGACGAAGGACAAAGGAGTTGCCCACGTATAAATTATTTCTTACTGCTTTCCCATAGGAATTCTCATACATTCTTCCTTGCCAGATAAAAAATAATTTATTGTCAGAAAAAAATAAACAATGAGCACTCACTTGCAAAAAAAGACAAGTAAAGTATACTATAGGGAGACTTTATACAACAGACATCTGCATGTGTTGCGTACCTCTAATCTATACTTATAATAAATCTGTAGAGAGGTCAATTCTGTACATGAAGTATATTTCCAAAATAACTATCAGGGGGTGATTAGTGATCGACACTGATGCCAAAAATGCAATCAGTAAAATTTTTGTCTTACCGTCTGTATGTTCGTTATAGAAACAAAAACTACTTGACGGATTTTAACGAAACTTGGTACAATTATTCTTCATACTCCTGGGCAGGTTATAGTATACTTTTTATCATGCTACGATCAATAGGAACAGAGCAGTAAAGAGAAATGTGTCTGTTACATCAAAGCCACTGAACCGTGAGGAAAGACACTTATTTAGGCCACTTATTTTACGAAAAACGACGGGAACGCGGACGAAGTCGCGGGCAACAGCTAGTATAATAATATTCTTACTATCTTTCTTCAAAATTCAATTGATAGTACAGTGGAAAGGTCCATCGAAATTGGATAGAGATTGCTCTTGTTGAAAATCATCCGTTAGGGAAATAAATTTGTGATTTTCTTATAAATTTCTTACATGCTTACTTTCTTACATACTTAGATTCTTTGTTCTTATGAGAAGAATCTGTACCTACAAAGCTCAATAGTTATTTTTAAAAAAGGGTTTAACGGTTTAAAAAGTAATGTGGGTGACTGTCACAAATAGCATGTTAATATATAATTTAATTATATATGTAATTCAGAATTGTTATTTTTAATTACTATATTAAAAATTCTCTTCGTTTTTGGACTGGGGCTGGCTGAAAACCAGCGCTATGCAGCTTTTTTTTATACAACTTAGAATGGCAAACAAGCTGACGGCCCACCTGATGGAAAGTGGTAATCGTCGCCTATAGACATGAGCAGTACCATGGACATAACAGATTTTCTGTTATAAATGTGTTTTTCTGGCAATAAATATTTTCTATTCTATTCTTTTCCGTGGCTGTTGTAGGGGTTGACTAAGAAAACTTGAAGCTTTGTCGAAGGATGGACAGTAGGGTCCCTTTTAAAACGTCTTCAAAGCTTAACTGCGGTTGCCAACCCACTTTCCAGGCGTGGCAACTACTGACAAACCCTCCTAATGGCAAAGACAGTTGGAGAAAGTAAGGTATGTTCAGGAGTGGAGAGTTAACAGCCGATCTGATGATATATTATATGATATATAAATCAAATAAATTATATGATATATCACATATTATATGATATATAAATAGGTAATAAAAATGGGTAATGAGAACAGATCTTACCTTTCAACTTTTTCATTTCACTTCATAATATTTTCACAATAATGTATCACTATATTAAATATAGAAATTAAATATATAAAATATATATGTGTAAATATTTTATTTTTAAATCAACAAATTGTACTAAAAAACTTATTCAAAACACGTCAATTGCATAGACCGAAATCGACACATACCTACGTTGTAAATTGTAATGTGTTTTTATCAGTTTCTTGGCTAAATAGGGATGAAGAGTTAGATAAAGTTAAGACTTGAATATGTATAGTTTTTCGGTTATGATTAAAGCTTATTCTTTCAAGAAAATGCAATATGTATGTATTTTATATTTCATATATGTTATATACATATAAATAAATAAATAAAATAAAATAAAAATAAAATATACAGATTCGTGTACGATATTATATTGACCGGGATAAATGAAAGTCGGGATTAATATAACGGAAGTATTGTAGAGAGGGAGACCGAGACATAGTTACATCAGGCAGATCAAGGAAGGAGTTGGTGTCGTGTCGTATCAAGAGGTGAAGAGACTCGCTGAAAATCGTAGTGAGTGGCAAGAGCTCCACCGACAAGAGCGCAGCTCTTAAATAGGATAGATAGATAGATTGTAGAAATAATGTTTGTTTCCATTCTAAATAGGTAGGTACTAAGTGTAGCGTAGTTTGAGCCACTACGCCGTTAGGAGGTAACAAATGAACAAATACATTTTTCTTATTAATAAGGACTTGTTTATTTAAAGATATTTAAGCAATTTTCGTATTTTTATCAAAATAATAGTACAAAATATAGACCAACAATTTAAAATAAGGCCTTTGTTTTAAGCATTGACCTCATATTTTGTCTACCTCCAAATGACTAATTTAGAAAAAGAAGTAGCACAAACGTTTACTAAATATGTAACATAATATATATATATATATTTAGGGGGAAAAGAATTGTTAGCAATGGAGTTTGACAGCCCCATAGCTAGCAATATACCTTATTAGGTCTACCTCCACGTCGTTCCCCCTGGAAACTATCGTGAACAATTCTTGTTGAATTCGTCACGATGGGCTAACTGACCTACTTCATCCTCACCTATCATTCTTCACTGGTGCCCCGGGTGGGGTTACCATTCCATATATATATATATATATATATATATATATGTTATAATATATAACAAATTATGGATAAGTACTTATATACTTCACTTATAGGTTTTTTTTATTAAGAATCACTTATTAAATTAATAAATTCTATAATATGATTCCGTACATAAGTTTGTACAGTGCTCCAGTATTATTATCCTAATATATGTTAAGATTTCTCTAAACAAAATAATAATATATATTAGAAATTGACAAGAAATAACTCACCTTTTAAATTGGACATTTCCGTAACCGTGTGAATATATATTAATTTATTTAAATCACTTAATAAAAATCACATATTAAATTAATTAAATGTTGAAGAAATATATCAAAATACGTCAACTTCACACACACAAATAGATTATTATATGCATATATGTATAGATATACAATAGATTACATTGTATTATCAATTTGTTTTAAAATAATTGTGACATAGAGAGTTAGGCGAAGGTAAGACCTGAAAATCCTATAAATACTGCTTGAACATTAATGCTTCGTTCAGTTACATATCAACCGTTTAATGTCCACTTTTTGTTATACAACTTAGAATGGCAAACAAGCTGACGGCCCACCTGATGGAAAGTGGTAACCGTCGCCTATAGACATGAGTAGTACCATGGACATAACAGAATATATCGTTTCACCCATGATACCCTCCATGCGTTGCCATTCCTGAGGACTCAGGTGTTATTCCTCTATGCCCTGTAAATTCACGCCATATCCCACCCTTCAAACCGAAACACAGCCATGCAAACATAACTGCTTCACGGTTGAAACACGAATGGGACAGAGGTACCCAAGCAATCGACTTTTGTACAGTCTCCCTCTCCCTTTAAGAGCCCAGTTCTAAAACCATAATTACTGTACCCTTATAAAACTATAATATTGCTATTAGTTAAGAAACTACAGTTATGTTTTTTTTTACGAATAAATCTCATTTCATTTCATTTCATTTCACTTCAATTCAACTGACTCCAAAAATAATGAGGTTCTCAACTGAGATATAAATATCAGAAAGTAACCGATTTAGTTTTTTTTTTTTTATATTTGTTACCCCGTAACTCCATCAGTAGTAAACATTTATTTTTTATCTGAAAGAATATAGGTACTTACAGATTAATCTTATAGAAATTTCATCAAAATCGGTTCAGTAGCTTAGTTTTCAGATCTAAATTATTGGTTTTATCACAATTTGAAGTCGGTTTTTTTTTGTGAGACACAATCTTTAATTATAATTGTTAGAGTGTATTTTTTTTATGGGTAAAAATGGTATGGTAATCCCGCCTGTGCTAACGGGATACGCTGGCGGAGCACCAGTGAAGGGTGATAGATGAGAATGAAAACAGGCCAGTTAGCCCATAATGATGAATTCATCAGGAATTAACCATGATAGTTTCCAGGGAGAACTGCGAGGAGGTCGACCTGGTTGGGTATATTACTAGCAATGGGATTCTCAGTCTCCATCACTAACGATCCCTTAAATATATTAGAGTGTATTGTTTATGTCTTTCATATTGAGAAATTAGTGCAAAAGCAAAGAATAAAACACTTCAATAGCTAAAATAGATTTATGTGTAGTTTGACGTTTTTATGGATTAGGAGGTAATTCTTTTTCGTAAGAATTTTGTTTGATACGAATGTTCCTATCTGAAATATTCATATGTCTATGGCAAGGCGGTCGTTATCAGAAGATAATGTGGCCTGTAAACACGATATCTGATCCGTGGACAGAGGCGGCATGTTATGTACACTATCGTAACGTAATAGGGTTCATTATTGTATAGCAATTTTAGTTCTTCACTACTACATCCTGACGACTCTATGAAATGCCTAATGTTTTTTTAGTCATATTAAATATTTCGAAATTCGATTATTATTATTATTATCATACAACATTATACATAAATTCCAAATGATAATTGATAGTACAGTGGCGGTATAGGAGATTAGGGAACCCCCAACGTTTTCTCTTCAGGCGAATTAATAGAACGCTGCTCAAAGATGCCGCGTTTAGAGGTGAAACACGTGTCGCGATATGTGCGCGGACTGAATAACGGTTGGAGATTGATGACTAATATGGAAGGGCGAAGATATTTTACTAATAATAATAGTAGATAATTTTCGAGTGTTGGCAGTCGCACGCATACTAATGGTAGCGGAATTAAACGAAATAATTCTATATTCAAATAACCTGTGATATGGACTTCTGCAAGATAACACCTAGGGTGGAAAGGGATTGTTAGTAATGGAGACTGAGAATCCCATTGCTAGCAATATACCCAGCCAGGTCGACCTCCTCACGGTTCTCCCTGTAAACTATCATGGTTAATTCCTGATGAAATCATTATGATGGGCTAACTAGCCTGTTTTCATTCTCATCTATCACACTTCACTGGTGCTCCGCCAGCGTATCCCGTTAGCGCAGGCGGGGTTATAATACCATTTTCATCCATCAAAAAAAAAAGATAACACCTAGTTCAGTAAAATATTTACAAATAAATAAATAAATATTTACAAACATTTGTATTTATACAAATATTTGACTAAAGGAACTTAATGGTTGAGCGATGCGTAGAAGCGTCCTGTTTAAAATATCACCAAAAGTCTAACTACGGTCGCTAACCCGCTTGCCAAGCGTGGCAACTACTGGCAAAACTCTCCCATATGGGGAAAATCTGTGTTCAGCAGTGGACAGATAACCGACGATATATGATTAATTTCTATAAATTAACACCAGAGGGAGACTTTGTACAATGTCGTTTGCTTGGGTACCTCTACCTTATTCGTGTTTCAATCGTAAAGCAGTTGTGTTTGCATGACTGTGTTTCGGTTTGAAGGGTGGGATATGGCGTGAATTTACAGGGTACAGAGGAATAACACTTGAGTCCTCAGGAATGGCAACGCATGGGGGTTATCATGGGCGAAACAGTGTACTCTGTTATGTACATGGTACTGCTCGTGTCTATAGGCGACGGTTACCAGTTTCCATCAGGTGGGCCGTCAGCTTGTTTGCCATTCTAAGTTGTATACAAAAAAATACTTTCTGTGGTTCTATGGTTATTTTAATAACTCAAAGTTAACTTACAATCGAGTTAAGTAACTTATAATTCACCACAATGTTTGAGGATTCACAAACTTAAAGCCACAGAGAATTCAGTCTGGTTTAATCAAACTTACCCTGGAACTCTTCTTATATTTACTTGTACTACTACAGCGTCTATGGGTCACCATTACAATACGTGTATGTTAGTTCTATGACCCGTATTTTTTTTTGATGGGTGAAAATGGTATAGTAACCACGCCCGCGCTAACGGGATACGCTGGCGGAGCACAAGTGAAGGGTGATAGATGAGAATGAAAAAGGCCAGTTAGCCTATCATAACGAATTCATCAGGAATTAACCATGATGGTATCCAGGGGGAACCGCGAGGAGGTCGACCTGGTTGGGTGTACTGCTAGCAATGGGATTCTCAGTCTCCATTACTAACAATCCCTTTCCTCCTCCATGACCCGTATTTGATAATCTCAAGTGATTAATTTTATTGAACGATAATGGAATTATGACCCCGCCTGTGTTTTCGGTATATGCTGGCAGGGCACCAGTGAGAGATGATTAGTGAGGATGAAAAGGCAGGTCAGTTAGTCCATCGTGACGAATTCAACGACAAATTAGTCACGATGGTTTCCAGGGGGAACCACGTGGAGGTCGACTTGGTAGGGTATATTGTTAGTAGTGAGGACTGACCTCCCAATTACTAACAATCCCTTACCCCCAATCTCAAGTGATTAGCTTAGATTATATAAATAGAGCATCGAGCCTCAAAAAACGGGTCAACTTTTTGTCAGCTAATTGTTGTTTTTAGTTTATTTAGCTAACTCGTTTTTTTTTCAGTATTTTATATAAATACGCAAAAAATGTATCTTGATGTATTATTTAATAAATAAAATGAGTTTTAAAAGATGCAGAATTTAATGCAGAAGACAAAATAAATATGAAAGTTATAAACTCATAACTATTTATTACGTAAAATTGTATGAACAAGTTGAGCCTTTTTTCTCGAAGCATTTTATTGAAGACATGAGCATGACCATTTCTATATAATCTAAGATTATTAATATTGAGTACTCATTTTGATTAAACGAGACATTTCAACCGATTTCAAAAAGAGTGAGATTCTCGATTCAAAACTCCAAGATGTTGTTTTTTTTGTAAAACATTTTTTTTATTCTATTTAGAATGGGAAACAAGCTGACGGCCCACATGATGGAAAGTGGTAATCGTCGCCTATAGACACGAGCAGTACCATGGACATAACAGAGTATACTGTTTCTCCCATGATACCCCCTATGCGTTGCCATTACTGAGGACTCAGGTGTTATTCCTCTGTACCTAGTAAATTCACGCCATATCCCACCCTTCAAACCGAAACACAGCCATGCAAACACAACTGCTTCACGGTTGAAACACGAATGGGACAGAGGTACCCAAGCAATCGACCTCTTTTGTCCTCTTTTTACTAATAAAATTTTCCATAAGAAGAAAGGAGGCAACTATATGATTTACAGTTTTTATTTTATCATTCCTTCTATGTAATTCCTTGTTCTTAGGTTGGCTCACCGTGATGAATTCATTAGAAATTAACCAAGAGATATCATTCCGTTGAATATCACCTACATAATGTATAGATCCATTGACTACTACAAATCCTAACTAGAGTCAGAACTCGTGTGTTGCCAGATTGGACGTTGACCTAGAAATATGCACCAAATTGAAGGTTATACAAAACAAACCCTTCCTACCTGGACATTGAGTGAATTATTCAAAACTGCTCACATAACAATATGACGCGGCACTAAAGGTGTTTGTACACTGTAAATTTAGAAAATTTATATTTCTTTAAATAGGTGTATAATTTCTTAAATATTTTTATGTTCCACGTCGTAATTTCATTGCCATATCTCACATTTGAAACTAAAACAGCCACGCCAAGACACCTGTTTGGAGGTAGAAACATCAGTGGGACAGGAGGGACAAAGTCTCCCTCTGGTGATTTACTATTGAAGTTGATATTTTGAAATAGAAAAGTTTTAACCTACTTCCAAAAGAAGGAGGTTCTCAATTCGAATGAATTTTTTGGGATTTTTTTTATCGGAAAGGTTATGCTTACATTGATTACATAGAAATTTTATCAAAATTGTATCAGTACTTTAGAATTTAAATGAAAATAACTGGTTTTGTGACAATTCAAAATCGTTTTTTTTTTATGTAACACAATTTAATTTAGTATTAATTATCATATATATATCATATATGTGGAAGGACATAGGCTACTTTTTATTCCAGTCACGCAGACGAAGTCGCGGGTAAAAGCTAGAACTATA